GCTTCTGGGCTTCTCCACTCCCATCAGTGAGCTACCTCCCAAAACCTTGTCAAGGCAGGCAGAAGCAACCAAAGAAGATTGCTACCTATATATAGAGTGAGAGCATACAGTTCTCCAGATCTGTTTGCGTTTTCTGGAAGAGCCGTGGAGAGGGAAGAACAGCAATGGCACCACGAAGTTTCCCACCACATTTTAAAATGCTAAGGAAAAATTATTGATAAGAGCTTCTGCGAATATTACACAGTGTAGATGAAATAGCCACTCTAGAGTGCACGGTTAACTGTTTGTTCATAATAGTAGAAGGCAATCTATTTAATGTAATGCTATGCTAATGTGCTTCGTTCCACTTAGCAAGTCTCCCCCCACCATCTAAAATATACTGTTGTTTTGACACAAACAGCTTGCTACACTTAAGGATTTTACTAATAAAACATAATGTTGTGCTAGATAATATGACTGTTGCCACAGCTGAACTGACTTGTCAAATCAATCCTAATATGGCTCCCACAGGCACATAAAAACCTTATTTAGCTATCAGTTATCCTAATCACTTTGTTCGGTTTAAGAACGCAATACTTCAAGACCAGTTCCTATTTATACATATATGCCTAGCCATTTAATAAACTCCTGATTTATATATTAAATTCTTGTTTGGAAGAGATGTTCTAAATATACAGTGTTTTCATCCCGTTTATTCCCATACCTTTGTAGGTCTACACACACCTAATAAATAAATACATAAAGAAACAGAAAAGCTCATCCACAAAAAAATGAAAGTAGTTAATAAACAACAAGCCAAAATTCCAGAAGTATAAGATATTGAGCAGTCAGGGTGAAATCCAACATTAATCATGCTCAGATCAGAGTCTAACATTAATCATGCTCAGAGCAGAGTCACTGATATCAATGAACTTAAGTCCATTGGTTTCATTCAGTCCACTGTGTATGACTAATGTTGTGCATCACCCACTGAAAAACAGAGAGTGGAGCTAAATGTAATGCTGATCATAAGGCTGTCACTAAAACAGCCACCCTATATCTACTTCCTATCTCCCACTAAAGGAAAAGTGTGAGATGGCATCATGTTTTCATCACTGCCACTCAGGGGAGGATGACAAGGGAGGCAAGTACGCAATATGATGACATCATATCACACACTTATAAAATGACATAGGGAGAGACAAGGGAACTAGGTGTGGGGTTTCTAGCTTTTTGATGGAAACTCCACAAACAGCCTAGTTTCACCAGTAATGCAAAATTCTCAGGGAGAATTCAACGGTGCAATTTTGCTTCTCCTAGTTTAGGATTATCAAGGCCTTTTGTTCTTCTACTTCAGCATTCCTCAGAGCCTAGGAACATAGCTGTCAACTTTTCCCCTTTTTAAAGGGAAATTCCCTTATTCCGAATAGGACTCCTCGCAAGAAAAGGGAAAAGTTGACATCTATGCCTAGGAATAAGCTCAGCACCACATGGGGATTGATACAGATAAGGAAGTAGGGCACATAGCAAGCAGGGATGGGGCAGGGAGGTATCGCAAGAGAGGAACGAGCAGAGAACCAATTCTACTACTACCTAATCTTCCTACTTGTTTGCTCATTATGCCAGTCTCTGCTTCATCTTGCTCTGGAAACAATTCTCATGCCTTGCCCCTTCATGTAGGGGAGAGTAGATTCATATCCCCAGAGGCTTAAAAATGAAGAGTTCACATATGGACCTTCAAAGGGAAACATCACATAAACTAAAGCAGAACTGAGAAAAAGGCAACCAGCCAAACTGAATCTTTCTGATTTTAAGGGCAAAATTACTTTCACACTTAATTTCCATCAATTTAAGTCAATGGGCCTTAGTGTGATTTTTTTTGGCTGGATGGTGTCTCCCCACCCATCTCTCTCTTTCCCTCGCAATCTCCCTATTTGGTTTATGAGAAATAAGATTTCCCCCTTCTATTCAAAACAACTTACCTTTGCTTCCTCTTGTTTAAAACTATTGTTAAATATCTGAGCTAAAGTTTCAAATGAAACTGTCAGGGGAAGCATGAAGTTTTCAAATTCATCTTCATCTTCACCTATGGAAAAAAGGAAGAAAGGCAAGAGTTAAACGTCAGGAAAAGAACAATGAAGTCCAGGAGGCCTACAACAAGGACTCCTAATACACAAAACTTGCTAAAGGCCACTGAAAAGCGATAGATCTTCAAAAGGCCTGCCTACAAAAGCAATGGAGTTCCATTGTTGCCGAGCCAATGAAAAGGCTCTGTTAAGTGTGCCCACCAACCTAATCATCTTCACAGGTGGACACCTAAGTAAGTCTTCCAACACTGATTTCAGTAAATGGACAGGCTGAGATGAGTGCAGGTGGTTTATTCAAGTATCCTGGGCCCAATCGGCTCAGGGCTTTTAATGTTACAGCTTTTAATGTTTAATCCACATTTCTTCACAACTTCACGTCTTAACAGTAAGATGTAGTCTAGGAGACCACTCCAGAGCAGGGCTCTTGGGATGACTGACACTCATAGGACCCTACTAGCGTTAGTTACTCAGTTGCTAAGCTAGGGTAAGCTATGCACATGCACACACAAATCTGATCGGGGGCCCAAACGGGCACTCAATCTGCCCCAAGTCTGAATCCTGAATCTATTATTTCCTGCACTGCCTGCTGTGAATGGCAACACCACACCAAGGCTTCAGAGCAGGGTTTTGCCCAGCCAGTATTATTTAATCTGCAGTTAAATCCAGCTTCCCTCATACTGTGTTGAATTCAAGAGTACGAGTACTGATTTTCCATTGTTATGCAAGAAATGAGAACACAAAATTCACAGGGCATTTTGATATCATATCAAGAACTATAGCTGCCTATTATTCCAGTTAACATGTTAATTCTCCCAGCTGACACTGCTTATGTCTATATATTCTAATTATCTGTCTTCTTATTATTTCTTTTCGATTTCTGTATGTGTGCTTTAGCACACATCCCTCTCCTCATCACTTTCAGAATTCCCCCAATGACTCTCGGGACTACTCCACTTGATCAAACATGGGATGGAATTTGATGAAACAGGATCATACTTCTTTGAAAGAATATACATCCCTTTGGATACATTCTGCACAACCAAATTTGACACGGGTGGCGCTGTGGGTTAAACCACAGAGCCTAGGGTCGGCGGTTCGAATCCCTGCAACAGAGTGAGCTCCCGTTGCTCGGTCCCTGCTCCTGCCAACCTAGAAGTTTGAAAGCACGTCAAAGTGCAAGTAGATAAATAGGTACCGCTCTGGCGGGAAGGTAAATGGTGTTTCCGTGCGCTGCTCTGGTTCGCCAGAAGCGGCTTAGTCATGCTGGCCACGACCTGGAAGCTGTACACCGGCTCCCTCGGCCAATAAAGTGAGATGAGCGCTGCAACCCCAGAGTCGGCCACGACTGGACCTAATGATCAGGGGTCCCTTTACCTTTACCTTATAATGAGATCCAAGGCTTTTTGATCTGCTGAAGCCCCATGCCTCATGTGGCGTATCCAGGTATCTCATCCTGAGGCCACCTCATAGGCTATGGCTCAAAAATACATGTCCCTCATAACACACTCAGCTACATCAAGTCATTGTTACTGACACGTGCGACAGGTACTATGTTGTATTTTTTGTATTACGCTGTCATGGAAACAGGCAGCCTGAGAATGGGGGATGCAGATGTCACCCTTATGATCAGATCATTACATCACAAAGGGCGTACATTTTCATGACACAGTCTCTGAAGGGAGGCAGAAGAGAGATGAGATGTACAGGCCAAAGGATGGCCCAGACATGGAGACTGAAAATTCCAATGGGTTTACAGAATGCTCTGGGAGATTAATTTTACTTATGCCTATAGGTGACCAGTTGAAGAAGTTACTACAGCTGCTAAGTGTTCTCTCATTCCGAATCCTAAATAGACCTTCCTTCGGTGGATGGATTACAGAAGGCTGTTGAGCCTTGGAGACAATATAGCAAAGAGGTGCAATTTTTGTGCTCAGTTGGACCAAACAAGTAATTGAACCCATTTAAAAGGCTACAATTAGTGGTAGTGAAGAAGAGTTTCTTCTCAGCTTAGACAGTACTGTGTTATGGGGTTTGTTGGGTCCACATTTTGCACACACACAGAAACTGAGTAATCCACCATCTTCTGAGATGCATTAGCAAGATAGTGATTTTTATTCAGTCTAGCTATTTTTAAAACATAATCTGAGTCACTGAAGTTAATGATCACTTTCAGTTTATTTCTTCCCCAGATGCTACAGCATTTTAAACTTTTTTTAAAAAAATCCCAATGAGAATAGGGATTTTCAAGGTGCCAGGATATAGCAATATAACTTTAAGGACTGTATAGATAGTTTACAGGTGAACTTTGCCTATTCTAGTTTGAATCTGGCGAGGGAGCTTCTTACTTTGCAGAGGAATCTTATAAGTCTGGAAATAAAGCAGCATTAACCTAAAATACTGAATCATCTTTGGGACAATCTAAAGCCAGTGGAAATAAAAAGAAAGTACATTCCAAACCTGTATTTTTGCCCTGGCATAGAATTCTGGAAGAGAAAGTAGGTTCTTCAGGGAAACAGGGATAGGTCCCATGTCCAAAGATCATACTCTTATAATTTAGCTGACCAATCTAAAATACATTTATTCAGAAATTAACTCTTCTAAGACTTATTTCCTAGTAAGAAACATTAGCCTTGAAATGAAAGCCCATAGGTAAATAAAATGAACTGGATCCAAGGAACCTGAATGGAATGAAAATAGCCACTAATATGTTCTACAAATATTTTGAAGGAGTATTTTTTAGTACATTCTATAGCAAATTTCATCCTGATTCTGGCATAAGCAGTCATGTAGACTTTAATGCAACCAGAAGAACCATGTTGAATTTAGTTTCACCTTTCTTGCACATGATGAGGAAAACAATCCTTCTGTGGGAAGAGGATGCCTGCATCCAAGCAATTAGGTCTCAAAGTGGTCATAACATGTTTTAATAACATGTCTGGCGTAGTGTTCTTTTGATTTAAAAACAAATATCAATATTACCAGGAACTGATTATTAGACCATAGAGTAGACAATGTATTTCGGAGACCTTTCTAACTTCAGAAAGGGAGTGAAGGAATACAATGAAAAATTTCTTACCTAGATCTACCATGAGAAGGCGTGTGAGTGCAGTATAGAATCTGGTTCTGCACCTAAGGTCACTCAAACCATAATCATTTACACCCAAGAAAGGAAAGTGTTTACTCTGGTGGAAAAATGAAGAAGAGATTAAGAAAAGTCAACACCATTCATTATTTCATGTTAACAACTTTTAAAATATTGAAGCTAATTTGAGAGACCTACCGTATGATTCTGCAGCATGAACTTCACAGCCTCTATTTTCACAAGCTTTTTTAGGAGAATATAAGTGTTTGAAATTAAGGGAAACAACAGTATGCAATTAATATGCTGATGACACAAAACCCAACTTCTTAATGCATATGGTCTTCAGAGACCACATATCGATAGGTTTACAGAGTATTAGAACATGCAGATTTCAAAAATTAGGCTTTTAATTTTAAAAAAATGCAAAGAAAATAATAATTAATACATAATATTACTAAGCAGAAGAGCAGGGAAGTTGTTAAAACTATCAACAGTCATAGTGTTCTTAAAATTTTTAAAAGACAAGTAGGAAATGTATGATACTTGTCAGGCCATATAGAGGCCAATTCTTTCATCTTTTACAGCCGTCGTCTCTCACAGCAGATGGGAGAATGGGGTGCCAAATTCAGGTAAACCTTGTCACTAATCCTCAACAGGTGAGTGTGGCGTTTGTACGGAGCCCCCGGATGTCTCACGGACTATTGACCCGTACACCACTAATCCGCTGCCACCAAACAGGTCCTCCCTGGTGAAATCACTTCAGTCTCAGTAAGATCTCAATTAATAAAGAAGAGTGCATTTTATTTCAGACACAAACAAAACTTTCACAGCATTCCAAACGTTGTTGCTCTTTACTTTCTTAGTCTTATTTTCCTCTCTCTATCTCTTCTACCTCCCCACACTCAAGAACCCACTGCCCTAACTGTCTCTCTATTACCAACTGCCTTTCCCAACCAGCCAACCCACTAAATCCAACCAACTACCCACCAACAACTCCCAACGAACTCCTCCCCAAACTCCTCCCAGAACTGGTTTTATAGTCCCTCTGATTCCACCCCCCTGGGTCCTGACTGGGCAACCTGTTTGACTATTTACCTCCAGCACTCTCTCTTAACGTCACAGAGAGCAGCTCTGTCAGAACAGATAGTGCTGGTCCTCTGTAGTGTGTATATAGGGGAAGAGGGTGGGATTTTCTCATGCATTAGAACTGGCACGCAACTTGCTGCTACATATGGATCAAGGTTTTGAGTTCAACATCTCATCTATCACAGTTCTGATTAAAATATTTTCTCTGTTTAAAATGGTCAAGACAGGAAGGGTGGGAGCCACAGATAAATACTGACATTATCCTGTATCATTCTTTTACTCTAGGACAACCTTCTCCAACCTGGTGCCCTCCAGATTCCAACTCCCATAGTCTCAGCCAGCATCACTATAGGTCAAGGATAATGCATTTGTAGGTCAAAACATCTCAAGGGCACCAGGTTGAGGGAGGCTGTATAAGGAAAGAAACAACTGAAGTGGTACCTTGGTTCTTGAATGGCTTAGTTGTCGAACAAATCGGCTCCCGAACGGCGCAAACTCAGAAGTAAGTGTTCTGGTAGACGAACGATTTTTGGAAACCAAACATCCGATATGGCTTCCGATTGAGTGCAGAAAGCTCTTGCAGCCAATCGGAAGCCACGCCTTGGTTTTTAAATGGTTTCAGGAGTTGAATGGACTCCCGGAACGGATTAAGTTCGAGAACCAAGGCACCACTGTGTCTCTGCATCAGTTAGATATAGTGTGGCACTGAATATTCAACACAGCAAAATCGTCAAAAGTTTGAAAATACTGTATTTTTCCGTGTATAAGACTATATTTCCCCCCAAAATTTATAAGTTTAAAGTTGGGGGTTGTCTTTTACACGGAATGTTGCAATAAATTATTTCTTAATTTTGGGCTCCAAAAATAGGGGTCTTCTTATACACGGAAAAATACAGCATTACCCTTTCCTCCCAACACCTTGCATTCACAGTCAAATTTAGTTAAAGAACTTTATATAGCTATGAAACTAGTGTACACATATCTATCTTAATGGCTGAAAGTACAGTGGTACCTCGGGTTACATACACTTCAGGTTACATAGGCTTCAGGTTACAGACTCCGCTAACCCAGAAATAGTACCTTGGATTAAGAACTTTGCTTCAGGATGAGAACAGAAATCGTGCTCCGGTGGCGCGGCAGCAGCGGGAGGCCCCATTAGCTAAAGTGGTGCTTCAGGTTAAGAACAGTTTCAGGTTAAGAACGGACCTCCAGAACAAATTAAGTACTTAACCCGAGTTAGGTAAAGGTAAAGGTACCCCTGCCCGTACGGGCCAGTCTTGACAGACTCTAGGGTTGTACGCTCATCTCACTCTAGAGGCCGGGAGCCAGCGCTGTCCGCAGACACTTCCGGGTCACGTGGCCAGCGTGACGAAGCTGCTCTGGCGAACCGGCACCAGAGCAGCACACGGAAACGCTGTTTACCTTCCCGCTATAAAGCGGTACCTATTTATCTACTTGCACTTAAGGGTGCTTTCGAACTGCTAGGTGGGCAGGAGCTGGGACTGAACGACGGGAGCTCACCCTGCCGCGGGGATTCGAACCGCCGACCATGCGATCGGCAAGTCCTAGGCGCTGAGATTTTACCCACAGCGCCACCCGCGTCCCTAACCCGAGGTACCACTGTACTAAAGAGAGGGTATAGGAAAAGAGTTTAAATTATATAAGCAACCTGGAAGTTATTCAAATTGGGGTCTCTATTTAAAAATTTGTTTTCTTTAATCCTAACATTTTAAAAGTCAGAACTCTTGGCACGCATGCAACATTCTGTGTGCGTACCTCCACTACTGCAACAGGACTTCTGTTTTTTCTCCTTCCCCCTGTGCATCCCCCAAAAACTGTTTTGGAGCATGCTCCAGCCCTCTGGAGTTAATTTTGAGGGTGTGCAGGTGGGTGGAAATGATAGGAAAGGAAAAGGCAGCCCCATTGGCTACATGGAAGTCAAGTGAGCCAAAGAAGCAACAGAATTGGATATGGCCTCTAAAGTTTACATCAGCAGTCTTCAGCATTTAATGGACCTAGGACCCACATCTTGGTCCTATCTGTAACCTCTTAAATTTTTGACTACAGGTAACTCGCAACTTATGTGCATTTAACTTGTTCACATTCAGCAACACAATTGGCAATATATATATAATAAAGCTGGACCATAAAGAAGGCTGATCGCCGAAGAATTGATGCTTTTGAATTATGGTGCTGGAGGAGACTCTTGAGAGTCCCATGGACTGCAAGAAGATCAAACCTATCCATTCTGAAGGAAATCAGCCCTGAGTGCTCACTGGAAGGACAGATCCTGAAGCTGAGGCTCCAATACTTTGGCCACCTCATGAGAAGAGAAGACTCCTGGAAAAGACTCTGATGTTGGGAAAGATGGAGGGCACAAGGAGAAGGGGACGACAGAGGACGAGATGGCTGGACAGTGTTCTCGAAGCTACCAGCATGAGTTTGACCAAACTGCGGGAGGCAGTGGAAGACAGAAGTCCCTGGCGTGCTCTGGTCCATGGGGTCACGAAGAGTCGGACACGACTAAACAACAACAACATATAATAAAAGGTGGCAATCTCACCTACCATTGAACCCAATGTGTTTTGACTATACTTTACACAATTTTGGCTTTACGCCAAAATCTCTATACCTAGAATGTAACCCCAGTGTAAACTGAGAGTTGCCTGTATTTTAATCACAATCCAGTATAGAAACAAGCATGTTTAAATACACTTGCATCAACGGACTTGGCAGTAATTTTTATCTTTACTACATTTGTCTAGATTTTTCCTTATTTCTCTATTGCCCAATGATAGTTTACTGCAATGCTTCTGCAACCAAGCCAGCTTAGCTCTGGATACAAACAAACAGTAGATTCATCAGCTGAAGACGAACATTTTAAATAATCCACTTCCTAGGCTATGTTTTAACAATTACATGTAGAGACTTTTAGGTAACTTGCTTGATTACTTCTTATCAAGTGACTGTTTTATGTTGTGAAGTCTTTTTGCAGGGGTTTTCTTTGAAACCAAAAGAAAGACTTTAATAGCTGCAATCACAGTGTAAGTAGGAAGAAGAACAATCAGACACATGAAAGACACTTTGTGGTCAGTTCCTTCACAAAATAACCATGAGTGTATGAGTGTGTGTGTGTGTGTGTGTGTGTGTTAAAGTTAATTATGAGAAACAACCGAGGATGCATGAGGGAGTACCATGACTACACTGACAGAAAGGAAACACTAACACATTCCATTATGTAAATGAATTCAAAGCTATTCCGTGACTGATCAGCTAGAAGGGACATAATGATTTATAATTCAAATAACTGAGCCTTAAAATCAAATTGGGCTAATATATTTCTAAATACGCAAGCCTGGAATAATTGTTAAAATAATGCAAAACAAGACAGCAACACAAATCATTTGTTGCCTCTTGTTGCTTAAAATACTCCCTATATATATTTTTGCTCTTTTGTCTAATCCTTTCTAAAATTGTGATTTTTTTTGAAAAAAAACTGTTATAGAATCTCTGAAGAAATAAATAACCCTTATGCATAATAAAAGATAAGTACCAATTTCAAGGAACATGTAGCGCTTGATTCTGAAAGAAAATTATATGCATATGAATGAATTAAGCAATGGGCAGGCATTTAAATTAAACTAATTATTTTTTAGCCTTTCAAATTAATCACAATTTAATGTACCCTGTGTACTGAAAATGGGCCCCCTGGATGTGGTCTCTAAAAAACATGATGCTTCTCAACAAAGTTATATATAATGAAAGCCTAATCCTCAACCGACCACAGTGACTTAATCCCTATCAGAATGAGAAGGGCTTGTCTGAAGTGAGCTTGAACATCACAGCCACTGAGTTGCTCTGACAAACTAATGCATTGTTAAAAGGTTAAAGTTTGCGATACCAGGAAGTATTTATAAACACTTCATATGTAAGAAATAAGAAGTACTTCAGTATTGTTCTTTAAAAGCTGAGCCAATAGATTTAAAAGAGGGGAAAATGTATGTATCGTTAAAAGCCAAAATGACCAGCAAAATTGGGTTGTACATCATTTTCCAACAAAAAGGAAAAACAGCTTCGACAGGTGTAATTTATCATTTTTCTGATTTAATACCAAAGAAATATATTAAAATAATAAAAAGAATCCTGAAATCCTCAAAATTTGTTGTGATAAATAGCCCTCCCTGCCTTTATTACATTATGCCTACTAACAGAAATATTGCATGGTGGATTTTGCCAGACAAGGACGATTATTTTCCAATAAAAAGTTGCATATTAAATTCCAGCACAAAAGTGGGTGTCTTAATACTTCTGAATTCTTTTTTCATTTGCCAAAGAACACAATTTTAAACTTAACTAATACTAACACATAAGAATAAAGTGAAACAGCATTTAGGTTAGCTCTATCATGCTACATTCATTTTAACCGGAAAAAGAAACAAATCACAGAAGTTCGAGTCAAATTACATTTAATGAAGTTTATTTATTCAAAACGTTGTTTATTTCAATGTCGCCAATTAAAAAAAAGTTAACTAGCAAAGTTAATGCCAATTTTATATGCACTTTTCATCATGTACCCCCATTCATCGATATAGCAAAATTACCTACCAAGCAAGAGGGTTTTACAAAGTTCATTTGGGGAATAATAATATCAAGGAAAGAGAGAAGTAGAACACTGAGTATTATTGGACCCTGGTTTGGAATGAAAAAGTGCATCAATTTCTATGAGATTTTTTAATAACAGATACAGTGGTACCTTGGTTCTCAAACCTAATCCATTCCAGGAGTACGTTCGACTCCTGAAACCATTTGAAAACCAAGGCATGGCTTCCGATTGGCTGCAAGAGCTTTCTGCACTCAATCGGAAGCCGTATCGGATGTTCTGTTTCCAAAAAACGTTCGCCTACCAGAACACTTACTTCCGAGTTTGCACCGTTCAGGAGCCATTTGTTTGACAACTAAGCCGTTCGAGAACCAAGGTACCACTGTATAAGCAACAAAGGGAACATATACCAAGCCATGCCATTGGACACCTAGCCCAGTATTGCCTTAGAGGTTCTTTCCAGTCTGGTTGAAAGAAGGAACCAGGTTTCAACCTAAAACTCTCTTTATCAAAAGCATGTGCTTTACCCACTGAGCTATGATGCCTCCACAGTTTATTGTCCAATGCTGCTATATGCCACTGAATCAGATAAAGAGATGAAAAAAATTATATCCAAAGGCCAAGGATTCTTAAAACACAGGAGATGTTTAACTGCTTTGATATTTACCTGAAGCCCAGTTGCAATGCAATTCATTTCTCCTTTTAAAAAAATTCATGCATTTTATGTATCTTTTAAATTATAATATAAATTAAAAGGCAGCTTTAAAAAATGATAGAAAGAACAAAACTGAAACAAGCATATATGTTTTAAAAAATAACAAATCTGAATCTCCACTTAATCAAAAGAAAACCAGAACCAAAATACTAAGATATAACATCAGAAGCAGGACCATTCTGCAATCTAATCTGAATATAATATTGGCAATGAACAACTGTGAACTGCACAGGTGAAAAACCATTAAAAGCTCAGTAGTACAGAACCTTTTGGACTTGACATCTATAATGGATTAGTATTAGTGCATGGCAGGCAAGGTTCTTTCTCTGAGCACCCACAGGCCTATTTTCTTGTGGAAGAAAGGTTAACTTGCAGATCTTAAAGCAGCATATAAAGTGGAGCCTCCAGATACGAAATAAATTTGTTCCGGGGGTCCATATTTAACCTGAAAAGTCCATAACTCGAGGCGCTGCTTCTGCACACGCACACGGCACTACAGAGCGCTACTGCGCATGCGCGGCGAAAACCGGAAGTATACACAATGGGTTTGCCGCATTTGCAGCCTGAAAGTTATGTATCCAGAGCGGTACGTAACTCGAGTAAAGGTAAAGGGACCCCTGACCATTAGGTCCAGTCGTGACCGACTGGGGTTGCAGCGCTCATCTCGCTTTATTGGCCGAGGGAGCCGGTGTACAGCTTCCAGGTCATGTGGCCAGCATGACTAAGCTGCTTCTGGCGAACCAGAGCAGAGCACGGAAACGCCATTTACCTTCCCGCCGGAGCGGTACCTATTTATCTACTTGCACTTTGACGTGTTTTCGAACTGCTAGGTTGGCAGGAGCAGGGACCGAGCAACAGCAGCTCACCCCGTCGCAGGGATTCGAACCGCCAACCTTCTGATCAGCAAGTCCTAGGCTCTGTGGTTTAACCCACAGCGCCACCCGTGTCCCAACGTAACTCGAGGGTCCACTGTAAAGGAGTAAGCATTCGTTAAAGCTTGTTTGTTTCAGAGGGTGGAAGAAACAAGCAATTTCTGCTATAAAAGAAATGGAGAAGAAAACAAAGGTGGAAAGGCAGCTTGGAAGAACGCACTGATTCAATTGGGGGGTGGGGAATAGGAAGGAGCGCAAAACAGACATTCACACAACTATTTTAAAGATGTCAGGTTGAACTGGGCCCAGCACAACACTGTGTGCCACCTAAGGTGGGTCACTGTCGCCATTGCTTTTCCCACTGCACCATCTTTTTCCTCAACTTTCACCCCTACTACTTTCCCCTCTCCTCCCTGCTGCTGCCTAGCAGCTCCTCCTCCTCCAATCTGGGGTCATCCTCACCTCTCAATGGCAAAGGACAAGGAGAAAGGTGGTGACTGAGATGAACATAGAGTGTTCTTGCACCACAACTGCTTTGTGGCAACTGCTTGAAGTTTAAAGTTCTCTGCATAGACTAGGAACAGAAGCACCAATGAAAGAAGTTCATTACCTTTTATTACTTAAAGACTGATTATCTTCATATCTTAACAAAGCTATTTAAAGTAGAATTTCTTGTTGACCTTTAGTTTATTGAACAATAAGGTACAGAAAGAAATCATCGAGGAAAAACAATCATTTTTACCCTTTTAACATTTTAGCAATGCAATACAATAACCTCTTCTCTTCCGTCTTTGTCACATACAAGTGACACTTCCCTTTACACACACACACACACACACACACACACTGGCAAACATAAAATACCCAAACATACATTCACACCAGATCATGTTAACCAGCTCATTAAACTAGAAGTACAATTAGCTGAATGCTCAGTTGACCCTGACCTTGAGTTGCACAGCAGATGATGGCACTGGGCTGATGATGGGAGAAAGTGAAAAAGACCATGTGCTCTCCAAAAAGTCTAACTCACAGGACCAGTGAGCTGCTGAACATTCAATCAATGTCAGGCTCTGAAGCAAGCACAGATGATTCTGGCCATCTCACCAATCACTGCCCGATTCCAATTGCCATAGCTGTTACCCTTTCATGGAAGCCATCAGAAGCAGGGTTGAAGGAGACAATAAACCTATTTTGGTTTTATATCAAAATCCCAGCTTTACTGACCAATAAAACTGGACAGGAACCAGAACCTTTAGATTAATTTGAAAGGAAGATTATGTGCAAAATAAGCAAGATGACATTTTCAAAATGGACTATGCACAGAAAGGGCTATACTTAATTACTGTTTCAGTATCAACTATTCCCAAGAGTATCAACACGTAAAAAAGTAAAGATGAAAATGGTGCACATTCCCAGTGGATAGGACCCATGATATACAGTTAAAAGGATATCCAACTGAAAGGTCATTTAGAAACTGAAGAGTTCTTGAAATCACAGGCTCACATCGCCCCCAGTATTTAAGATTTGTAACACTAGAATTAAAAAAAGAAAAGTTTTACAAATGTATCTTCTAACCAGGCATACACATGTACAATATTAGTTCAATAGGACTTATTCCCAGCTAACTGTATTCATCCCAGATTGCAGCAATCCATACTTTGTTCTTGCCTTCAAACTCAAATTGAACTCTACTCTGAACCATCAGCCACCAGCCTGCTTAAAAATAACTTAGTTCCAGGTGGTATGAAGGCAAGAACTGGATTTTTCATCCCAGTTACAAGGTTGTCCTTCTTTCTCATGGTTCACTTATTATTCTCTCCAGAGAAGAATTTGGACCAATGTTTCAAACAACTATCTAGAGAGTCAAGATTTGCTGAATACTTTCCCCAGTGTATTATGCAACGTATTATATAATGTAGCATAAAAAAGGGAAATACAAAATGAGCTAGGCTGCCTTCAGATTTGAATCAAAACATGAAAACAACAGGAGACAGTTGCTAACTGATAATAACAGGAAAAGGGTGGTGGCGACAGTAAAAAGCCACATTAATTGCATTCATATGTCACATCTCAAAATTTTAAAATTAAGACATTAACTATTAGCAGCATTTGCATTAATGTTTACATTGGGGGGGGGGGGCACGACAAAAACCACAAGAGAAGGTATTTCAAACTCACATTTTTGCCATAAATGTTTCTAGAACTTGGTTGTCATCTGTTATTCCCAAAACTTCTGACATTCGAGCATAAACCTGGAAAAAAACAATTCAACAGTGAAATCTTAATAGCTTACTGTACTATGATTTTTTAAAAAATGTATTGTTCTGAAGAGAGATCACTTTCTTTGGTAGCAGCGAACCAGCAAGTTGGGTGTTGGTTTTGAAATTCAGTTCTGTTGTGACTATGAAGCTGAAAATATGGGCAAACTGTATTTCTCCTTGCCGCCTCCTCCTCCTGTTCTATAATCCAGGCTTCCTCAACCTCGGCCCTGCAGATGTTTTTGGCCTACAACTCCCATGATCCCTAGCTAGCAGGACCGTTGGTCAAGGATGCTGGGAATTGTAGTCTCAAAACATCTGGAGGGCCGAGGTTGAGGAAGCCTGCTTGCATTATATAGTTAAGAAAGACTGTTTCTCTCAAGCAACTTGTGATGACTAAGCAGACTGAAATAGATGGATGATAGCTACAAATCCTGAAGCTGAGACTCCAATACTTTGGCCACCTCATGAGAAGACTCGACTCCCTGGAAAAGACCCTGATGTTGGGAAAGATGGAGGGCACAAGGAGAAGGGGACGACAGAGGACGAGATGGTTGGACAGTGTTCTCGAAGCTACCAGCATGAGTTTGACCAAACTGCGGGAGGCAGTGGAAGACAGGAGTGCCTGGCGTGCTCTGGTCCATGGGGTCACGAAGAGTCGGACACGACTAAACGACTAAACAACAACAACAAGCTACAAATGATGCTGGAAGGAGGGGTTGGGTGAGAAAATTGCTATGAAAGAACCGCCTCAAACCCCAGAACTCAAAGCCACCCACCTTCTCCCAGGAAAATGCAGCCAGTCAGGAAGCTCCCTTCTCCTATCCTAGGCCTTTTCACTGCTTCTTCTTCCTGCTTGACCTTGTTTTTGCTTGATGGCCAACCCTGACAGTTTCAAATTGCTCTGGACCACCAGACTCACAGCAATCCATGGCTATTTTAATCCAACTCGGGCAATGCCTGGATTCCCTCAAATAAGAATGATTCAGTCCAGGAGCTGGGCCTTGGCTGAATCCACTTCACAGACCTACTGCCAACTATATTCTCAAATTCTGAATCCATCCATATGTCGAAAAGCTACGGTGACTAATATTTTTAGTTTCTTGCATTTATCCTAAAGTATTTATTATTATATGGGACGCGGGTGGCGCTGTGGGTAAAACCTCAGTGCCTAGGACTTGCCGATCGTATGGTCGGTGGTTCGAATCCCCGTGGCGGGGTGAGCTCCCGTCTTTCGGTCCCAGCTCCTGCCCACCTAGCAGTTTGAAAGCACCCTTAAGTGCAAGTAGATAAATAGGTACCGCTTATAGCGGGAAGGTAAACGGCGTTTCCGTGTGCTGCGCTGGTGCTGGCTCGCCAGAGCAGCTTCGTCACGCTGGCCACGTGACCCGGAAGTGTCTGCGGACAGCGCTGGCTCCCGGCCTCTAGAGTGAGATGAGCGCACAACCCTAGAGTCGGACACGACTGGCCCATACGGGCAGGGGTACCTTTACCTATTTATTATTATTGGGGATAAATGCTACTATTTTATTCTTTGTATGAGGAAGCAATTTGAGACCCCCATAAAATATCTCATAAGCTAGGGGTCAGCAAACTTTTTTAGCAGGGGGCTGGTCCACTGTCCCTTAGACCTTGTGGGAGGGCCAGACTATATTTTTTTGGGGGGGGGAGGAATGAATGAATTCTTATGCCCCCAAAATAACCCAGAGATGCATTTTAAATAAGAGAACGCATTCTACTCATGTAAAAACAGCAGGCAGGCCCCACAAATAACCCAGAGATGCATTTAAATAAAAGAACACATTCTACTCATGTAAAAACACCAGGCAGGCCCCACAAATAACCCAGAGATGCATTTAAATAAAAGAACACATTCTACTCATGTAAAAACACCAGGCAGGCCCCACAAATAACCCAGAGATGCATTTTAAATAAAAGGACACATTCTAATCATGTAAAAACACAGATTCCCGGACCGTCCGTGGGCTGGATTTAGAAGGCAATTGGGCCAGATCCGGGCCCCGGGCCTTAGGTTGCCTACCCATGCCATAAAGTTTTATATTAGAATAGAAAAGAGTATTTTAACAAGCACTCAGCAGAAAGAAGATGGTATTCTACTGTACATATATGTTCATATTTATCACATTTACTGTGATAAAAATCCTTGCTTTTCTGGGAGATTAGGTAATGGTTATAATCACCAGGTTATAGCTATTACAGAACAGCAACAATCAGATTCAGAGAAAGCACAGATCTACCTAGTAGGTGACAGGATTAAGAAGGGTTGCCCAACTTTAGTTATTTCTCTGTGGAATCTGGATGGATGGGCCACTGGGTTTTAAGGTATTTCTTAGGATTACATTTAATGTTTCACTTTCAGAAGCACAACTTTTTTTTTTTGTAAATAAACATTTAATAGTTATAGTCACACAACACATGCACATAGTAAAAGTTATAAATTAGGGATTAATTCTACGTACTTCACTATGCAAAGGACACTTGATATATGAGATTATTTTTATTAGTGGATTGGTTTCTATTTGTGTAGAAACATTACTATTACTACTACTAGTAGTAGTAGTCTTAGCCATAGCTCCGCCTTTCCCCCTGAAGGAACACAAGGCAGCTTACAGATAAAAAACATAAATAACACAGAAAAATCAATCATTAAATACTATTAAACATTGATAGAATTAAAGTTACACACATACATAAAATCTGTTTAGAACATACCGATAATTACAGTGACATGCAAGTCTTGGAGAAACACATATTTAAGAATAAAGGAGAAAGTAAAGTTAGACTTTCCAGCTAATTAACCCAGAACCATCTACTATTCCTATGTCTACACTAGAGCATTAATACATGTGTGCTTCAATTTTTCTGTATGTGCTTTAATCAGTAACTCCGAAATCTATCTCAACTTTTTTCGAAATCTCAATGAATTTTTCATTTACCAGTTTTATGCCAAGCAGCCTTATACACACAGCAGAGAAGCAAAGAACAGCCAGGCAGGAGGTGGAATCAGGGCCTTCAATCTCCAAATCCTGCCCCCATACCAGAAAGCCATTTCAGCTTGGCGAATGAAGTAAGTTTTCCTTTTACTTTCCCACCTCCTGGAGCTGTTGATTCTTCCTGAACTGCAAGTTCATTTTCATTTTTAACACAGCATTTTCGTGCAAAACAGCAGTTTAAATTTTTTAGAAATGCATCACAAACATGCCTTCGCTTGTGAAATAGTCATGCCGCGTCCTTTCCTTTGGGCGGATGGAAGCGAAATGGCTAGGTTGAGCTCAGGTGAGGAGCAAATGGAATAATAATAATTTATTATTTGTACCCCGCCTATCTGGCTGGGTTTCCCCAGCCACTCTGGGCGACTTCCACAAAGACCAAAAATACACTAAGATGTCACACATTAAAATCTTCCCTGAACAGGGCTGCCTTAAGATGTCTTCTGAATGTCAGGTAGTTGTTTATCTCTTTGACATCTGATGGGAAGGCGTTCCACAGGGCGGGTGCCACTACCGAGAAGGCCCTCTGCCTGGTTCCTTGTAGCTTTGCTTCTTGCAATGAGGGAACCGGCAGAAGGCCCTCGGCGCTGGACCTCAGCGTCTGGGCAGAACAATGGGGGTGGAGACGCTCCTTCAGGTATACTGGGCAGAGGCCATTTAGGGCTTTAAAGGACAACACCAACACTTTGCATTGTGCTCGAAAACGTACTGGGAGCCAGTGTAGGTCTTTCAAGACCGGTGTTATGTGGTCTCGGTGGCCGCCCCCAGTCACCAGTCTAGCTGCCGCATTCTGGATTAGTTGTATTTTCCGGGTCACCTTCAAAGGTAGCCCCACGTAGAGCGCATTGCAGTAGTCCAAGCGGGCGATAACTAGAGCAGGGAAGCAGGGAATGTGGCAATAGGTGGAAAGGATGTTGTGTGGATGCCACTCACAAGAATGACACACAGTGGATTTACATCCTCATTAAACTCCTGTGTGGACAAGCCCTAGACGTTGCATGCAATGATATTTCAGGATTCTTTAACAAACTTAGATTTTGTTTCAACATTTTGGGCAAGGCGTATGAATATTTATCATTTGTATGAAAACGAAATTAAAAATATACGAGAAGGATAGGAAGCTGTGTGCTATGTGGTAGCATTTTGTTCTCTTGTCAATTAACATTCAGATCATGGCTTAACAAATGAAACACTGGGAGAGATGTCAAATTTAACAAAGAACACTCCTTTAATCCACCGTTTCCTTGCTGCTTTTGCTACTCCTTTTATCATGCATTCGCTATGATTCCTATTATCCCATCAAGATCTATGTCAACACTTATCCCTGGAGATGTCCCTCAACTACTAGAATCTGACAGCTAAGCTTTGGTGCTAAACAGGATCATTACCTCTTAAATCTACTTATCTGAACCACTGAATAAGTAAATTGAAAAGCTCATTAACAGCAACAATCTAATTTGTTTTCACATGTGACAGGGTCATTTTAAATAGCTGTGTGGGTAACATAGCTATACCATACATTGTGGAAAAGAATAGCTCTTAAATTAAAACAGCTACGGAATTATGCTATTTATTTGTGTTTATCCTGCTCTTCGTACAATTTTGTCTAGTACAATTTTGCATAGAAAAGTATCATAAATACACACAACATACGCAGGCTGTGGAATGGTTTTGGTTGTTTTCTTTAAAAAAAAAAAAAACCTAACAAGGCAAATACAGCCCAATGGAGCATGTGCCTGCTTGGCAGCCTTGGAAAATTGATTGTGCTGGAAAATAAAAACGGGTGGGGAAAGCCGAATACTTTGCTTGAGTGCCTTCCATCTTCCTGGGTGGGTGGGGGCCCTGATTGGCTTGTTGGTTCCATGCTAGTCTTCTGCTAGGGTGGTGAGGAAGCTGCAGCAATTTGCCGCAGGTCCCACTTGTAACATTCAAGATGCAACCCCTCTGCAGACAGTTCTTGCAGGTTCATGCCAGTCTCAGCTTGAGATCAGGCACTGCGTCCCACTTCTCTGCTGGGGATGTGACTGAGATGGACTCAACAAGCTCGTCCCTCTCTGTAATCCAAATCCTGGTTGCAGGTTTAGATGCAATTTATTGCCCCAATGCATGGAATCTACCCATATGCTGCTGAGGGGGTGGGTGGGTTATTGATCATACAGTCCCCTGTGAAGTTGGATCTGCCAATATGCGGAGGTCAGGTAGAAAAGGCGGGCAAGGCCAGTAGGAGTGATAACTCCATGTAACACAGAGCAATAGCCTCTACTCAGTCTTATGTTCCCCAGATTCATCAAACATGGTGTCTATAACACTATGGGAAACTCTTATAACTCTATGCCTCTGGGAAGAGTTGATAGGGCGCTTCCAGGTGAATTTTGCGTCTCACAAATAATACAAAACGTGTGTAACAAACACAGCAGTGTGGGGCTACAATATTCTCAGTTGGAGCTAAATTACAAAAGCCCCCCTCATATTCAGTGCTTATGCCCTAAGTAAAAAATTAGGTTCAGTTGAAAGCAAGGAAAGATTCAGCAATGAGCTCCATTCAAATATATTCCCATTAGCTAATGTTTCTCTTCTTACAGGACATAATGTGATCAGAAGGTGAAGCAGTGTCCAATCAAATTATTCCCAAATCAATTCAATACTTAAAATACCACAAGGTAACATTACAGAAACGAGAATAGCCTATTCTTATTTCTTCTGCAATCCAAAAGGGTTTGCAGTTATTTAGGGCGGTGGGGAGGGTATGTTGTGGTATGCTGCAAAGAATACAGGAGGCAGTGAGACAAATATCCAACTTCAGGGACAAAATTGCAGAAAGTGGTATATTTGAATTTAATCTTAGGCTGAGAAAAGATGGTATCATCATTAAATAAATGAAAGCATCATACTATATTGTTCATACAATCCTTCGGCCCCGGACATGTTTAGCTAAGAAGAAGAAGCTAATTACGTCAATCCTTAAAATGTGAAGCATATTATAAAACTGGGAAACTGAGAATGAGGGTTTCTAAAGGTTGTATGGATATATAATGACAGTCAGAGAAATTCAATAACAGCTCTGTATGGAATGTGCTCAGAAGCACCGCATGAAACAAATTAAACTAGAACAATGAATCCTTCACACTGTGCAACTAAGAAAAGAAAATGTTGATTCTCTGTGTTTCATATGGGTTGCAATAATGAATTAAGATTTTGGGTAGCAGATCTTCACAAAATTACAGTAAAGTTATTACCAAGAGGCACAGCATAAATGTTTTAGCTCTTACAACTTCTTGAACTTTATTCAGGCTTTGCTGCAGGAAACCAGCAGTAATACAGATGCAACATTAAAGCATTTTGTCATCAGATAACTTAGGACAGTCAAACATTTACTAGCTGAGCTGAGATAATAAACACAATGAGTTGGCCACTGCATAGGAGTTTGGGGAAAACACATAGGGCAGGATTCACTTAACAAGCCCGTCAGTAGAAGCCCTGCACAAAGGCTTCTGCTGGTGCAATGGGGCATTCACCACCCCCTAAAATTGGCTCGGGGGTGGTGGTGTCACAAGAACCCCTATAACAGTGCATGGAGGACAGATTGTTCTATGTGGCAAACCGCAATGATTGTGGAGATGGAACCATTAAGAGTGCAGTGTTGAATTGCATCAATAGGAAGGAAGTTGCCTTATACCAAGCTGCACAATTGGTCCATCTAAGTCACTACTGTCTACACCAGCCTTCCCCCAACTGGTGTCCTTTAAAAGGGTGGACTGTCCTGAGAACTTTGGAAGAAGAGTGGGATAAAGACACCATGAAGAAAATAAAGTCAAAATTTCCAAAATGTAAAATGTGAGTATGCTAGTTCTAAACAGATATATTTTAGAGCAGTGTCTTGAGTACAAAGGACAAAGCCCTTTGGAAAGTACAGTGGTACCTCGGGTTACATACGCTTCAGGTTACAGACTCCACTAACCCATAAATAGTACCTCGGGTTAAGAACTTTGCTTCAGGATGAGAACAGAAATCGTGCTCTGTTGGCGCAGCGGCAGCGGGAGGCCCCATTAGCTAAAGTGGTGCTTCAGGTTAAGAACAGTTTCAGGTTAAGAACGGACCTCCGGAATGAATTAAGTACTTAACCCGAGGTACCACTGTATAATGGAATTTTCTTTTGACTGTGCCTTTGGTATGTGCAAGAAAATATAGCTGTTGATTCCTGTTCAACTCTCTGTTTGGAATTTTATCCCTGGGTGTGAAGTAGCTAGCAAATACACTGTCATTTCATTCAGATGCCCCCCATCCTTGCCAATTAAAAGAATTCTGAACAGATTCTGTACCCAAATATGGCACAGCTGGAATTCTGGCAGTAAGAGAAGCATCTGGGGAAAGGAGATACTCTCCCATCTCCAGCAATCCCCTCCCAGCCAAATCTGACATATCTTTAAGCAGTCATATACAGGCAGTGAGAAATTTCTGCACACCAGAAAGTTCAGCATGGTCAAAGGATGGAGAAGTCTTGCATCACCATGGGAAAGGGGCTGATCCCTGAAGCTACTTAACACCAGGAACTGGAGAAGTGGAAGGATGGCCTCCCCCCAAATTCTTCAGACATAACTCTCAGAATTCCTGGAGCTGCCACTGCTGCTTGAGAAAGCACCTCCATCTTTTCCACCCCATCACTGTTGAGCAGAGATGGGCCTTCAGTAGACTATGCAACTATGGCAGGGGTCAGCAAAGTTTTTGTGGCTTGGGCCTCTTCACGGTCCCGCTGACGCTGTGGTGGGCCAGAGTGTGTGTGCGTGCGCATGCGCAAACACTATTTCCGGTGCTCCTGCCAGTGCAGAGGAGGTGTGCACAGCTTCCCATTGGCTGCAGGAGCTTCCTGCAGCCAATGGGAAGCGGCCCGCGTCATGGAAGGTGGTCCCCGCTCTGCTCTGCGCTGGTTTAGCGTGGCGGATGGGAGCCGACCGAGCGGGTGGCAGGGGTCCTCAAGCAGGCAGTGGGGGTCCATGGGCTGGTTAAACGACCCCCATGGGCCGCTAATGGCCCACTGGCCTTAGGCTGCACTATGGCATAAAAACAGTGCAAAAGGAAGGGCACATCCTATCAGACCACACAGGCTGGTGTCACATAGGAAAATTAGGAAGCTAACTTGCCCAGGCAGACCATGGGTCTTTTCGTCTAGCTCAGTGTTGACACAACTCTCGAAGTTTACAGATAAGAATCTTTCCCAGCCAAAGAGACACCGAGGATCGTCTGCTTACAAAGCATGTTTCACCTCCAAGCTATGCTCTAGAAATATATGACATGTCATCAAGATATCCATAATACCAACCAACAAATACCATCTATTTATAGCCTTTTATGACAGTCTTATGATAATGTGTTATATTCTTTCTTTTTCCTATTCTGAGAGGCCTTGCGTTGACATTTCCCCTATTTAAAGATAATTTCTTCCTATTGGTTCCCCCTCAACATGAACGTTAGTTGCCACATCATAAAAAGCAATGTGTGAAGTAGGCCTTAAAGTTGCGACAAGGTGGCTAATGTTATTTTTAGCCAATGGTATTTTTAGAGAGGGACGCGGGTGGGGCTGTGGGTTAAACCACAGTGCCTAGGACTTGCCGATCAGAAGGTCGGCGGTTTGAATCCCCATGACGGGGTGAGCTCCTGTTGCTCGGTCCCTGCTCCTGCCAACCTAGCAGTTCGAAAGTACATCCAAGTGCAAGTAGATAAATAGGTACCACTCCGGCGGGAAGGTAAACGGCGTTTCCGTGTGCTGCTCTGGTTCGCCAGAAGTGGCTTAGTCATGCTGGCCACATGACCCGGAAGCTGTACGCCGGCTCCCTCGGCCAATAAAGCCAGATGAACGCCGCAACCCCAGAGTCAGTCAAGACTGGACCTAATGGTCAGGGGTCCCTTTACCTTTTTATTTTTAGAGAATCCATCTTGCAAGGGTCTTTCTCCTATGTATCAGAAGCATAGCAGGGCCCTTATTTAAAGTAGATAATCATTTCAATCCAGCAAGGTTGAGGGATCTTCAGAAATGGGTTTGTGTGCATGGGCTGAATATCTGGGATGCTGTCATTTATGTGTAAAAGGTACAGAGCGGGGTGGGGGTGGGGGAATCAGGGTGCATGTGAGGAGTTTGTTTCTATATCCTGCATGAACCACCAAATAAACAGTAGCAGAGTTGATGACTTGTAACATGCACTGTGTGTTTTCAGACAGGCTCCTCCTCCTCTGAGTTGACAGGATATCTTCAAGTGCAAAAAGTATACTGAAGCCTACTGCCTGCATGCAAGGTTTCCTGGATCAGGGCCTGTGTGCGATTTAAGCCATATATCAGAATGCTTTTTGCACATTTATATCAGAGCCTTGGGGGAAGGGGGAAGGCTACACCATAGCTAATACTAGCAATTTGAACACTACTCTTTGGCAGGCCAGAAATAAGATAATTGTTCAACATAGGCTGGCTCTTTTGAACTACTGGAAGCATTGCCTGTAATTATAGACATCTGTCATTGCTAGCCACTCAGTAGTAATCCTGACATCAGTATACAACTATAACACTAAACTGCCTCCAGGCATAGTAATGGAGGCCAGATACGAAAGGCGGGCAATCATCTGCTTCATCCAAACTATCTGTCAAAGGTTCCCAACCACAAACAGCGCTTACATTTTGTATCCTTAGGATAATATGTTGATTTATTTTAGATCCTCTAATATTTACAGTCTAGACCATCTACTAAAATAAAGAAAAGAAACCTTACAGCTAATCGAGGCTGTTAGTATTTCATATCATCCTGAAAGATCATAGCTCACCTCTCCAACGTTAAATATTGCCAGCCATTTTGAACATGTCCCATTAGAATAATAAAAGGTACTAATTATCTAAGTATATTCAGACCTCATTAGAAAAATTATTGTACAGGTAGTTACATTTTAGATCTTTACGTAGCTTTCACATAATGCAAATGTAACAGCACAATCTCAATTATGTCTACACAGAAGTAACTCCTATTTAATTCAATGGGTCTTACTCCTCGGTATGTAGAGTTAGAACTACCTAAGTGTGCTATACTTGCAACAAGTAAGACAAGAGTGTGTTTTATTTAATTTTATTTTGCTGAAAACTGAACGTTGCAGTATTTGCAAGTCATGTTCGGAGAAGATCCATTATTAATTCTAGACATAAAATGTGTTTAGGCTTTCATGAGGAGAATTAGGAAACAAAATTTAAGTTAGATGTATAATCACAACAGCAATTGGAGCGAAGAACAAAAAGTGGCTGTGGGCTTAAGCTAATTAAGAATGAACAACCCTATAATTATTATAATCTGTTATTAACGAAACCAAGACAGCCCATATGAAAAAACACAGTTCGTACCAAGGAGAAACTATTAATTATTAGACAGACTGTTAGCTTACAAGTGAGATGCATTTTAAAAACCTCCTTTAAAATACAATTGCTAAATGCCTTACAGTGCTGTAACGTGAGACAGGTTCAAATCTTATTACTTCACTGAAATTAAAACCTAAGTTTTAATACTGTTCAAGTCGAACAACGATTCCACACTTTATTGCTTTTGAAATCCCTTGATGATCATAGGAAAAAATGCCCTCGAGAAAAAAAGACTCTGTTTTCGATAAACAGAAAATACAGTTTGCACTCTTAGCCTCTTTGTCATCACAAAAAAAGGATTTAATGCCAATTCTTAAAAAAAAGACTTTTTTCACAAAATGTGCACCTTGTGTGCCATTTGTAAAATCAGTTCACTTTCTTTTATTTATTACTGCAGTGCGGCAAGGCAATAAAGCAGCTACCGATAGCTAATAAATTACATGCCTTTTAAAACAATTCTCCAGCCACAAAAACTTGTAACTACAAAGGTTTACATTTACATGGTACATCATGTGAAATGTCTATATTTATGTCTTATTAACCACTTTAGGAAAATCTGACCTTTTATCTAGTAGCTGAAGGCAAATCTGAGGTTATATCTAAGAGTAAATACACATAGAGAATGTGCCACCTATCCACTAGCACTCCAATTCTTGCCATTCTTATTATGTAATCAACACAAAATTTGGCACACAGTTAAAATAATTAGCTGGTCGAGATATGCCAGGCTTACAAAAATAAGGTGTCCCTCAACACCTTACTGTTCAACTTGAACAGTATTAAAACTTAGGTTTTAATTTCAGCGAAGTAATAAGATTTGAACTTGGACAAAAAAAGAACATTAATTTTCAGCTACACTTTCCATAAGAAAATGGGAGTTATGGCTAAATCTCCTAGCTACAAAGGATTTTCAACAATATACACATTTTCGGGACGTGCGAGGGGGAAGCTGCACTGATTGTTCATTAGGTACATTTAATAATTCCACAAGAAAGCTCTTTTAGGTTAAAAAGCAAATAATGAAACATAACCAAGGCCATCTTATTTAATCGTACAGTCACAGTAAATACCATTAATATCGTGAAGGTACACTTTGATAACATTGCACCATGCTGGAACACAATGGGCTCTCCAGAGCCTTCTAATTACACTATATATTTCACATGCTTTGGTTAAATATAGGATTTTCTTGATATGCTATGTTCTTTTCCTTACTACTGATTGGCGCATATATATATATATATATATATATATATATATATATATTTCCCCTACTACTGATTGGCTCTTAACTTATAGTGATCAGTCTGCAACACTGTTCTTTATAAGCTATGTGAACATAGTTGTATATTCACATAGTTTGGGATTCCAAGAACTAGAGCAAGTAATGTGCCTTTACACATAATATGAGATCCTAAGCAGAGACCTGAAGGACCAACTGGCCTGCTTAGAGTTTACATAAGTAATCATTGTTTACTCTTGATTGGACCATGTTAATAACTGCTCCTCCAAAAGTGAGGCTTGCACCTGTAGCATTCTAATCCTGTTCCTTGTTTCTGAATGGATGCCCCCCATATTAGTGTGTTCTATTGGGACCACCACCACGTTTCTTGCAGCACTGGGGCCAATCATTTGATCTTCAAAGCAGCGAGCTGATATGAAGCATCTAGAAATGAAGCCTGGTCAAGGGAATGGGCTATCTACAAGGAAATTAACATGCTCAACAGTTCATAGGAGGCATGGGCTGTTCAATGCAGATAGGAAAAAGTGATTATTCAGAATCGAAGACTATTGCAAGGCAATTTGGTTCTATATTACTCCCTAGAGACTATCAGCCTCTTCCTTTTCCATAACTGAGATCAACAGGGGGGTGGTGAGGAACCACAAACGAAGGGGAGAATGTTGTCACTGCTGGGAACATCTGCAGTTAAGTCTGGCATTCATGGACTACCTAGACTTCAGTGATCTTGAAAGATCTTAGCTGTTGAGGCTCAAGCTCCCTCATACAGTGGTACCTCGGGTTACATACGCTTCAGGCTACAGACTCCGCTAACCCAGAAATAGTGCTTCAGGTTAAGAACTTTGCTTCAGGATGAGAACAGAAATCGTGCTCCGGTGGCACGGCAGCAGCAGGAGGCCCCATTAGCTAAAGTGGTGCTTCAGGTTAAGAACAGTTTCAGGTTAAGTACGGATCTCCGGAACGAATTAAGTACTTAACCTGAGGTACCACTGTACTTGATGGAAATAGTAGCATTTACTTTTTTGTACCTCTCTCTGCAGGATGCCAAAGGGAGCCCCCATGAAGCAGGCTAATGTAGATCTTCAACGCATTCATCTTAATAGTTTAAGACCTTGGAGCAACCTCCCAGTTAATTAACACAGGTGATTGCTGTTCTGGCAAACAGCAATTATAATTTAGGATTACTGCATGGTTAGGAATGAAGATACCTTTGCATCTTCAGACATAGTCACCCACTCCCTTGTGATTTTTCTTTGGTCTTTGTTCATGTCCTCGTATGATGGTTTGGACATTTTGGGAACAAGCAATGAGTTTGAATACTCTCTTCCTGCTGCTTCTTCCATCCCTTGCCTGGTTTAACAGAATACCTGATTTATTTATTTTAAATCATTTCTATACCACTTTCCTTTTAAAAAATAAATCCAAATTAAGTTTACAAATATTAAAATAATAATAGTTCTAATAAAAGATAACGATGAAACAGTAAAACATTAGAATTACAGGACATGGGGCAAGAAAATCTGGCATCCAAAAAAATGTTTTAAGTAAGTGACAGAAGCACACCATCACAGCTGCCTGCTAAACTGTAGACATGTCTGTGTCACCACAAGATGGAGTTTGCAGTTTGCAACATGGGATAACAGGTTTCTTGGTAATCAGGCATGCCTATGTCTGGGAAATAAATCTGCAGAGCCAGAGGACAGAGCTGTCATAACCCACAGCCTGGGGACCTTGTAGTACATGGCTGGAGACCCAGATGAGGAAGAGGTCCAGGCTATTTCCTGGGGGGTGGGGTGGGAGAGAAGAATCACCAAAAACTCATTCAGGTCCCTCCCAGCTGGAGGATATATGAACATAAGAACAGCCTGCTGTACCAGACCAATGGCCCATCTAGTACAGCATCCTATTCTCCAAGTGGCCAACCAAATGACTATGGGCCACTCATAAGCAGGACCTAAGCACAAGAGAATTCTCCCTTCCTGTGGCTTCCAGGAACTGGTAGTTGGAAGCATTACTGCCCACCAGCACTACCCTCCCATCATATTTAGACTCAAGAGGATGAGTTCCCTACAGTACCTCTGCCCCTCTAGTCTCAACGGAGCCAAAGGCTACAAAATAAGGCAAGGGCCAGTAAACCAAATAATTTGGCCAGCCAACTCACCCGGGGAGGTAGAGGTAGAGTCTTCCAAAATGACCAACTTAAGAATGCTTGAATGTTTGTCTCTAGTGTCCCATGGAGACAACTTCCCTTGTAGATGTTTTAGCAGGATTCCTTGGAGAAGACCAAGGTCTTGTTTTGACCTCTGTTTAACTCAGACATCTGACATGGACATCCTGGCTCCACAAATGTCCACAGAACTAGACAGCAGTTAAGAAAACAGCTTCTACTTTTTACAATCATGTTTTTCATTATTTTTTCCTTAATATTTGGTAGATACATGTTTAAAATGCTCTTTACCTTAAGTAAACAAATACACTCATGGAAGATTAAGACCAAGCCTAACTATTTTATGGAAGAAATATAAATATTAAGTTCAGACTGGCTTTCAGATGCTCTTTGTATGTGGGAGTCACTTTCCTATGGTTTCATTTTTTTGTGCTGCAGCATTTAAGACACCAAAACTATATCCTTTGCTCCAACAACTGCATGGGAAAGACTTACAAGATTGGTCCTGCCCACCTGGCATTGAGGTTTTTAAATGTTACAGAAGCATTCTGGAGTGAAATCATGGTTCCCTTAGTGACCAGTGGCTGGGGCCTTTATTTGAGTTCATTTTAGAATTATTTCATGTTTTTGTAATTATATTTTAATTTTATATACTGCATTTAAATTTGTGGCTGTGTGCTGTAATGAGTCAGAGTCTTTGGTTTATTAATTATCAATTAAGGCATTGGGTTGCATTCAGCTCCTCACTCCAAATGCTCCAGAGGGTTTCCGACACCCTGGAGTAGATTTTGAGGGCGTGTAGGGGGCCGGAGGGGAAATAAAATCAAGAGGCAGATCTGTTGGGCATGTGGAAGTGTGTTGCATGAGTGGACCAGCAGTATTAGATACAGTCCATGCTAAATAATTCTAAAACAAAAGTTCTATATAGCATAAATTTAAGTTACATCTTAAGTTCTTCAGAAAAATGTGGAGGAGAAGGAAAATCTGGAGTGTACTGGATTCATGGATCAGAATTCATGGATTTAAAACATAATAATCATAGCTTTATTCAAGAAGAATAAGGAAATATTTTCTCTATTTCAAATAGTGTTGCATAGATGGTATACATTTAATGCCACACAGATGATCAGTATCTTTAATTATATGGTAAGTCTATGGCAAGCAGACATTTCAGTTTAATAGGATCAGACTGCAGGAAAATGCAGCCGTGTCTGTAAAAAGCAAATACAGAGATGCCTTCACTTCTACAAATAGGCAATGACAAATACACTGTACAAAAACGCCAATAAATTATTCAACTCTGATCTTTAAAAAACCTCATATTTAAGGGAAGTGTTTTGACTCAGAAAGGTTGCTATCTAGCATTACATCAGCTCAAAAGAAAAAAATTAATACGGAGTATTGCTTTCATTCTCTCCACATATAATATGCTACTGCGTCCACATCATTTTCAGACACTAATGGGGCAGAATGACCATTCCCAGAAGAGGTAAGCTAGAGGGGAAAAACATCACTGTATTTACATTTCAAGTTTTAAAAAAGAAGATAATTATCAAGTGGGGTGGTGGTGGGGAATTCTTCCAATTCAAATAGTTACTGCAAGAGCAACCATTGTATATACGGATTCTCAATGCATCTTGACTGCCTATCACCACAAGACATGAAACAACAAACGGTAGTCAACAATGAATGATGAGTCCTGGATAGCTTATGTCAGCACTTGACACGTTCTCAGAAACAACTAGCGTTATCACCTCTACGTTTGCCTTACCTGTGTCCTTAAAATACGAGGACTGCATAGCTGATTTTCAGTTATATTGTTTTATAACCTAAACGTATATGCATAAGCATTTGAAACAAGCCCACTGTGTCCATTAAGGTTTATTCCTAGGTAAATGTGCATAGAATAATACCTACACCCTTCAAAAATTAACGCAATTAAAAACGCAGTGGTTTTACTTTTTTAGAACTGTTGCTTACTATCTCCACTGAATACTTGTGGAATGGTTATACTGAATCGCTGGATTTTAGCCACACAATCCATAGTGGACTCATCTTGCAAAGCTCAAATATATCCCAGTGTACATCTGAGGCAAGCCAAATGCTTTGCATTCAAGCAAATGTTTTTATGAATGCATGACACATTCACAAATTTTTATGATGTATCATATTGGGCTGAATTTGTCAAATACCTGGCTTCTTTAAATAATTAAAAGGGGGAAAACATAGGTACACAATCACCCTTAGATCCTTATTCCGAGTCACACATTCAGCTGTTTAAAAGAGATGCTATAAATATGCTGTATACCCAACAATTATTTTACATAAGTGAAAGCAAGTGTCCCTCAAAATGCACTTCATTTTTAAAGGGTAAGCCAATTCCTTTTTAAAAAATTAGTTGAATTGACAAAGGATGTTGTCCGGCTCAAAAATCGACGCAATAAAAATTAGGACTTAGCACAAGAGTGCGGGAACAGCATTTAATGTCTGTGGATACAAATTCTCCATTGCACCTGCCCTCCACTTTGCGAAAGAACATCAGCCTGCCACTGATTATGTGTTTCTGACATGATTTATCACCTACTATTCTTTAAACTTGATAAAGCAAATTAATCTTTGATTGCAGAAGCCACTAGAGGTTGTCATTAGTCATGTAGTTTGGTGAGGCTGCATGCGTTTCATTTACCAGTCACAGAAAAATGAAAGCCCAGCAGCCATCACTGGCTACTTTCAACCTTTTTCTTGGAGAAATGTTCCAAGAATTTATGGTATTTTCAATGACAGCTTCAGAGCTGCCCTACATAAGTGGTAATTACTCCTTAATGTTGTTTCTAAAAACAATGCCAATGCACTTACCCTTTGGACAGAATATTCCAACAATGCAATTTGTATTAAAATTAAATATTCTTTTAAATGGGAGCAGGTCTGCAAAACCAGGCAATTAATGTCTTTTGGACATTCCAAGTCACTTACAGCTGTAGTAACCCAGAGCAAATAGAAATAATATTGTAAAATAAGGTTTTCTAACTATAAGTTGTTGTTTTTTAATTAAAAAAAAACTGGTAAAATTTAATACATTTTAGCTAGGAGGCCTTTGACTTATCCATCAAAAATGCCACAACCCAGGTCATGCTTGACAAGTAAGCCCCTTTCACTTGAAAAGCCCGCAGATATTTCAAATTATCGTTTGACTGCTCAAAGACGAATCTTCTCTCCCTCTCTTCTCACCCCCTTCCACAATATAGTCCAGCCTTTCTCTATGCCTACAACCTTCCATGATTCTGGCGTAACTTCTGTTTTCATTTTAATGTATACCCACTAATGCTTTGAAGAAAAATGCTGGTATGTACCACAAGTATCCAAGGGTTTTGTCACAAGAAGAAAATCTAGGGGAAGGTGGAACATAGAGACAGTTGCCATGAAAGCTGTTAAACATCTTAATACTTACAAGGTCACAGAATCACTGGGCTGAGATGGATCAAGAAGTCATTTCATTAACACCCCTTATTTAACATCAGTCAGGAATCTCCATGTCCTTAAACCATTTACATGAACCCCCAAACTCCCAGATGCACTGCTACTACAACACTTCGGGTGGATCTCTTATATAAATGAGAAACAGAAGCTGGAGGTTCCTTACTTCCTAAGGGATGCAACCAGGGGTGCCAATAAGATTTTCTAGGTCCAATACAATGTATGTGGATTGGGCCGTCCAGCCCACTAGCAAAAGAGGACACAGATTTGTGTAAAATTTGCACACGTGTGGTGTGGGACAATCAAATGTTAAATCAACAACAAGGTGCTTCCCTATCTGTGCCAAATATAGTCCAAAATCTTCCAAGAGTTGTGGGAGGGTGAAGAATGCCCTCAGACTTAAGTTTTATGCTCGATAAATAAAGTTAAAGGTAAAGGGACCCCTGACCATTAGGTCCAGTCGTGACCGACTCTGGGGTTGCGGCCCTCATCTCGCTTTATTGGCCGAGGGAGCCGGCGTGCAGCTTCTGGGTCATGTGGCCAGCATGACTAAGCTGCTTCTGGCGAATCAGAGCAGTGCATGGAAACGCCGTTTACCTTCCTGCCGGAGCGGTACCTATTTATCTACTTGCACTTTGACGTGCTTTTGAACTGCTAGGTTGGCTGGAGCAGGGACCGAGCAACGGGAGCTCACCCCGTTGCAGGGATTTGAACCGCCGACCTTCTGATCGGCAAGCCCTAGGCTCTGGTGCTGAGGAAAGCCCAAAAATAAATCAGTGGCTACACATGTAATGAAATGTCTGACAGACAGAATGTGAACAAGTGAGACTTTCCCCATAATTGTATTTCCATGTTAGAAAAGGACCTGTTGAATTTCTGCCTGCCACCTAACTGTTAAAGCCACAAGAACTCTGCTCTCCCCCACCCAGTACCAATTTACTAAACCAAAACCTAGGCTGTAATCCTAGACCCACATTCTAGGAAGACTAGCAGCTTGCTTATTTTATTTTATTTTATTTATTTTATTTAAAGTAAGCTGGAGGCCTGGTATATCAATATCCTCTGTACCTATCTCTCAGCAACCCTAGATGCAACCATGAAGCACAGGTGAGAACTGGCCAAGATGTCAAGAATGACTTGCAGGAGAGTAAGTGTTTCCTGATCTGTGAGTTTGATTCCAACCGGTTCAGAATAGGGTACTTTAATTCAACTAAGAACAAAAGGTAAGGTAAAGGGACCCCTGACCATCAGGTCCAGTCGTGACCGACTCTGGGACTGCGGCACTCATCTCGCTTTATTGGCCGAGGGAGCCGGCGTGCAGCTTCCGGGTCATGTGGCCAGCATGACTAAACCACTTCTGGCAAACCAGAGCAGCGCACGGAAACGCCGTTTACCTTCCCCGCCGGAGCGGTACCTATTTATCTACTTGCACTTTGACGTGCTTTCGAACTGCTAGGTTGGCAGGAGCAGGGACCGAGCAACAGGAGCTCACCCCATCACGGGGATTCGAACCACTATTCAACTAAGAATAGACACCCTGATATTATTGAACCAAACTCAGTAACGTTCATTAATTTCAGTGGGTCTTCTCTCAGTAAAACTAACTGCATACCACTTCCACAGGCCAACAAACATTCAGTACAACTGCCTGCACAGGTAACCCTAAATTAGTTTACTTTGTTGTAGTCTTTAATATAAAAATTACAAAGAGTCAAGAGTCTCATGGGTTGCAGAGATGGATTTAAAATATCACGCACACAGGGCTGAGTTAAATCACTGATGCAAATCAAGCTCCTCTGTGTATTTCCTGAACATGCATAATTGACTATCAACAATTAAAAATATATCCGTTTGTTGCTAGACGTAAGCTTTATGCTACCTAGAAGCATACCCCAAAATACAGTTACTAGTGTTTTCGTCATATGCTGAAAATGTGCCTCTTTGCCAGGGGTCAGCAACCTTTCTCAGCCGTGGGCCGGTCCACCGTCCCTCAGACCATGTGGTGGGCTGGACTATATTTTTTTTTGGAGGGGGGGGAATGAACGAATTCCTATGTCACACAAATAACCCAGAGATGCATTTTAAATAAAAGCACACATTCTACTCATGTAAAAACACCAGGCAGGCCCCACAAATAACCCAGAGATACATTTTAAATAAAAGCACACAACCTACTTATGTAAAAACACGCTGATTCCCGGACCGTCCACAGGCTGGACTGAGAAGGCGATTGGGCCGCATCTGGCCCCCGGGCCTACCCCTGCTCTTTGCCATGGCCTTCTCTCACAATTCCTGCCACCCCTGTTGCTCTGCTGCCTCAGCTCTCTCCTTCCTCCTGCAAAGGGCACTGAAGCACAAGAGCATGTGCAGAAGAAAGCAGTCTACCCAGGAACTTTCCTCAGTAATATAGAAATCATGAGCTTTTTGTTTCAAGAGCAGCCACCAGGCTGGTAGTGGTTGAAGGAGACACTGGGAGCCCATTGTCCCCTTCTTTTCTCCTGTGTCTCCCATATGTCTCTGTCTCCCTTCTCGCTTCCTCCCTTCTGTTTGTATGTGTGTGCCTGTGTCTCACCTCTACATAAAAAGGTGAAGGGACCCCTGACCATTAGGTCCAGTCGTGACCGACTCTGGGGTTGCGGCACTCATTTCGCTTTATTTGCCGAGGGAGCCGGCGTACAGCTTCCGGGTCATGGGGCCAGCATGACTAAGCCACTTCTAGCAAACCAGAGCAGCGCACGGAAACGCCGTTTACCTTCCCGCTGGAGCGGTACCTATTTATCTACTTGCACTTTGACATGCTTTTGAACTGCTAGGTTGGCAGGAGCAGGGACCGAGCAACGGGAGCTCACCCCGTCGCGGGGATTAAAACCGCTGACCTTCTGATCGGCAAGTCCTAGGATCTGTGGTTTAACCCACAGCACCACCCGTGTCCCTCACCTCTACATAGTTTCATCCTTATTGCTGATATCACGATATCACAATATATCGGTATATCACTATGTTTAGCTAGTGATATTCACAATGTTGAAAACCAGATCTCACTCAGCCCTAAAGGGAGGTTTGGATGCATTAAAAAAAATAAAAATCAGCAGCAACTCACTATATCACTATATTATTATTTTTTTAAAAAAGCTGACGAGTTTCAAAAGCAAGCTGTGATATGCCGTGAAGGTTTAGTAAAAAATTAACTGACCATGCCCAAGTCATCAAGAGTTCCTAAAGCAGTTCTTCTGCTCCCCGCTTAAAGGCAAGAACTTAAGGTAACTGCCTTTAATGATGGTTGAGTTTTTGGTGCCTCGTGAAAATGCATTTATTCACTCTGCTTTCGTGGGATACCAATAACTTGTCTCGAGGGACTGTTTGGCTAAAGTGTCTATTTCTTGTGTTTTGGACTGGAATTCAAATCTGCCACCGCCGAGACTCTGCGGAGTGGGACAAAACACCCTGCGTATCCGCAGCATGGCATTCACAGCAGAAGATGGGGCAGGCAGATTGGGCCCAATCCTCATGCCAGCTTCCGGCTGCCACAGGAGCTGGAGCCAGATCAGGTCCAATGCTGGCTAAAGCCAGTTGTGAGAGCAGCCCAAGATCCAGTGGATCCCAGGCCAACTCAGCCCTGCCTCACCCCAGCCCTTGGAACACCCCGTTTTGTGGTTATCCACTGGGCTCTGAAAGTGGGGAAACTGCCAGGAGAACTTCTGCTTGCCACAAATTCAGCGGGTGAGCCAAAAGAAGCAAACAGAGGGATGCCTCCGCTCAATCCACCCACAGACCCAGAATGGCAGGGCTGGGGCTGCAGAGCAGAGACATCACCTTGCCAACAAAGGTCTGTTTGGTTAAAGCTATGGTTTTCCCAGTAGTGATATATGGAAGTAAGAGCTGGACCATAAAGAAGGCTGAACACCGAAGAATTGATGCTTTTGAATTATGGTCCTGGAGGAGACTCTTGAGAGTCCCATGGACTGCAAGAAGATCAAACCTATCCATTCTGAAGGAAATCAGCCCTGAGTGCTCACTGGAAGGACAGATCCTGAGCTGAGTCTCCAATACTTTGGCCACCTCATGAGAAGAGAAGACTCCCTGGAAAAGACCCTGATGTTGGGAAAGATGGAGGGCACAAGGAGAAGGGGACGACAGACGACAAGATGGCTGGACAGTGTTCTCGAAGCTACCAGCATGAGTTTGACCAAACTGTCAGTGGAAGACAGGAGTGCCTGGCGTGCTCTGGTCCATGGGGTCACGAAGAGTTGGACATGACTAAACAACCAACAAGCAAGCTTTTATTTACCTTGTTTTAATGTGGGGTGGTGGGTTGTTGTTTTTTTAAAAAAGAAGAAGATTTAAACCAACTTGGGATTTATAGGAAAAGTGATATATAATTTTTTTAAAAAAAATAATAATAATTAATGCTTAGAAAGTTAGTTGCCTAGAGGGAAGGCACAAGCTCCAGATGCAAAATCTCCTTGTACAACAACCTCACATAAGTTCCTTAAAAACAAATCTGCCAGACATGCAAAAACAGGAAGCTCAACTCTCTTGCACTGCACATATCATTCCCCAACGTCTAAATTCACATGTGAAGCTGCTCTTCAGTCACAATTAATGTAGGAAGAGAACAAAGCTTGACACAACCTCCACTGCCAGCTTGACAAGCAGAACAAAAGGTTTACAAATTGCTGAAAGACATTAAAACCCTTTAGAGATCAAGTAATATGCACACCTTATTTTATGCATACCTGTATTGCTTTACAAAGATATGAGGCCTTAAATACAGAATGCTGTAGAATACAAAAAAAAAAAAAGGATGAAAGCGGGAAAGTATTTTTAAAAAATAAAACTAGCTTTGTCCCTGAACAATAATCACAAACCTCAGCATATTTTGCAGACTCCCCAGAGAATTACAAATGCACACAGTTATTTATTTATTTATATCAGATTCCGGTAAGGAAGATGCTCTCAAGAAAGTTGAAATCACTGCATAATGCTGTATGTTTTTCTGTTGCTGTAATTCTATGGATAATTGTATGTTTGCTTAAAACACGACAACAATAATAAAACATACACACACACACACACAACACATGCGCAGTATTTGGGTTCGATTAAGAAACTATAAATTTCATCTATTGAACATTAGCAAAAATTACATGTGTTTATCATCTCGATTATTCTCAGATTAATAGAGATAAATGACAAGACATAACCAGCAGCAGCTCTGCAACTTAATCATTGCATCTGAGCTATAGGAAGCACTTAATTACTCTCATTTTCTAGGCTGAATCTAATGAGAAGGCATTAGCCAAATGAAAAGAATGCAGTACAAACAAACAAAATAGTTACACCATCATTAAAGAGAAACTCTGACAGTGCAGGTGACAGCGAATGCTGCATAAATTACCATAATGTTCTAAATGCTGAGCTGTCAGAATGCTAACACAGTGATCACATACCCTGGGAATCTCAGCACTATAGCTGTCAGAAACAGGTATCATAAATCACCTCTCTCGACTGTATTGCTCATTACTACAGCTATCTTTATACATGTTTTCCAGCACTCTTCTATACAGAGATAAAGGGAAGGCTCCTCTATGAGACAGTTTGCTCTGGCAGACATTATATACAATCGTTGCTTTTAAATGGAGACTTTTTTTCATTATAATGAATTTAAATGTCTTATTAATGCTCACAGTCCTTTACTTCAACATGCAAAACCCATACAATGCAGAAACAGCAGATTACCCTGTCATATAGCTGCCGCGCTGGTAAAAAATAATGATATACCAAGCTTGTCCTTAAAATTATTATTTGTAAGCGCTTGGGTTGCTAGAAATTGTAGGCATGGAGACATATTGGGGAACAAAACCACAGCAATACATGACAAAGTATCAACGTCAGAATTACTAGTACACACATCAAGTGCAAGGGCGGGGGGTGGTAATTGCATAATCAGTGCCCTAGATTGCATTGAAAAGGAGCGCTGGTCAATGTCGTTAGATGGAAAGCAGTACTTTAAAATCTGCAAATGGCTTAACCCACAGTTCCCAGAGAAGTGATGGGGAGCACGGACTTCAGCCAAGGTAGCACATAGCCTGCAATCCTATATACGGGAAGTGACCTGGGAGCTATGAGTCCTATTGAACTCAATGGGATTTGATTCTGAGTAGACATGCATAGGATTGTGCTCTTAAAATAAATTCAGATACAGTGGTACCTCGGTTTTCGAATGTCACCGTTGAGAAACGTTTCGGCTTTCGAACGCCATAAACACAGAAGTAAATACTTTGGTTTTTGAACACTTTTTGGAAGTTGAATATGCCACATGGACTCCGTATTGAGTTTCCCATACTGAGGCTTCCATATTGAGTTTTCAGTTTTTGACTGTTTCGGAACTCGAACGGTTTTCCAGAATGGAATACGTTCAAAAACCGAGGTACAGTGGTACCTCGGGTTAAGTATTTAATTCATCCCGGAGGTCCGTTCTTAACCTGAAACTGTTCTTAATCTGAAGCACCACTTTAGCTAATGGGGCCTCCTGCTGCCGCCGTAGTACAATTTCTGTTCTCAATCTAAAGCAAAGTTCTTAACCCGAGGTAATATTTATGGGTTAGCGGAGTCTGTAACCTGAAGCGTATGTAACCTGAAGCGTATGTAACCCAAGGTACCACTGTACCACTGTACACAGAAAAGTTTTATAGTATAATTCTCGTTGGCAGAATTGTGCCACAGAATAATGGTTTGAGATAATGGCCTGGATTCAAGTAACTGGGCATGCTAGCAGAAGGCAGGGCAAGGACACCAGCTAGTACAGGGGTCAACAAACTTTTTCAGGAAGGGGCCGGTCCACTGTCCCTCAGACCCACGCTCTCCCAAAAGTACTGCCCTCCCAAAAGGATCCCACCGCCTCGTTTTCAGCGTCGGCGTCCTCTGCCTTGGCCAGGGGTCCACAGGGCGCAGAGTCCACACCGCTGGCCTGGGTGGTGGAGGCAACCTCCCCACCACCGCTGCTTCCTTCCACTTAGCTCTTGGCCATACGCGGCCACCTCGGCGGGAAGGAAGGGGCGTCGCCCAGAGGCCTCCGCGGCTTCAGATTGGCTGCAGGAGCTTCCTGTGGCCAATCTGAAGCCACACCAGCATCGCCGCCCGCCCAGACACGTCCGCAGCTTCGCATTGGCTGCAGGAGCTTCCTGCAGTCAATCCAAAGCCGCACTAGTGTCACAGAAGACAGCCTCCACGCCGGTTTGGTGCGGGGACTGACCAAGCAGGCGGCAAGGTCCGCAGGCCGGATTAACGAGCCCAGTGGGCCACATCGGGCTCCCGGGCCTTATTTTTGCCAACCCCTGAGCTAGTACAACAGGGTTCCTCCCCTCCTACCCCCATACTTTCCCAAATCCACTCTGGAAGATCATGAGAACCCCCATAATAGCAGGAAGGGAGAGTGGGGATCATTCCATTTGAAAGCAGAAATGCTTGCACTGATGGAGCCATCAAAAAAGTGTGATGTTCAATTCCTCCCTATATGTCACAGCTTCCTTGAGTCAAAATCCCCGGAACACACAGGCCTAGGGTAGAACTTTCCATGTACAGAAAGTTTTTGACTACAAAATGCTCCCCTAACCTGAAATGCAAGGCAATATGGGTTCATCTGGGGGGATCATTTGGAAAGGGATCAAAACAAAACTGCCATTATCTTAATGAATTAACCCAATTCTGTGGTATAACCAGTCCTGCTTACCACACCCCAAAAAGAGTTTAAAGGGCTGCGGAAAAGGGCAACTGCAATAATCAATGAGGTGCAGCAACTGCACTCGAGGAAAAGATGCAATGTTTGGAGCTTTTTGGCTTAGGGGAGAAAAAAGAGGAGCATTAAAAAAGTTATGAATGGTGTAAAGAAAGTGGATCAGGGGTAGGTTTCTCCCTCTTTCGTAGTTAATAGAATCTGGAGTAATCCAATCAAACTGAGTACGGATGGCGGCTGCCAACTTGGACAGATTTAAAAGGGGATTAGACAAATTAATGGAGGATAAGGCTAGAGTGGCTACTAATGATGGATATATTATCTCCAGTATCAGAAGCGATGTGCCTCTGAATAGCAGTTGCTAGGGAACACTTGAGTGGGAGAGCGCTCTTGTGCTCAAGTCCTGCTAGGGAGCTTCCCAAAGGAATGTTGTTGGCTGGATTAGATGGGCATTTGGTTTGATCCACCAGGACTCTTGTTATGTTTTATGTTTATGTCCCAAAATAGAGTAGCAAACCTCACTTCTTACACCACAACTGTATCACACAATGAGTGATGGGCTTGATGCTGGGGTGCATAAAAATCAATGATTTAAATAAAAAAAAAAATAGGATTTAAAAAAAAATATTTAAATTGGATTTTTAAAATAAAATGCTTTTGGAGGAAAATTCTTTCTAAAGATAGTTTTCTATTTAAGTTGCATTATAGTCCAAAGGCTATTCATCAGGAAATAAGTATTTGTTTTAAGTTTTTCATGTGTGCTAAAACTTCAAGTTTTTATTATTATTGTTTAACCACGTCAGTTAACAAACATGGATACATATGCTATAATGTTATTGTTCTAGTTAAATAAATTGTTTAAACTGTTATTAAGGAAATGATTATTTTTTTCCTTCTAATAAAGTACAGCAGCAAAGTTGTCCAAATGTAAACAGTTAACTTATCAAACCTCACAATAATTTCATTATTATCAGTCTTTGTATTTCTAATAGTATAACCAGTAATTAATATAACTGTAAAAACTGTCTGTAAAAAAAAATGATTTAAATAAAGTCTTACTGACTAGTGATTTAAATCGATTGATCCTGCAGCCAATCGGAAGCCGCAGAAGTCATGTCGGACGTTCGGGTTCCAAAGAGCGTTCAGAAACCAGAACAAACACTTCCGGTTTTTGATTGTTTGGGAGCCGAAATGTTCGACTCCCAAGGCATTTGAAAACCAAGGTATGACTGTATATTGAGTTGCTTTACTTCAAAACTTGAGATTTGTTATGACCCAAAGAGAAGGGCAGTAGTCTGCTCTAGCTTCCTTGCCCAGCTGCTTAACTCACTTGTTATCTTTGCTTCCTGCTTTGTCACAGGGGTAGGGAAGCGGGTGGCGGTGTGGGTTAAACCACAGAGCCTAGGACTTGCTGATCAGAAGGTCGACGGTTCAAATCCCCGTGACAGGGTGAGCTCCCGCTGCTCGGTCCCTGCTCCTGCCAACCTAGCAGTTCGAAAGCACACCAAAAAGTGCAAGTAGATAAATAGGTACCGCTCCGGCGGGAAGGTAAACAGCGTTTCCGTGCGCTGTTCTGGTTCGCCAGAAGCGGCTTAGTCATGCTGGCCACATGACCCGGAAGCTGTACACTGGCTCCCTCGGCCAATAAAGCGAGACGAGCACCGCAACCCCAGAGTCGGTCACGACTGGACCTAATGGTCAGGGGCCTTGTCACAGGGGTAGAGATATTTTGACAGGTGGGTTGCCCCTGTTGCTTGTGAAGCAGGCTCCTGTGCTAAATTCTTCTAAATATATAGCCTTGGTTCCCAGACAACTCTGGGATCTTCCTGGGATAAATGGATCCAAATGTTAGAAAGCTTATTCTGTGATACAAAACTGCACAGTGACACCAGGAAGTGTATTACTATTACTATATTGCCCTATGCCCAGCGATCTCAGGGCAGTATTCTCCTTTTGCACTATGCTGCACAACAAATATATGACACCTTTACCATTCTTCAACACACAGGGTTGATGAATATTATTCCAAAGCAAAGGAGGCATTGACAAAGTATTTCCCCGTAAAGAAAAACATTGATTTTGACGTCTATGAATGTCACTGGGTCAGAAAGAAGCAAAGGGAATAAACGGCTAAATTTCCATGCAGTCATGTTTCTGCCTCTCTTGAATTCAAGCACAAAGAGGATGAAACTCTATGGATGTCTTTCTTCTTGGCTCAGCATGCAAATATGGGCAAAGGCAGAGCTGTCCCTCCTTACACCTAAAAAATAACCCACCCTAACACCAATTTTAAAATGAATTGGTTATACACATGCAAATCAATCCTGATATCTTTTCAGTCCCATTCCAAAATGGCGGTTGTTAGAATGCTGTGGCACTATTGTTAACAAAACAACAACAAACAAACCTACCTATGGTCACGTAAAGCATACTCAATAAACATGGCTGTGTTCTTAGATAAATAAGGTATACTATTCATTGTATCAAATTGTAAATTTCAACAGAAGTAACTCATAAAGTTCAACAAACGAACAAAGCAGAAGACCCAGTGGATCAGATCATTCTCTAGTCAGTTCATGCATAAGGTCCATCCGTGTAATGGTGTCTATTCCACCTGTCTGTTCATAAAGTCCAAACCATCCACCTGAAAGGCTGTTAGAGTTCCACAAAATCCTTTCACAGAGTCTAAGACAAGGATTTCCAGAATATTGGCCTTGTTTTGCCGTCTTGGGCTTCATCTGTAGTTAAAGCTCATATGTGATATTACAGGACAGTGGATCTTACGGCATAGTACCGCAGCTACTACTATGCCAATGAATAGTATACCTTATTTATCTAAGAACACAGCAGGTTACGTCTCGTGTGTTTATTCAGTGGCACTATTGTTGGCATAGGTGGTCGTAAGGGGTATCCATATCTAACAGCAACCCAAAAGAGAGAATGGCCTCCATCTGGGGGGGAAACCACCCATATTTGTGTTCCAATTTAGGTCTAATCCAATATGGCTTTCATGGGGAGGGATGCACTGCAGTGATTCGTCACAGGTACACTCTATCGAAAGCAGCCATGTAGTGATCTTGAGGAATGTGGAATTATTTATAATTTCTACTTAACGTTGCCACAAACACACAGTGAAACCAAGCAGAAGTGTCAGTTTCCCCCCTTGGATCCCAAATTTGAGTCCAGGCTTCAAAACTGATAAGAAGAAGCTTCAAACAACTAAATATCCTCCTGGATAGCAATATCAAAACATCTAACCCTTTGAAAAAAGGAAAAGGAAAAAAGACCAGCCATAAACTGGGAAAGGATTATAGTAGTAAGGAATTTACTTATCCCAGGAGTTTTAGTATTTTATTTTACTTTTTGGCAAAAATTACAATCCACATCTCTTCACAAGAGCTCTTTTAGCACAACAATGAATTGACTGCAATTGCAATTGATAATGTATACTAATTGGCTATTCTATTACAAAGCAAGGTTCAAAAGGTTAATTATAACTTGATCACCAGTTTATCTTGGAAACATGAAGCCAATTTCTATATGCCTATAAAATGAAGATGTACTGCATGCATTATAGTGCACTGACAAATGATTGGGTCCTTTAACATCAATGTAACAGGCATTAACATTTGCTCTGCCAGTAAAACTGTCAGCTCTTTTTAATTCTGAAGATATATAAAAGTGCTGCAAATGCTTTGGTTTTCATTTTATTAAATTCATGGGCCAAGAGTGCCAAAGTCAAGCAAAAATGTGTTGTCCAGTTAAACCCAGAATTAGAGAAACCATGGAGGTAATGAAGCTGAAAGGACGTGATTATTTGTCAGAGTGCAATTAATGCACAGCAGTATATAACCACAACTGATTCCATGTTTCCATGATAAGCCACTCAATGGTCAAGCCATAGTTAACAGGCAAAGGTAAAGGGACCCCTGACCATTAGGTCCAGTCATAGCCGACTCTGGGGTTGCGGTGCTCATCTCGCTTTATTGGCCGAGGGAGCCGGCGTACAGCTTCTGGGTCATGTGACCAGCATGACTAAGCCGCTTCTGGCAAACCAGAGCAGCGCACAGAAACGCCGTTTACCTTCCCGCCGGAGCGGTACCTATTTATCTACTTGCACTTTGACGTGCTTTCGAACTGCTAGGTTGGCAGGAGCAGGGACCAAGCAACGGGAGCTCACCCCGTCGCAGGGATTCGAACCGCCGACCTTCTGATCAGCAAGTCCTAGGCTCTGTGGTTTAACCCACAGCACCACCCACTTCCCTTTATAGTTAACAGACATTAGTACAATTAGAGATATGCACAAAACAGTTCTTCCCCATATATACATATGCTGAAAACAAGGTAATGTAACAAAAGTCTTCCCTACCTCCCTGCTGAAGCCCCCAGTACCACCAGAAAAGACTCTCCATACTGGTGGCGTTTTGGAAGCGGGGGGACTTACTAAACATCATGGGCCAAGGTGTATGGGCTGGAGCAGTAAGGGGGAATCTCCTAAAATCTTTTGCTCTGCTAGCACAGGATTATTCTGCCCAATTTGAGGCAATCCCCTTTCTCTCACTGCAGCACCACACAACATATTCCACAATGTTAGTAACTCCCTGTCCCCCCGAGAGGCTTTTCAGGATGCGCTGCGCTGCTGGGGACTGGGGAGAGAAAATTCCTTATGTGTGCTTGTCTTCTGCTTACACAATGTTGTATATCCCCAACAACCGTTTTGCAAAAGGCAAAATATCCAAAGATTGTTTAAACAACTCTTACCATTCTCCCTTGCTGCCCTTCTATGCACAATGCTTCCTCTCTAAACTTGTACACTCCATTCCTCCTAATCCCTCCTCAAAGTCCAGCTTGGTACGGCCCTTGGCTTATTATTTTAATATCCATTCCCAGCTGTAGCCAAGCTTTAAGTAGGCAGAACAGCATTTGCACACATTCTTCTTCCACTGCCTCTCCCTTTCCCTCTGTTGTTTTACCACTGTCTATAGACTATAAATTCATTAGGGTCAGGGAAATCTATGTTGTCTATGTCACTCTGTAAGATACCATGCTTGCTCAGTGAAATATAAATAATAATGACACACCAATATGACTTTTTTCATCCCTGGCTATTGCATATTGCAGCCTAAAATGTTAATGGGGTTACAGTGTGTGGGAACATTACTGGTTGCATAGAGAATATCATATTTTGCAAGGGAACTGAAGCACATGAACTTCAGTTCTCTCTCTGATGATCTTCCGGATGAGAGTTTATTTTGGAATTGGCGCTGCCCATGCATGCAAGACTTTAGCATTGTCCGCTCAACACTGTCAACCTTTATTATTTAATCTGGATTTCTCTTAGCCCTTTATACATCCACAGTCAGGTGTGGAAGCTTAGCAGCATATTTTGGGGGCTGGGTGGTTTATCGTGTTTCAGTGATTGGCCACCACTGCCACACCCCTGCATTCATTTGCTCCTCACCTGGGCACAGCGCAGCCATTCTGTTTCCAGCAGCCAACCAATATAAGTTGGCAGTGCATGCTTGTTAAAATTTCCTTTTGCTTGTAATTGATCATTTGAGTGTATCTTTTATGGTTGTTGTGTTTGGTAAACAGCCTTACCAAAAGTTTTATTTACAGTTAAGAAGTATAAACATATTGTTAAATACAAATAAAAAATGCAGAAGGCATGTCTGAATTTCAACAATCTAGATCAGAGGAGCAATTCTCTCAAGATCTTCACACAGTGCATATGCTTGATTGGTTGCTTAATTAATTAATTTCCCCACCCTTCCTGCCCAGGGCAGCAAATACATCAATACTAAAAAAAATTACTATCAAAATTTCTAAAAACAGTTAAATGTTGATTACCTCAGAGACTTTAATACTTTGTAATATTTTCAATGGACTTTCAGGATTTTGTTGCTGCTATGTTTTTTTCTGGGGTGTGTGTGTGTGTGTGTGTGTGTTGTGAACTAACCCCAAGGGTCATCACAGCAGCACTGACACAACCTCATGGTGGTCAGAATCTATACCTCATGGTGGTCAGAATCTATAGCAAATGCTTTTTTGCTCTCTACAAAGAGTTAGACAAGCAGGGCACAGCTATCCAACTCCACTCTGCTTCCCCACAAGAATGCTGTGGTACAAGCCAAGGACGCAACTGTTACTTCTGCACAACTGATAGCAAGACTGCCACCTCTGGAAATTCTCAACCCATTTATCTATCTATAAATAATAGGGATTTATTCCCACTCCAAAAGGAAGGTACTCACTGTGGCTAACAAATCAAGCATTAAAAGATGAATAGCTTTGTGCTGCTATACTACTTTGCACCTCTTCCGTATGGCAAAGTTTGTATAAAAACAACACATGCCGCATGAGAGTAGAGCATTGTTAGGGTCCAAACCATCTTAACGCCTCAACAGGAGACAAACTCTGAATCCTCTTGGATCAAAAGCCCAATGTTATTTCGCTATTGCATGACCCCCAAAGGATATAAAATATTTTTAAAGGAGGGGAAAAGCTAACGGCAAGCATAGATTGCTTCACAAGAAATTAGGAAGAATTGCCATAAATAGGTCCCAGTACTAGGCATGGCACGTGGCTCTGAGAAATTAAAACATTTTCCATTCAGCTCAAAAATAATTCTAGCTAAGCAGTAATAAGAATCAGAGTCCAAGTATTGCATCATTAATCAAAAGTGACTTTGTACTAGGCATCTAAGGAATAAGTTTAATTAGAAGTACTGTATGTGCGGAATACTTAGGTATTAGCATAGAGTTGTTCCCATTCTAATGGCCAATGGGTAAAAGGTCTATTTGCAAAACACACATTAAATCTTTCATTTTTATTCAAAGCATACAGTTGTATACAGATACAAACAAATCCACTGAAGTCTTTGAAGCCCCCAATTACTGTCTAATAGCAAGCATGCTTAGTCTGAAATAATCATATACTTGGCAATTTCAAAAATGAATTCAGTATCGGCTAATACATAAGAAACCAGCAGAGCATGCGAATGATGATGTAAATCAATGCAGGAATACTCAAGTCTGAATGTAGTTGTTTGTGGATACATTACTAAATTCTGCATCAGCTTAGTGTCTAATAAATCATTCATGGAAACGGAATATATATTTATGTGTTGTTATTTGGCAATTCAAAACCTGTGCCTTTTTAAAAAGACTGCTGATTCAATTACTCCAGAACTATTACCTTTAGTTATTAAATGATGTTGACAACTGTCACTTTAGCAAAGCTCTCGCTGACCTTAAGGAAACCTGACGGAGGAGCGATGGGAGGAGGGGACGGAAAAGAAAGCATTTCACTAAAGGAACGAAAACCGCCAATTCCTCCATTTATGTTTTACAAAGGAAGTGTCTACCGATACAACAATTAAAGAGTTTATGAAGGCCTGCATCAGGTTTTTTCCCCCCCTAAAGCACTAAATTGCAAAACATCAACTGCATTACCCCAATAAGTACCATACTACATCATCGCTGTAATAAATGATGAAGTGCTCCATGCAGAGTGTTCTATTTGGAGCAATGATTCATTGTGCTCAGGAAAAAAAAATTGCTGACACTTTCTCGAAGACATTTCCCGTAAAAGGTTGAAGTCCTTAAGCAGCAAAAAACAAAAAAGAACAAAAACACCAGCGTCCATCATCTTTAAACCCTATTGATTTCTGGAGAAGATTTAAAAGGCTGTTTACTTATTTCCCATCATTTTTGTCAGTGCTGTAACAGTTCTCTTCCCACTGAATAAACCTCTCATGATCCTCCTGGTGATTAAGGTCAGACAAAATGTCAAACTCCTAATGCTAAGTGCTTTCACATTAAAAATTAATATCAAATCACCAAGTAAAATCCAAACAAGATCTCCAACATGTAAACAGTACACAATATGGATAATACTGACCATTAGAAGGCGGAGAAAGAAAGCAGGATAATGCATACACAAGAAGCACACTTGGCAACCAGAACTTAACCTTTCGCTCTTGCATCCTTGCAACCCGAGTTATTGCGGTATGGTTGACACAGGCCTTTTAAAAAGTGGTTCTGGAATTAAAGTTTGAAGCCCTCTCCCATATTCATACCAAATCTGTTTACCGGTTTGTCTGGACCAAGGCAGTTTGTTCTCATTTTATTCCGAGAGTTTTGAGCCATCAAAAAATCAGCATGCGGTTCTCAAGCATTATTCTCGGAGACACTGCATTTATCAGAGGCTGTAAATGGATGCACTTTCCTTTTTTTCTTAAGAGAAGCACAACATACCGTTTCTCCATAAAAGCAAAGATGGCATCCCCTACTTATGTTTATTCGCCTCACATACATACATACACATGTATTATCTAGATGTAAAAGAACAGAAATATTCTCAAGGGCTGCATATTTATGTCAAATGCACAGTAACACACCAAAACAAATTTGCCCATATTTCACATGTTCCTCTGTATTTTTTATATGCCAATCCTTGGCTAGACCAAACTTTGCACCCCAAACAAAACTATAGGTGCAATCCATGCGCACTAGAGGCATGGCAAATAATTTTGATGTTTTCACCCTATCTTCTGCTTACCCAGGCTCATAAGCACAGGCAGCATAATAGGATGTTATTTATATATTTTATTTAAAATATCCGCACCCTGGCTTTCAATTTTAGCCAAACCACCACAAGGTGGCTTCCAAACAAATTATAATAATAAAAATATTAATTCTCAATGCGAAAAAAATCAATAAAAAGGGCATAAGGAACAATAACCACTATCGTAAAACTGCATAGCAGAAAATCGATAGCAGAAATAAAGATTTCATCATTTTATTCTGCTGTATATGTAAAGGTAAAGGTACCCCTGACTGTTAGGTCCAGTCGCAGATGACTCTGGGGTTGCAGCGCTCATCTCGCTTTACTGGCCGAGGGAGCCAGCGTTTGTCCACAGACAGCTTCCGGGTCACGTGGCCAACATGACTAAGCCGCTTCTGGCGAACCAGAGCAGTGCACGGAAACGCCGTTTACCTTCCCGCTGGAGTGGTACCTATTTATCTACTTGCACTTTGACGTGCTTTCGAATTGGTAGGTGGGCAGGAGCAGGGACCGAGCAACAGGAGCTCACCCCGTCGCGGGCATTCGAACCGCCGACTTTCTGATCAGAAAGGTTTAGACCACAGCACCAACCGTGTAGGCCTAGTCAAAACGAATACCTCCAATGGAGAGGGCAAAGAGAAGGGATAAGGAGTTTGTTGGGGGGGGGGGGGGAGATAACTATGCCCTTCCAAAAAAAGGGGGAAAAAGGGAGGGAAGAATAGTACATGCCTTTATAATACTGAGAAACAAAACGTAATGGTAAGACTTACGAGTTGCAGTATTGCAATCACTCTCAAATGCCCTCACTTTACTAGATAGGTCAGTTGAAGACCTTTTGTGAGACTCGCCTAGTGAGTCCAAGCCCTGCTCAAGGACTTTTGCTTGTGCAATGGGTCATTCCTCCCACGCCTTCCCTTGTGCTCCTCCTCAAATTGGCTCAGTGTCTGTGTGTGTCAGGGAACCCCCAGAACAATGCACAGGAAGAGGAAAGGGGGGATCATTCAATCTGGCAAGCTGCAATGCTGACAAGATGTTCAGCATAGCGCGCCACTAAATTCTACACTTAGACCAGCTTTCTGACATTTATTAGAAAGAGACACCCAAGAGCAACCTCCCTCAAATTCATGGTAATTCAAAGACAGAGAATGAAGACATGAGAACCAGAACTGCTAGACAATGTTATTTCAACAGTTGATCAATAACAGCAGCCTGTAGCAAGGTGTGGCTCCATAACCACCTGGTTGCAAAGGGTGCAGTAGTAGGTAGGGAATTCAGCTCTGGAATTTTTCAACTTAAAGCAAGTTTTCAAGATTCGAAAAGGAACAAGATATTCAGTGGTCTTGCATGGTTCTTTGGATGACTATCAGAAGCAGAATACAAAATAAAATGCTTCATTAATTACATTGTAGGATCTAGCTTTTTCTTGTGAAATTGGTGCTTTTTAAAAAACCACTTCCGTCTAAAAGCTTGAGCTATGCTCTCACAACGGCAGCATGTTTGTCTTTGTCCTCCCTTGGCAAACATCATAACGCTGCATATAAGCAGTAAGAAACGGCCTCAGTTCTGAAGCAGACAAGTGTTGTTGTTTTTAATTGTTGTACAACCATTAACTGTACAAGCTTTGTAGTGTACGTTGTATATATGCTCTTTACCTTCTTTACTTTTGCAGCAATTGCTGCAAAATGCAAAATGACTTTCCGAGTGCGACCCACCCCCTAAAAATGCACACAGGAAATCAAAATCTCTTTCTTCTAAAACGCTCCCTAATTGAATAAAAGTTAGCGCAACCTTAAATACAGCTACAGCTTTAACACCATTTAGTCTAGACATCTTTGATGGAGTATTAGTGTTATAATGTCAAGCAGCTGGCCATTAGTGGGTATTATGAAGCTATTTAATACACGTGCAGAACCAAAGTAACATGATAATGGGTGTATTATTCATTAGTAACTGGAGACCTTCAGCCAATGCTCTCACTGGTTCGTCAAACTCCTCCCCACCTTTCAAGCCCCAGAAGAAGCTATGCTGTCAATGCTATTTCCAAGAGCTCTGTCCAAGCAGCTAGAACGTTTGTACACATTGTCATAGCATTATAGATGCAGGATGGACGCTGCAAAGGGGTTGGAGTGCTTCTAAGGAACAGGCAATTTTTAGTCCGCTATACTGATAATTCCTACAAGCAAATCTTGACTGCACCATGATTACAGCTATGTAAATATGAAAGTATCTGCTTGGTACAATCTATTGTCTCACACAGGATATAGATAGATAGATAGATAGATAGATAGATCACATTGATTTGGCATTTGCAAAACACATAGTCACCTTTCTTGGTCACTGCCATTTAAAATGTAGCCTGCATGCCGGCATAATCCACAGCGGAGGAAGGGAATGCAGGGCGCCCTCCAATAGGTGGGCGCAACACTGCCTGAAAAGACAGCTCGGGGTGTGCCGTGAGACACGGCTGGCGCACGGCCTGCAGGGCGCTCCAGCCGCCACCTCCCTCCCAGCTAACCTCCAACGGGCCAAGCCCTGCCCGAAAAAGCAGCGCTGGGCACACTGCAGATGTTCCGGCCTGCAGGGCATTCCAGCTGCTGCATCCCTCCTGGCCATGAGTAGGCCAAGCACTACCAGAAAAAGCATGGTGGGTTGCGCTGCCGGGAGGGCACCTGGAAGGGGCACCCAGGAGGGGCGCCGCTGGCATGCGCCAGCCTGCAGGTTTCCCTCTTGAGTCCTGGGTGTCCTGGCAGCGGCGCACCCCATGTTTTTTCCGACAGCGCTGGGCTGGCACATGCCAGTTGCTTCCCTCCCAGGAGGGATGCATTCACACCTGTGGTGCGGGGGGGGGGTGCGCATGCATACCCCCCTGCCCCCACGGCGCTGGCAGGGGTTGCTACGCTGGTGTGCATAATACATTTTTAACTTGCTGTTCTGGAGGTTGGAAGCAATGGGAAAGACTCAGGAGAGACAGTAGTTGTAGGGCTGCCATATTTTGAAGAGCAAAAAAGAGGACACATTTGCCGACTTCAATTTTAACTATGGATCGCTATGACAACTCTACCCATAAAAAAGAGGACATATGGCAACCATCAGGTTCAACCATGTCCCTCAACTACCTGACCCTCTAGGTCACGTGGGGAACTGGATTGGGCCAGATTGCTTCCCCCACTCCTTCCATCCCACGTGTGACAGGTGTGCAAAGCCACCTACCTGCCAGTGACCTTGAATCACAATTATGTCATGTAACCTCCACCACAAGGGACCCGGGTTGCGCTGTGGGTTAAACCACAGAGCCTAGGACTTGCCGATCAGAAGGTTGGCGGTTCGAATCCCCGCAACGGGGTGAGCTCCCGTTGCTCAGTTCCTGCTCCTGCCAACCTAGCAGTTCGAAAGCACATCCAAGTGCAAGTAGATAAATAGATACCACTCCGGCGGGAAGGTAAACAGCGTTTCCGTGCCCTGCTCTGGTTCGCCAGAAGCGGCTTAGTCATGCTGGCCACATGACCTGGAAGCTTTACGCCGGCTCCCTCGGCCAATAAAGGGAGATGAGCGCTGCAACCCCAGAGTCGATCACGACTGGACCTAATGGTCAGGGGTCCCTTTACCTTTACCTTTACATTTAACCTCCACCACAACCAGCAGAGTTCTTCAAAAGCTGATTTCTGGGCACCTGGCAATCAGCTGCCTGTTGGGGCTTCAGAATCCCCTTTTAAAATGCTTTCTCACCCAGTGCTTTGAATAGGGACTGTAGGGACCACTATTCAGTTGGCCTTTTGTATAAGCCAGGCATGGACAAACTTGGCCCTCCAGATGTTTTGGGACTATAATTCCCATCATCCATGACCACCAGTCCTGTTAGCTAGGGATGAGTTGTGGTCCCAAAACATCTGGAGGGCCAAGTTTGGCCATGCCTGGCTAAGCCAAGCTTTTATATTGCATATGATGTTAGATGTACGGCAGGTAGGTATGGCTTGGCAAGGCAGATGAGGAAGTCTGAAGGGCCTAATCTGCTATGCAGGCCAGGTGTTCCCCATCCCTGTCCTAGGGATAGTTTAAGATTGCAATCCTATGAACACTTGCCTGAATGTAAGCCCTGCTAATGCAGTAGAACATTCTGCAAAGATTATAATGCCAGAAAACAAGGAGACACCTACTGGTTTTTCTCAGCCTTTTCACTTACATTCCCAGATGTTTGCTCAGCAATAAAACTCTCTCAGTCTGGGTTACAATGATTGGACTCATTTGCCACAAACTGACTGACACCCTGGAAATGTCCAAATAAAGACAAGACATGAAGTACTGCTTTAACGTCCGGAACCTTCCCATTTGTTCCAGGCAATGCGCTCCATTTCCATGATTAAACTGGACCTGGAGTCCCTTTCAAGACACTATGTAGTTGGCAGTGTCTTGTATAAAAAAAATGGGTGCGAATGGATATCCTTAAGACGGAACTCTATAATAAATATTTTTCAAGTAATAGAAGAATCAGAACACATTACATGAAAATAGCAAACCACAGAATTATTGAAGCTGATGTAGTTCGTCATTACTTGGCTTGAGTGCTATTACTATGCACGGTTTAAATGTATTGAAGTCCCTCAAAATAAGGGCATTTCAGATAGCCAAAAATAGCACTGACTTCATGTTATTTAACCTCCTCTCCAGTCCTCAAGCTCGCTATCAAGCGTCAAGTCGTCATCTCTGCATCTGACAGAATCCATCATGGAAATTACAGAGATACCAGTATCATCTCTTTTAAAAACAAAATGTCCCACCTTTGTAGCTAGATCAGATCTGTTCACCCCTAGGGCCCTAAGCCAAATTTAGCTGTGCAAACCATGTTTTATATGTTCCTACTGAGCCCTAGTAACCTCAACATTATGAGTTTGACCAAACTGTGGAGGCAGTGGAAGACAGGAGAGCCTGGTGTGCTCTGGTCCATGGGGTCACGAAGAGTCAGACACGACTAAACGACTCAACAACAACAACAAAACCTCAACATTTACTAGTTAACAAAGATCATTTACTTTTGAATTAAGAATCACAGAAAAGACAATCAAACTAGACATAATACACCACTTGCTTCCTATCAAGGTACACTGTAAGGGAAAAGGTAGAACAAGCCATTCAATTGTGTGTGAAAAGTAGGATTAAACAAAGGAAATCCAACTTACATTGTGGAAAACTGAAAATCTTGTAGCAAATTCATATTCAACAGATTTTCAGGGAAATTCATACTACAGGGTTTTCAATACCCTGTTACACAATTCTGAAAAAAAGAAAAGAGCAAAGCTTAATTTTCCAGAAGTAGAATTTCCCTCTAAAAAAACTCAAAATCATTTGGAAAACTGTTACTAATTACCAGTGCTTTTTTTCTGGGGGGACGCAGGGATACGCATACCCCTAAACATTTTGTGAATCTAAGTTTGGCCTCATTGAGGGGCAGTATTTCAATATGAGTAGGAACATGAGAGTACCTCTAAACATTTTTTTTTTAGAAAAAAGCACTGCTAATTACCCAATAATATCCAAACGCCTGACCTTACTAGACACACTGGGGGGAAAAACACCCACAACAAGGAAAACACTGGAAGTGGTAGGAAGAAAATACTATTTTCTCCTGTGAATGGTCTGTCCTTATCAATCTGGACCAACAACTGTCCCATGAGAGGACTACAATGGGAGTCAAGTGAGGAAGCTATTTTTTTACCTATTGTGTGATCAAGGTCAGAAGAATTCTAAGACACTGAGTATTCATTCCATCAGTGATCTCACCAGTAAACAAACACACCAAAATGGATCAGTTGATACCCCACTGTGCTGACAGTACAAAAGTACTTTACCATCAAAGTTTCTGCTAGGGTTAAACAACAGCTATTTAAGAGAGTAGTTGTGAACTCATCACTCGATAACTCCTCATTTTTATTTGAGAGAGCCATTCATCTCTCCTGTTTCTAATATGAGTTCTTCTAAGGGAACATGGACCCATTGATTTGTATTAGAAACTTATTATAGCCCACATGGACCATCAGGAAAATGAGAGTTTATTCATCTAAATAAAACAAACAGAAGACTTCATGTGTTCTTCCTGATTCTCCAGCTCTTTTGACAAGAGCTGCTATACACAGCCAAAAGCTGATACTTTTAGCAAGTGATGGCTGGGCAAAGGTTGGGTAATTTCTCTCCCCTTAGTGATTTCTCTGTGACGGGCAAAACTACATAAAACAACCCATTTATAAAGGTTAATAATAATAATAATAATAATAATAATAATAATTCTAGATGAGAATAGTTTTGTACACTGGCAGTTGTTGTTGATATATTCTTTCTACCACACCCATCTAACTGGGTTACCCCACCCACTCTGGGTGGCTTCCAACATATACAAAAACATAATAAACCATTAAACATCAAAAACTTCCCTATTCAGGGCTGTAAAGGGAAGACACACTGAAGAAATGCCAAAAGAATACAGAGGAACACTATAGAAATACATCTCAAAGAAATCAAAAGCGGTCCCTATTCAGAAATACCATGTCAATGACATTAATAAAACAAGATTGTTTGTTTTTTTTAAGTGTTCATATCCTTCTTAGGGACATAACTGTTTTAAGAACTCATCTTCAGAGAGTAAGAAAATTATTAGTACTACAAAATATATTGATCATTTTTACTTTCCTCTGTGAGTATGTTAATATCTTGCTCTTCCTCTGCGATATTTTCCATAATTTAAAATGTGTTCCTTGGTATGAAGGAGATCATTAAGGGTATTGCAAAACCGTTAAGCTGTGTGCTTTATACATTATAATTAGTTTGGCAGATCAAATACAAATCACTTTTACAGACTAACTACAACAACACTGAAGTACCAGTTAAATATTGAAAATAATTAAAGGAATCATGTTTAGTGTGGCATGATTAGCTAATTCACTTTACAAGCATTTATTAAAATGAATTCACATGTTATTATTCCATAGGTAGTTACACAATAGTGTTTATACAGGAAAAAATATAATGAACCAAACTCTTTGTATCCAGCCCTTCACAATTAAAATGAAGACTCCCCAAGTAATATCAATCTAGGATAGACTAATTAAGTTTGGTTTGATAACCATTCATTTCTTCTATTGCCTCTGAGCAAATTGTTTATTAGAGAAAGTTATTTTACACAAATCAAATCAAATTGGGTAAGCCATTATATTTGAGAGAAACCTTAGCCATCAGTCAATTAATCCATCATTTTCTCCAGACACTTTTGCTTAACAAGCAGATCACATTATCAACAATTTAGATATCAGATGATTAAATTATAACAGAAAATCTATTGACAGTTTTTCTAATACTTTTATTATGAGTAAATACACTGAGTAAATAATTTTTTTCGCCAACTTATGAGCAAAATAAGCATCTAAAATACAGTGGCAATAAAATAAAAAAAATCAGACAAGAAAATGCCATGTTTTTCAAAATCTATTCAACAATCTGTGGATTATGGAATATCAAACCATGGCAGAATGAGAATACTACACCATGGGTACCTTAGTTTGTGGAGCTATTGCTGCTCAGTCTACACCTATGAGAGGTAATAGGCAGGGTTGAGAATGAGCAATTGAGTTTTGCTCATAAGATCCAGCCTATGTGACAAGACCCAGGGAGGTCCTGTAAGGAACAACTAGGATAATCTCTGCCTTCTGTTCCTATGTGCCCTAGGAATCAGTTAAAAATAAATAAAAAATTCAATATTTTATTATGAAGCTACAATAACAATCCCATAAGAAATAAAGGAAGAAAAAACAACAACCCCAAACAAACCAGGGTTCACAGCCATTACCTCAAAAATAAAGTACAAACCAACGATGAAATATAGCTTTATTTGGTATTCATAATATTTGTTTTGTATTTTCTGCATCAGGTCAGCTCTTGTAACATCTAATTCAATGTGTAGTCTCTTGAGGATGTACTTTATTTTATGAGGGAATGGCAAGAATCAGTTTTACTGTTAAGGGAGACATATACTGGTCAGTCCTTGGCTGAGATATGTACTCTGCTGGCCTAGGCACCAGCAAAGTGAAGAATTTCATTGGCAGCCAGTTCTCTGAGAGCATGAACAGACGCTTAGGCTCTCAGCTTGTTGAAGTCCTGCACTGAAAGTAGCATCCTAAATGGCATTCTGTTTATGCTGCAGAACAGAATATTTTCTGCTCATTTACAATAATATACAGTAGTACAATCACAACACGATACTGACACAACACAAAGCCAAAGTTTGTTTGAACCATGGTTCGTTGAGTATGCCAGGACATTTAAACTGAAGTTCATCACCACAACTTCTGGGGAGGAAAGATGGCGGACTAAGTTATTGGCTGCCAATGGTCCCGTCTGCAGAGATAATTATATGGTGGTCAGATATAATCAAGGCATAAATCTTGGTTACCAAACTCCCTTTTGAGATAAGGGAGGTTGGGAAACCCCAAAGGCTTGGAAGAATATAACATCACACTGGAGAAGAGGAAGTTTTCAGAATGAACATCTCGAGTGTGGAACTTTCCACTTGGCCCACACACTGCACAATTACCCATTTAGGGGACAAGTTCGACAAAACTCCTTCTTTTAACTATTTGTAAGACTGGAAGCAAATAAGAACTGGATTTTCTATCTGCCAGTTAATTAGTATCCAGGAAGGAAGTGGGCTGCTGGGTGATGATAAAGCACTAACAGGCTAGTTAACAAGCTTGAGAAGGAACCAAAAAGCTTAAATTAACTACTGAAGACTTTGAAAGATTACAACTGATAAAGTAGCTCTGAACCTGCTATAAATCTTCAGCTTACACTGCCTATAAATCTCCATCTTGGGCATGTTGTGTCTGCTGTGAAAAGCGAAACTGTATTTGATTCCTGTGGGGAAGGAATGTGTAGGCAGGCACAACTTCCTGGAAGTGGAGACTCCCAAGGGGTGGGTGGGTGACTAAACAGAATATGGCAAAAATAATGTTGCATACCCCACAGATTGTGGCTTTTTTTTTTACAACGGCTACTAAATGAACAGTTGTCAGAATTAAGAGTCAAAATACGTGGAATTGTAAGAGTGAAGAATGAAGAATGCACTGGACCTGTGGGAGGAGATTTGGATCAATTTCTGCCTGTACATGAGACAGCATGAGATAATGAACTGGAGGGGATGGCCTTGCAGCTGTCTGGAGGACTGGAACAGACAAAGGAAGCTGCTATGATACCGGGGAGATAAATGGATTTACAATCAGAAACACTGGGAGGCAGGTAGAGATGGAATTGAGGAAAGGTTCAAGTGCACAAATTGAAGTGAACAGAGTACAAAAAGCCTCAGAGCTTATGGCGGTTGGTGTGGGAGAAGACTGGAAGAAATGGATGACCCCTCCCCCTTTAAACAGGATGAAAAATGATTACAGTGGTACCTCGCAAGACGAATGCCTCTCAAGACGAAAAACTCGCAAGACGAAAGAGTTTTTGGTTTTTTGAGTTGCTTCGCAAGACGAATTTCCCTATGGGCTTGCTTCGCAAGACGGAAACGTCTTGCAAGTTTGTTTCCTTTTTCTTAAAACCGTTACAGTAATACAGGGTGCATTGCTTGAAGAGGTGCAGTTGCGACTTGACTTCGGGGAGCAACTCATAGCACGCGGTGTGGTAGCCTTTTTTGAGGTTTTTGAAGATTTTTTTGAAAAAACTGAAACCGTGCTTCGCAAGACGAAAAAACTCGCAAGACGAAAAAACTCGCAGAACGAATTAATTTCGTCTTGCGAGGCACCACTGTAACAGGAAATGAGAGCAGAAAACATGGAACTGAGTTTGATTTAATGAAGATTTAATGAAGCTATAACAAGCAAATAAGTTGGGACTATTATACTATTAAGATTTGTGGAACCCTTGGGGAGAAATTTATCATCTTGACTTGGAGATGCATTATTTTGGACACTTAATGACAACAATAATTGAAGAGCTACTTTTGATTTTTGAGTGGAAAAAGGTAAATCTGAGGTGCCTGGAGGTGAAGATTGAGAAAAAGCTGGACATTAATACAGCTAGAAGTAAACTGGGAGTGTATACCTCGAATACTTTAAATAATTGTTATAGATACAATTGGTAGACAAGAGAATCGGAAGGCCCTCTTTTTGTTAATTTATTTATTCTCTTATCTTGTCTTTCTATGGTCTTTAATCTTTGCTTGCTCTTTGTTCCTATATATATGAGAATGCTTTGCTTTTTGAAGTTTTCGATCTTGGATTAATGAAGATACACAAAGGAAGGTGATGGATGGAAGATAAAGGGCCTGCATGAGGCAGCGTGGAGAGGATCTATCACGGCATTACCATATCACCAGTTTTCTTACCACTGACTGGCTGAAGTGGGACAGAGAGCAAACACTGTCCTCCTCAAAGATCATGACATGCAGAGAATATACCTTCTAAAACTTCCCTTCTTTCCTCCATTCTTGGAGACTCCCAGTGAATCCTTTCTATACTATCCCTCTTTGTTTACTCTTTCCTCCCAAACTGTGGCAGCTCTTTTGATGAAGACAAGTTTCTTTCAGTAGTAAAACTGTCCTGGTGAACAAGCATATGAACAGGCATTATGGTAACTTAGGTTCTTAGGATGTACAGGTATGGGTACACTTGCAGAAATTGAATTTAGTGGCCATCAAGAGTCATTTTTTACCTCTCTTCCGCAGCCTCCTCTGCGATACTGCATCACACAAGAGTATTGTATTTTTCCATGTATAAGACGATGTTTTTCCCTGAAAAATTATAGGCAAAAATAGGGGGTCGTCTTATACACGGATAGAGGGGGGCGGGCATCGTGGTTGTTGCGACTGGTGGCGGCAAGGCCGACAGATGGGAGATCTCCCTCACACTCAAAAGCTCAACAACTCAAGAAATTGTGATTTCTTAATATTGGGTTCAAAAAAATAGGGGTCGTCTTATACATGGTGGTGTGTTATACACGTAAAAGTACAGTAAATAATAAAGATGGGCTGAGGGGAAGAGGTAGCTGAACCAGCAAACGCCCCATGACCAATGTGTTGGAACAAAATCTCACATGAGAATTTGCCCTTTCCCATGTCCTTCAGCTAGGTACAGTGGTACCTCAGGTTACATACACTTCAGGTTACATACGCTTTAGGTTACAGACTCCGCTAACCCAGAATAGTGCTTCAGGTTAAGAACTTTGCTTCAGGATGAGAACAGAAATCATGCTCCGGCGGCGGGGCGGCAGCAGAAGGCCCCATTAGCTAAAGTGGTGCTTCAGGTTAAGAACAGTTTCAGGTTAAGAACAGACCTCCGGAACGAATTAAATACTTAACCCAAGGTACCACTGTAATTCATTTGTCACATGTGACCCTCCGTGCATAACAAGACAGAACTGGAATGTTGTCAAGAGAGAAAGAGAGAGCGAAAGAGAGAGCACAGAATAAACTTATGTTAAAAGAACAGGAATCTCAGATCACTATACATTCATGAAAATTCTAAGTGGTCACAGCAGCCATCTTACCTATTCAATATTGTAAGACCAAAATGACCACTGCATGCAGTTAAAACGGGAAAAGCTGGCTTTCTACCTTGCTTGACATAAGCCCTGTGTACTTGCTCTTCTTCTGGGTTTCTATAGTTTAGATGGGGAATCTGTGACCCTCCAGATGTTGTTGGCTGGCCACCTCCTTTCAGCCTCAGTCAGCGTAGCCAATGGTTAAGGACAATAGGAGTTGCAGTCCTACTTATGGAGGGTCGCAAGTTCCACAGCCTTGCTATAAAATTTGTGCCAAGGATACAAACAAGTCAACAGTATAGTCCAGAGGTTCATAACAGCAGCTCTTAGCATCAAACCAAACTTCACTTTCTGCCAATACCCATTATAAAAAAACTTACTGACTTTCAGAGTTGTCCCCTCCCCCCCAAAAAAGTAAGCACATGCACGCACAGATTTGCTAGATTCCAGAGTCACACCACCACCATGATCCAGGATTTTCAAAGCATGCATGATGTTCAAGGCCTCCTGGGTATTCTGTATATCATCTATAGGCAACATAATTATGTATGTGTGATGTGCAGAGCCTTTCCATTCACTGATGGGCCAGGCATTTGGACTGTGACTCATATCCATAGTGCAACAAGGCTTACTCTTGATTGAGGTTTCCAGGGGCTGTTCAGACTCAAGTAGATTAATGCCGTCAATAACATAAAACTATTAAGTCTTCTGAATTATTCCTTAACTCCCGAGCCAAATTTTTATTAGCCTAGCAAAAGAACATTTATTTATTGCATCTCTATCACAGTTTGTGCACTAAACGTTCTAACAGTACCTTAAAGGACACCATTTTAGGCACTAGAAGGGTCCCAAGAACATTTTAGAAAGATATAAAACACCACATTTACACGATCTGTTCAGAAAAGGCCAAATAAATGAACAACTCAGTAGACAAGAGCAACTGGATATTATATTTTTCAGATAATATAAAAACCCAAATGAACAAAGAGTCTGATAGTCCTCTCGGATAGAGAGCAATACATCATTAAAAGGGAGTTAACTCGGCCAACAAGGCTTTCCCCTTTAAATACACTCCTTGACCTTTCCCCACAATATTACAAGACAGAGTGTGACTCAACACAGAGTACTAGCACAGACTAGGAGAAACGTCTCAGAAACCATACACGGCTTGCGAACCATAACATAGGACATTCCCGCTCCAATCTATTGCAGCTCAGTAGAAACTGTACTCTTTACTTATTTTTTATTTCTATTATTACATTTATAGTTTACCATTCCTCCAAGGATCTCAAGGTGGCATAAAATGATTTGCCTCCTCCCTGTTGTTATACTTACAACAACCCTGTGAGACAGGCTAGGCTGAGAGACTGTGACAGACCCAAGAGAGCTTCAGGGCTGAGTCTCCCAGTTCCTAGTCCAGCACTCTAACCACTACACCAGAACTGAGTTGGACATAAGCACACAAAGAAAAACTCTCTCGCACACAAACACACACACATAAAATGTGAAACAAATTTTACCCCAGGACAATAAACTCTTGCATATGCTTGCAATTCTACCTGCCCTGTAGATAATAATAATAATAAAAAATCCAGTTTGAAATGAGCTTTCATAATTTATCAATGACCAGCCCTTTCAGTTTAGTTGTCCGAAGTCTAAGCACCAAAATATTGGTGAAATATGAGTTTGTTTTAAATGTATCTCTGCATTTTAATGTATTTATATTTGCTTTAAATGTATCCATGCATTTTAATGTGTTCATGCAGATTTTTGCTTGTAAGCTGCTTTGAGCTGCCTTTGGCAAGAGAAAGTGACCAAAAAATTCAACAAACAACAACAACAACAACAACAACAACATATGCCCCTTTTCTGTTTGCCTGGATGGGGACTCTGACTCACACCAGAACCATAAGGCATGTCCCAACGAATAGGGAGATAGGAGTCCCTCAATGTTTGGAGGGCCCAAAAGTTGCTTCTGGCATACAATGTGTCACCCTTGATTGTGACTCTTAAGAGTCTAAATCCCCTTCTCTCAAACAATGCACATAACTCAATAGAACAATGGGATTTAGTAAAAATAACTGGTACAGTTCTGCAACAAAAATAATGCTATTTAAATACCACCATAGAGCTTGTCAGTTTATGTATGAGCTGCACGTTACAGTACGTGATCTAAAGGCTTTAAAAGGTTCCAGTGCAGCACCTATTCAAGTGTAAAAGCCATATGACTCCTGAAATTTGCTAAACAGTATGATGAAAACAAATGTTTGACCTTTAATACACTGACAAGTATAAAAAATACTCTCCGGCTCTTTTCAACTGGCAAGTTTATTTTCTGCATAGATTTTGTCCTATTATGCTATAACAATCCTTCATTACCCTAGTATGATAACACATAGTCTATGTTCTACCTACAGTTGTCTGGTGCCTATTTAGTTTTATCGCAAGCAAGCAATTTGAGAATATGGTAATAAACCCTCAATCACTATAATGAGGTATGATGGGTTGTAATTTCTCTGTGCTAATGGGTTACAAACAGTATTACAATGATGACGGGAATATCATTGATTCATTATGACTGCAATAATATCAAAATGACTTAATATAGATCACTATTAACTCATGCACATACTGCTAACAGCCGTGCCGTGGTTCTATATACATACATATAATACATAAAATTAATATTTGTCTTTATATAAAATTCACACAGCACAAAACATTGTGTTGAATTCCCTAAATCAATATTTAAAGTTGGAATTATGGCATTGAACTCGTTCTTTGGAAAGAAGACCATTGATTTTAATCTGCTTGAAGCAATCAATTACTCCCTGTCCTCTTTATTCCAAACTGTAATGAAAACTAAACTGTGCTGTCTTGAAAACTAAATGTGAAGATGATCATAAACAGAATTTAAACTCCATGGATTATTCATATCTACCCATTTAGATTTGCCATTTCCATTATGAGTACATTTGCCATGAGCATTTAATGGACATCTAAAAGGGAATTCATTAAAGCAGGAGCTGTTGGCAGCACTTATGGCCTTCAGACTGCTTTATGTTTGCCTTTAATAGCTCGCTATTATAAAAGTGATATATTGTGTTCATCCCATTAGTAGTTTGCAGAAAGGTCTGTAAGACACAACAGAACGAGAATAAAAACTAAAATCAATGTATTCTTTTTTTAAAGCGGTATACAACTATTGCAAATATATACATTATTTTGGGTTAACTATATTGATGCAAATAAGCAGGTAGCCATCATTAAGCCATTCATGAATGCAATAACACTACCCACCCAAATTATAACCATGAGACAGGATACAGAAAGTCATGATCAGTTAAGATGGGTTTAAAAAAATATTTATATATTATATATAAACACTCATTACAGGTTTCCCACTGCAGTAATTAAATGGACTCCAGTAAGGGCCATTATAAAGAAATATTATGTTAAAATTGATTAGCAAGGCCTTTTCTCGCTCATTGATCAGTCATAATTCTTAACAAAAAACAAAACATCTCTTTTTGTAGGAAAGAAGCCTTATAGTTGTCATATGAAAACTATTTACCAGACCTATGAGAATTTGTAATAACATATTGGTCAAAATAAATATTCATTATTAAATTTGTATCCTGCCCATCGTCCCAAAAGAGCCCAAATAACTGAGTATGGCTGATTTAAGTAAGAACCACCTGAGTGCATTACCCAAAACTTTATCTGCAGAAAGCGCAGGGCAGCAACTATCCCTGGGCTAATGTGTACTAATTCATGTAGCTTTTGTAAGTAGACAGAGAGACTAAATACGCAGATTAGGGCAGCAATCCTTTCATCAATTAACTTGTTAGACTAGTGAACAAAAGTGGTTTGACTCATTACACCAAATGGTTTCCCCGGAAGAGGCAGTGGCTAAAACAAAATACAATTGTGCATCTTAAATAGAGGCAGTCATCTTGCCAGGGGTACAAGGAAAACTCACAACATAAGAAATAAAGACTTGCATGCAAGATTCAAGTGTAACTTCAAAACTTAAGGAAAACGCGTCTGTTTGAATGCTTCTCCTTTACACAGAACCAAACCTTTTGCAGGCATTGCCTACACACCTACAAAAATATCTGCAACCATGGGGACTAGGAAAATGAAAGTTGGGATTCTAAGATTTGAGTTTTCAGATTGTCAATTGCCCTGCAAAATCCTGCACTGTATACATATCAAACTGCTAGCCCTAACTACATATTATAGTAACCAAAGCAGACATAAAACAAACGGCATTCTTACAACTGTTATCGGAATTCTAAGGTAATACACACACACACACACACACAGAGTGGTACCTCTGGATGCGAACGGGATCCATTCCAGAGCCCCGTTCACATCCAGAAGTGCGTGACATCATTTTGACCATCTGCGCATGCGCGAGCGGCGAAACCCGGAAGTAACGCGCTCCGTTATGTGCCGCATGATACAGGAACGGCTTGTTGATTTCTGCCCCCACAATGCATTTATTCTAAATTGCTGAACATCACACAATAAGTCCAAACTTTACATGAAATGTATTTGTAAGATGAATAAGGACATAAATTATTAATTCACACACACACACAAATGTTGGGTGGTTCTGGCCGCCAGTTAAGCTCACCTATAAAGAGATTTACAAAATATAATCATTGTTAAACTTTCAAAATTAGGTCAATCCATTTCTAATGCCAGTCTTCTTACTAGCTTACCTTGCATCATGCATGAAAGACAGGCTTGACCCATTTGCCACATGGAGCAAAAGAGGAACCAAAATCTTCAAGTATGGAGGGCAAACTGGTTTGCTACAAGTCTTCACAGATAGATGGGCAGTCTTCTGTGCAATAAAACAAAAACAGATATGGAAAGAGAGCATAGTCGTAGTAGATGCATTCCCATTTTGATTAATGTAAATATACAGATTAGGGCTGCAAGCTTTAAAATCAGAATATCAGCTTTACTTCATTTATCAGAGAGGGAAATTTTTAACTGACGGAGCTGAAAATTAAGGGCATATTTATTTCTGAAGTTATTTTGGTCGCTGTGTGTTACTATTAACAGCCTTTCTTCCAATGAGTGGCAGTTTTTGTTTATTATAACTCACATCTCTGTCAATATCTCTCAGAGGCACCACAGGGAGGTTCTTTTATCATATGAAAATTAAACGTATCCAATTAATTGTATAAAAGGTCTGTGTCCAATTCAATGGATAAAGGCCTATGATCAATTAAAAATTATTTAATCAGCCAACAGCCCTAATATATGTATGTGTGTGCATGCATTCTTCAATGGGACTCTTATCTCAACAGAGCTAGGAAACACCTCTGCCTGAACCTTGAAGAGCCACTGCCAATCAAAATAGACAATACTCTGCTAGACAGACCAACACTCTTGACTGGGAATTTGGTTGCAGTGCAAACTATGCTGACGACAAAATTCTGGAAGTTCCTTATGTTAGAAGGAAAATCAACTTTTATTACTATTCTGGACGGGCGGCACTGTGGGTTAAACCACAGAGCCTAGGACTTGCCGATCAGAAGGTCGGCGGTTCGAATCCCCGTGACGGGCTGAGCTCCCATTGCTGGGTCCCAGCTCCTGCCAACCTAGCAGTTCGAAAGCACGTCAAAGTGCAAGTAGATAAATAGGTACCACTCCAGCGGGAAGGTAAACGGCGTTTCCGTGTGCTGCTCTGGTTTGCCAGAAGCGGCTTAGTCATGCTGGCCACATGACCCGGAAGCTGTACGCCGGCTCCCTCGGCCAATAAAGCGAGATGAGCGCCGCAACCCCAGAGTCGGCCACGACTGGACCTAACGGTCAGGGGTCCCTTTACCTTTACCTTTATCCCAGACTGAAATTTCTCCACTGCTAAATCTTGTATTATTTAAAGTCCAAAGTGTCACCAGAATTTGTATTTATTCAAAGACAATAGAGTAAGTAAGGCTGCATCCGCCAGATTTTCAATATCTGGGCAGTCTTCTGTGGGACAACTTCCAATGCAGCCTCTTTGACACCAGCTCTAATACTGCCAAGGCTCATCGCCCTAGAAAGTGGAAAGGGCTCATACAACCTACAGTGCACACCCACCAGATGTTTCAAAGAAAATGCCAGCTGTGTATCATGTAACTAAAATTTCAGATCTAGAGGATAACTTCACATTATGGATATTCCTTTAGAGGTGTCAAGAGGAAACACAAACATTTCATATAGGAGACTTTTTGCACTAGCCTCCTTGTATTATTATTTTGTATTGTATTATTTTACTGTTGTTAGCCGCTCTGAGCCTGGCTTTGGCTGGGGAGGGTGGGATATAAATAAAATTTATTATTATTATTATTCCATAGTTTATGCTAACACTCCAGGTTAATAAATAAAGGATTCCCCCTTTTTATATTCCTTTGATATCTGTATTCGTCAATAGTTGACTAACTGAACAATCTATGACCTCTATGTGTATGTGTATGTGTTACTGTTATGTTTGCTTTTATGCCATGTATTTTTGTGTTTCTATATTGTAAAACACCCTGTGATTCTCAGATGAACAGTATATAAATTTAATAAATAAATAGTTTCTTCCAAAAATTAAAATGGCCCAGTTTTCTCAGTATTTACCACACAGCAGAGGGAATTAAAAAAATATATCTTCCATTGATTAACATACCAAATATAACAGCCAGCAAGAAGTTATATTTATAGAATTAGAAGTGGTGAACTCAAATAAGGCATCTCTTGAATGAAAACTGACCATCAAAAATTATGTTAAGAATTCAAGACCTCACAAGTTACAGAAAAAGTGACTGTCTAAAAGAAAACCTTCTGATGGTAAGTTACGAGTGCCAATTTGATAGTTTTCCCAATGATAAAAAGATTTTCAGTGCAATCCTACTCAAAGTAAGTCCTGTTGCTTTCAATGGGGCTTACTCCCAGTTAAGTGATATTAGGACTGCAGCCATAGTTATCTGACACAACAATTAAAACAAACAAACAAACTTCTGAACCAATCTGAAGGCACGTATTTAGACTGTAGGCTCCTTGGTGGCAAGGCCCCTTCTTTTTTGCTTTTGAAAGGAATGTTCATTTATTACTAAGAGCATTATTAACATAAGAATTTTGTTTTGAATCATTTCTGCTGAAACTTTAAAATCTTTCAGTGAGTAGCACTGACCTTGCAACCAGCCTCTTGTTCTACAAGTTCCAGTTCCCCCAACAGGCTGTGAGGTGCTGAAAAACAAGAAGTCTTTCTTGTATGCTATTACTGGAATACCTGGAAGAATCTGGAAACTGGATCAAAAACCCCACTGATAAAAAGCAGTTTTGAGCATCTAGGCGCAGGGTCTGGGGCACTGGTTGTCTCTTAGAACAGAAAAATCTAGGAGGTAATATGCAACATTTTCTAGAAGTACAGTTAGCCTCTGATATTTCCTGGCATACATGACAACTATAGATCTAGGAGAAAAACCAGCACCAAACCACTGTTAATAAATTAGTCAAGAACTCTCTTATTCGCATTCTAGTACTGTTCATTTAAATTCAACTCAAGTGGTCCAGCGGTTAAGACACTGCAATTATAAAGACCAGGATGTCCCAATTCAAATCTTATACAAGCCATTAACTAGTTAGGCCCAGTAGATACGGCACATAAGTCAAACTTTTAAGAGATCACAGACACCTGTGCTCCCTCCTTCTGTCCCCAAACTAAATCCCACATGTTCTGACCATTTGGTTTAACTTGCCTGCTTGAAATTCTGTGTGTCTGATTGCAACCGTCTCCCTCTGGGCCACTGAATTATTTGAACAAAATATGATGATGTAATAGGAGGAGTAAGACATCACAATAAGGCTTGATATGTACATTTATGATGCAATAATTCATGTTAAATTCAAACACCAGCTCAACCCTTTACACCCATTTTTTGAGGTGGCAGGAATGATACAAAATGCATTGTAACTCGGCACCTGAAGGGAGACCTTTTGAACACTGTTATTAACTAGATTATGTCCTGCTAACGAATTCATATAAATTATGGAGTATAATAGGAAAAGTATGCCACAGTGAGCAAGCAGGGGTACAAGGAGTTGACTCCGAAAAAAGCCCACCCATATGTGAGAGGCACCTTTCACTCACAGATTGATCTGCACCTTGCTTGGTGGATTGAGCACAAAATCAAAAGTATTTTCAAAGACAGACTATTCGTCCTGAACAACCTGCTCCTCAATAACCTGGGGATATATGTAAGTATTTCCCATTTATTTCTTATACAGTCTTGGGGGGGGGGCGGACACACAGTAGAACACACTTCTGTCTTAACTAGCAATCTCCAAACAAAATGAACAGCAAGTGTCAGATTACCGGCTTTAGGTCAGGGGTCCCCAACGTGTGAGCACATTTCAAATTTTGAAAAAGGTTTGTGGACACTAGCACAAAACGACTACTCTGGGGGTGTGGCCAATAACAAAATGATCTACTTCTAGGGAGACCTACGTAGTCCTGTTTCATCCTTTCCTGACACACAGACACTTCAAACTTGCACACAGATAAAACAATAGCTTTGTATTCACCATCTGTAGCAGCTGGCAAAGGAAAGGTTGTTGGGTGAAACTACCTACCATTCTCCAAATAACCACATTGGCTACCAATTTCAGGCCAAGTTTAAAGCAAGTTTGTTAATGGATAAAGCCCCAAACAATTTAGGATCTGATTACCTGGGAGACTGCCCCCACCCAATACAGTGGTACCTCGGGTTACAGATGCTTCAGGTTACAGACGCTTCAGATTACAGACTCCGCTAACCCAGAAATAGTACCTCGGGTTAAGAACTTTGCTTCAGGATGAGAACAGAAATCATGCAGCGGCGGCATGGCAGCAACGGGAGGCCTCATTAGCTAAAGTGGTGCTTCAGGTTAAGAACAGTTTCAGGTTAAGAACGGACCTCCGGAACGAATTAAGTTCTTAACCCTAGGTACCACTGTATAAACCAACCCATCCATTGAGATTGGATCAGGTCCTCCTCTTGGTTGTTCTGCCAACTCCACAAATCTATCTTACAGCGAGCAGAGGGAGGGCCTCTTCTGTGGTGGCACCTAGCCTTTGGCAATCCCCCCTGAAATAAGACAAATACCAACTCTGATTGGTTTCAGTTTTCTGTTCCAAGAACTGCTTAATAACAAGTGAATGCTAGGGTGAATAATAACAAGTTCTTAGTAATTTGTTTGACCTATGGTGGATATTGTATATTTTATTATTTTAATTAATTTATTTAATGAAGATCAGATTATATTGCCCGTAGCCTACTCTGGGTTTTTTTTTAATGAAGGGTGGCATAGAAATATTTTACTTTAAATAAATAATTGCTTCATACTGCTGCCTCTGCCTGCTTCCTCCAAACAGCCATTTTGCAGTGTTTGGAGAGGGAAGGGGAGCAACAATGGACACCTCTGGCTCAGCAGGAAAGGATGGGAGAGAGCAGAAAGTGCAGGTAAAAGAAGGCTGGTTGGAGCAAAGATGTCAATTTTTAAGATTCTTCCAGCCTCCTGCACAGCTATCATCAGTAGGTTCAGGGACAGGTAGTGGAGAACCTAGTGCCTATTAAAACTTTTTTAGAGCCTTTTAAAATTCCATTTCAGTCAGAAGGGGCAGAAAACAGAGTCTTGTAGGCACTGTGGGAAGTCTACACACATGCACTATGCTGAACAATGCAGGCTTGGATTACGTTTTTTAATCTTATGGGCTTCTTGATGCTGACCAATACGTAATCCGAGTTTAATTTTCTAGACAGACTGGAAAACTGTAAAGCCAGATTGTGAGAGGAATGCAGAGCATGGGGCTTGATGCCCGTTCCTGCCGTAATAAACTATGGTAACCTCTAACAAGAGATAGAAGTAGTCTCTTAGTCTTTGAGCAGTAATAGTCCAGAAGAGTGAGAGTCAACCAGCTACGTTCAATTAAAGTGGTAGATAATCACAAGACAGGGAATGGGATTCCCTAAGTTTGCCCTACAGATCTAGTGCTTAGGCCAACAAACGAAACAGCAGAATGCGGCTCCCCTGTGAAGAAAGGTTACAGCATTTGGGACTTTTTAGTTTAGAGAAAAGGAGATTCGGAAGTGACATGACAGAAGTTTAAAAAATTATACATGGCATGGAGAGAGTGGGTGGAGAGAGGTTTCCCTCCTTCTATCATAAAACTAGAACTCATGGACCTCCAATGAAGTTGAATGTTAGAAGGTGCAGGACAGATAAGAAAAAAAGGTATTTACCGTATTTTTTGCTCTGTAAGACTCACTTTTTCCCTCCTAAAAGGTAAGGGGAAATGTGTGCGCGTCTTATGGAGCGAATGCAGGCTGCGCAGCTATCCCAGAAGCCAGAACAGCAAGAGAGATTGCTGCTTTCACTGCACAGCGATCCCTCTTGCTGTTCTGGCTTCTAAGATTCAGAATTATTTTTTTCTTGTTTTCCTCCTCCCAAAACTAGGTGTGTCTTGTGGTCTGGTGCGTCTTATAGAGCGAAAAATACGGTATATCTTAATAGTGTGGAGGTTTGTTTGATTCTTCTGTTATATGTTTGTTTGTTTGATTGATTGATTGATTGATTGATTGACTGTATGTTTGTTTACTTGTATGCACGTTTGTTTTTTCATAAATGTATTTATTTTAAATTAATAAAGATATATTTAAAAGGGGGGAGGTACTTCTTCATGCGGCTAATAATCAAACTATGGAACTCACTCCTCAAGCAGGCGGTGATGGACACCAGCTCGGATGGCTATAAAAGAGGATTAGACAAATTGACGGAGGAGAGGGTTATCAATGGTTACTATCCTTGATGGCTATGCTTTACCTCCACAGCTTGAGGCAGCAATGCCTCTGAATAACAGTTACTAGAAACCATGGGAGGGGAAAATGCTCTTGTGCTCATGTTCTGTTCCCTAGTTTCTGTCAGGAGCTCATCCTACACTCGAGTAGGACCCTGGCAAAGACACATGCACGACTGGGCATGTCCCCTCCCTCTTGGTCGGTCGGGAGCTTAAAAAGCTTTCTTCTGCCCAAACATCACAGCAACCGATGTCAACAGACATCAGCACACTTAGGGATCCGCAGAGACTTCGCAGCTTGCGTGACAGACCTCAGCATTTTGGCTAATCTACTTTATTTACATATAAACACACACGGAGCACTGCAACATGGCTCCCTCTCTCTCTCTCTAGCATCAGACAGCAAAGAGAATGAACAAAGGACAATAGTCTCACTTCACGGAACACAGGAACACAAACATCCTGTCTCCATCACTTCCCACTCTGTGGAGTCAAAACATATACCATCATGTGATAGACAACAATCCCATGACTGCAATCATGGAGCAGGAATTCTAACAGTTTCCCACAGGCATCTGGTTGGCTGCTGTGAGAACAGGATGCAGGACTAGATGGGCCACTGGCCTGATCCAGCAGGTTATCCTTATATTCTTATTCTGCCATTTCATATCCAATTTTATTTTACCAATTGATTTCAAAAATTAAAAAAATCTCTCATTTTCTCATCCATATATATATATATATATATACACACACACACACACATATTGCCGCCAGCGCGAAACATTACTTAGTAATAAAGCAATAATAATCTTTGCTTAAATGAAAGGAATTTGCTAAAATCTGCAGACATTACTCATGAATGTTTAATAGATGCCCTTGCTGATTAATACTTTCAATCAGTAATCTGAGCAATCTCTTATATAAGTAAAACCACCAGGCTCCTCCACTCTGCGCCAACAAGTGTACCTGAACATTGCCTTGGGAAGAGGTATTTACACAAAATCACATCTGGGAATCAGTCCAGCAGTGACTCTCTTCATAGCTTCCAAGAAATAAAACCACACTTTAAACTAAAGATTATCTCCTTCCATGAAACTTTAAGAAGACAAAAAAGGAATACGCATGCGAATCTTACACAATGTGTACTTGGAAACAAGCAAGATTCCCACCTACCGAACTTGTTTTGTTTTCCCTAAAGTCTAAAGGGCGAGTTCACATTGTCAAACTCTGCCATACAAATCAGCACACTAGTATATCACAAAATAGAGTTAGATTAGCATGAACCGTGTTATATACACATGGAGCCACAGCCATTTCCATGCCTGCAGGTGTATGTTTTTCCCTATGTTTTAGGTATGGTTATGTCTAAATCTTTGGGAAGGCCTGGTTTCTTGGACTGGCAGGATGGCTTTCCACTAAAATCCATTCTAAAAAAAGCTCTATTTTTCCTGTGCTCAGCTTCTCTTTTGAAGAAGAGATTCCAGAGTTTCCCATCATAACACTTGCCAAGCCAGGGATTTCCATGCTGAGCACAGCTGTTGCTGCCACAATCTTCCTTTAGATACAGTCACTGAGGGCAGCTCTGAAAAGGATTCAACACAGCAAACAACCCTACTCAAGTGGAATTTCTCCAGCTGTAGTGACTCCTGTGGATCCCCAAGCATCAATTCCCAAATGATGTGCTGGAGCCTTCAAGAAATATGCCACCACCATGTTGGCTACAAATTCATTCATTCTATACCCCTCAGGGTCAGGGCATAATTTTAAAGGAGACACTGGGTATTTCCCCATCATAGTCTGCAAACATGGGGGGGGGGGTAGATCCCAGAAGGATGACCATTGCCTAGAAGCACTGTCTCATCCCCAAACTCTGATCAGAGAGGAGGGTAAGACCAGGCTTTTCTGCTTTCGCAGAGAAGGGTGAGTGGTGTGCTTCCAATTTTTATCCAGAAATAATACCATCCCAAATAGAAAATGCTGTTTCATATAAACAGTTCATGGAGAGGCAAAATAATTTCCTCCTGGCCCAGAGTTACATCAGTCTTTTCTGAAAAAAGGGAGTATCCTAGATTGGAAAGAGCTGAGCCTCTGCTGCTACAGTATATAATTCTTAACTACCTCTAAAGCTCTCTCAATGATTTATCAGCAATGCTTTTATACACAATAACTGTCACCTACTGATATAATTATTTTATTTGGGGCAATAGTAACTTCTCTCAAATACAAAAAAAATTTAATACAAGGATAACCTGATAATATAGTTGCTAATGACCGACTTATAAACACAATCATCTGAATGCAAGCAGTGCTACATTTCAATCTGCAAGATAAAATTCTGAATCATTTAAATATTATTTCACAAATGTTGCTTATGGCTTCAAAGCACTGAAGATGCAGCTTTGCAAAGATATTGGCTCTAGACAGTAATTATATCCACAGCCTAATGTTGCAGTTAATGGACACACACATTTCAATAATTACAATGCCTGAACAAGATAATATGCCTTTATTAGCTGCTGCAAAATAAAAGCTAAGCCAGAACTGAACTTAGCTAAGCATTTTAGAGACCAGATATAGAACATATTATTAAAAACTCTAGACAACAGAAAACACCGAAATCAGGATTTTCATGACAATCGCGTAATAAAAAATGAAAAGTATTCATATAGGTAACATAACTAGGCACGGTGGGTGGAGCTAGCAGAGACTGGAGAGAGAGATCAAGGTTTTAATTAGTACATGGTTGAAGATTTTACATTAATTGGATGAAAAAGTGTTATGACATGATGATTATAATAGGACAAGCCTAATACTCTTGCTGAGTATTGCCATACTTTCAGCAGTAAAGCCATTATGTTCTAATGTTCTGTTGTTGTACACCATTTTGAATTTATAACCTTACACACTCTAATGCAGCGTTTATAGCTCTCTTTGGTTCTATATGACCCACAAATTTAGCAATGCACTATTACTAAATTTCATTGTATTTCATTAATATATATATATTTTAACAGTACTGGATCTAGAGTAAACTCTCACGGAACACAGTAAAACATTGCAGGTTTTGAACCGGGAGCTACAGTGGCACACCCCAGGCACTTTACTCCCGGCTCAATTATGGTTACTTGGAAGCAAAGAACATGGCTAGCCTGACCTCTTCAGATGGTCAGAGGGTGTTATTGCACCAAGTAGCCCCAAACAGAGATCAGGCACCATTAGGAGTGAATCTGGCCCTACAGTGCATCCGACTCTGACCTGGATCCTCAGTCTGAGCAACAAATTGTTCAGGTATGGACTGAATAGTTCATGCACTGCCTATCTTGGCTTACCACCTACGTGAAAGCTTGCTGAAACTGTACTTTAATTACATCAGATGTGGGTTTTTTAAGTCAGTTCTATGTCTACTGTATGGCATAGTCATTGTCTCTAATTTCAGCAAGAATTTTGGCCTATTCTAATGATGCATTTCTAAGAAAGCATAAAATATGCACCAGGAATGTGCCAGGATTCTGATAACAACAATTAGCTTATCGGTGCCTTTCTCGGATAATAATATGATCATCTAGCCCAATTCAGTAAATTCATACTAATAGGAATTGTTTTACCTTCCTTTGTTGTCGCCTGAATTGTTTAATAAGTCCATCAACAGCACTAAAGTAAATTAATCTCCCAGATCAATCTCCTGAACATTTTAAAGAGAAAGGAACTTCATCTTAGAGCTAAGCAAGTAAAAGCAGTGGCGTAACACTTTAGCAAGGGACGCGGATGGCGCTGTGGGTTAAACCACAGAGCCTAGGACTTGCCGATCAGAAGGTCGGCGGTTCGAATCCCCTGCAACGGGGTGAGCTCCGGTCCCTGCTCCTGTCCACCTAGCAGTTTGAAAGCACGTCAAAGTGCAAGTAGACAAATAGGTACCGCTCCAGCGGGAAGGTAAACGGTGTTTCCGTGTGCTGCTCTGGATCGCCAGAAGTGGCTTAGTCATGCTGGCCACATGACCCGGAAGCTGTACGCCGGCTCCCTCGGCCAGAAAAGCGAGATGAGCGCCGCAACCCCAGAGTCGGCCACGACTGGACCTAATGGTCAGGGGTCCCTTTACCTTTACCTTAAACACTTTAGCAGCATGAACATTCCAATATAATACCTTTGTTCTGAGATAAACTTAGAGAAGAATTCAACATTGCACTTTTCTGATTGTTCCATCAATGCAAGTATCTTGGCTCGCCACCAGGGAGTGGGCAGGCTTAGGGAAGAATAGGGTGGAAAAGCCCCACTGCCCAATGGAAGTTCTTGCTCAGGACTTCCACTGACAGGACTCATTAGCTGAAATCTACCCCAGGTAAACAAAGTAGTAGGCATGATACTTTGTAGACCCTATGCCAAGGGTTTTGGAACCCCTATGATGATGAGATATGATGTTCCAACGGTGAACATCTTTGGAGCAGGAGCAAATTTCGCTAATCATATCAATTGCATGTCCACCACGCACTCAAAGATGGAAGTACCACTTCATAACACCAGTGTGTCCGTTCAAATTCAGCCTGGTGGCAAATCCACCTGCATGCTCACGGGAGCCAAAAAGAATCTAAACTAGACCAAAAGATAAACAAACAAGTTGAGCACTGAAGGAAACAGGAAAGCAAGAGCACTTCCTGGTACCTGGGATGCTATCATGAGTACTGCATATAATATAAAATATGAAATTAGAATATTTCCAATATTAGACAGGTGCTGAATTAAAATATTCAAGAATTATTGGTAGTCTTCATTTCAACCCTTAGTAACCCCATTATGTTTTATAAATTCCAATTCTACAGCTTCTCATCCCAATTATCCTTTGGAGTTTGTTTTGTTTTTGTTTAAGTATATTGAACCAAATATTCTTATTGTCTACATAACTAGATACCGGTAATCTGAGGTTTGCTCAGCTAGCAGCTTGAGGGCCCTTGGCTGAATATCATCAGGTCCTTGCTACCTAGGACTCATTCAGACTGCGCACATAATTTTAATTGCTCTTTTTGCTATCCTGACCCATGTATCCTTACCTTTTCTTGTTGATATCAATACAATACCAAATTTCATATCTGTTGGGGTTATTGTGAGTCCATACACACCAGAGATTGTACACATTCACATGAAGATGTGGAGAGTATTCAATAACTGACAGCATCATGAGAGAATATTGTTCACCGTCTGATCAATACAGACAATCATAAACGGATACTGGAGAACACAAAATGACCACACTATACATTATGCACCTAATATGCATAACCTCCATGTAAGTTTCACACACTGTTTGTACAATATAGATTACATTCAAGCAGAGAATATATATGCTGACCAGCCAACAAGCACACTACCCAGCTGACATTGCCAACCTGTACATATTCTCCACCACCACTTGAAGATTATGCATCTCAACTGGGCAATATACGAAGTCCACGGCTCACGTTGTCAATTTCTGCAATTTCTCCATGCATATGTATAGAACAGTATGTATAAAACAGTGGTTAAATGGATGAACACCCAAGTTTCATTTCTTCCACAATCATTCACTGATAATCTAGAACACCAGCACTTTATTACTGTTAAATCTTCCTCGCAGAGCCAGATCAAATCTCATTCTCAGCTTTTTACTAGGGTAGACATGCCAAGTAATACTTCTCAAAAGACAGCTCTCCATCCCTATTATTATTGTGTGTTTCATGCATGTTTTCCAGTTTTAGTCTTCACATTTGGTCTTCCTCTGACCAGAGTTAGACAAGCAAGGCCAGTATGACCATAACTTCAAGTCCCATCACCTCCGAACAGTGAAAACTCCTGCTTTTGCCACTTCTCTTTCTGAGCAAACCCAGGTTAGTTATGCTTTTTACAACCATGAAGGGAGATCTCCCAAAGTTTCAACCGGGTTGCTATTTTGAACAAAGGATGTGTCTGGTGCAAGAATGCCATTCAGAAGCACTCTCCAGTGAGCAGTGTGGTGTAGTGGTTAAGAGCGGTGGACTCGTAATCTGGTGAACTGGGTTCGCTTCCCCGCTCCTCCACATGCAGCTGCTGGGTTATCTTGGGCTAGTCACACTTATCTGAAGTCGCTCAGCATCACTCACCTCACAGAGTGTTTGTTGTGGGGGAGGAAGGGAAAGGAGATTGTTAGCTGCTTTGAGACTCCATCGGGTAGTGATAAAGCGGGATATCAAATCCAAACTCCTCCTCTTCTTCTTCTCCATCATCATGACTATAGCCACATTATAGAATAACACGGTAAATCCATTTTTAATAGTGATATATAAAATGACACTTGGTTGCCCCCCTCCCTTACTTACGGTCCTTTAAAAAATTATGGTACTTCTGTAACATACAGAAAACTAGATATGGTAAACAGTGCATCGCAAAGTCTTTAGTACAACTGTCTGGAAATGGGACTTTTTCATCTCTCATTCAAAACAGCCAGTACTTCCAGGTTCAATCTTCAACTAAGGCTGGGAAAAACTCCTACCTGAAACCCCAGAGGAGTCGCTGCCAGTCAGTGTTGACAGTACCAAGATCAATGGGCCAATGGTCTGATATGGTATAAAGCAAGCCAAGCCGCAATGCAACAGGAGGACTGAGCATATGAGTTCTTTACACCACTTGAACCAACATTAGGGAGGTAGCCCATGGCAGCCATACATACAAAAATGCAATGTAAGATGTATTTGCCAGCATGTAGGTTCTTACACTCCAATGTTGAATGTGGTTTCCTATTCTGATTAAGAGGGGAAGTGCCACAGTCCACTGTTTCAGATGTAACAGTGAACTGTGGAATCAAGTTCATCTGAGCAAACCAAGTCCGGGGATGGGGGGCCATGTGAACCCAATGTTCACTTCATGTGTGTGGACGTACAAAATGTATCTGTTCATCCCAGCTATTTTTTCTCATGACCCTAAATAACAGCTCACGTACAGTTTGGTACTTTGGTAATCAATACGTTATAAAACTGGACTCCAACGTATCTTTATCATTGTCATGCCTCTGTGAAGTTTCACCTCCTTTGGCCAAGAACCCTAAAAGCCCTACTTTAAAACTAATTTAGCCATCTCAACAGCCCTTCCCAAAAACATTCGGGGGCGCAACTGAACCCACTATTTGTTAAAATTCTTCCGTAAACTCTAAATGTTAAAGTTAAATGAGAGGCATTTAATGCAATCTGAAAAATATTCAGTTCAATTAAAAATAATTGATGCATGGTGAAATAATTCTTCCCAAAGCTGCTGTAAAAATCTTCAAAAAAATAAAGCTACTTAATAATTTTCATCTCCTACAGGCTAGAGAAGCATTATTGCATATTAAAAATTGGAATTCAGTTTTCCCAGGAGGTACAAGAAAGTTATTAAAACAACCTATTTATTGTTGATATAACTATCCATTTGTGCTACACAGAAAGTAACAATTTCAGTACATTAAGAGAAAAACTAATTAAGATATAATTAGTATTTTCTGTATTTTGATAATTAAGGATTAGTTGGCTATTCCTTTTCACATTCCTGTTTGTTGCATCCTGACAATACCTTTAATGAGCAGCTAACGCTATTTAAGCCCTCATGGCTGAGCAGTTTAGTGACCACTACTACATTGCTTCCATTTATCACTGCCTCTTTACCTATAAATTAAAGCAGCCCTCTAGCTATCTTGATCTACTTTATATCAATTTCTTCATCCATATCAGCTGAATATGTATGGCATTAACCTCATTTACCAGTTGAGAAAAGATGAATTAAAATGAGATCCAATTCCTGGTCACACAACACAATTTCAAAAATGCCTGCTAATTTCCACCACCTGTCAGAACAGCAATCCTTTACTTTCCAGTAATAAAATGAGGTATATTTCTGCTCAGCTCATTAAAAATAAAAATTGAACACACATTTTAATGTAATTAACCACTAAAAGTACAAATCCCTGATTACAATATGAACCATATATGTTCATTTCTTCTAGTCCCAATGAAGCTAATGCATTTGTATACACTGTGAAATGCACTGCAAAAATATTAGAAATGTTAAGCTTAAGTATAAAGTCACTTCTGTAGCCTTGCAAAAATACAGTATTTTATAAACTAAGATTTACAAGAAAACCAGAGGCACAATAATGAGCAATTTTTTTAAAAAATTTTAAACCATTCCAGTTCCAAATAAAGTAAATTGCCAGAATATATACAGATTCTGTTTGCAATATGAAACTTGTATTGATAAAGAAAGAAAATTTTCTTTAACATACTATACATTTATATTCCTATATTTTGTATTTTTATTCCACAATTATCAAGCACCGATAGAAACTGCACACAAGAAAATGAGATTAAAACAGGAATTACAATTAAAATACTTGGTTGTTCTTTCCAGGAAACAATCACCAACTTTCTCAGTGTCTCTATATTTTTGGAGTGAGGGATTACTAACAATTTCTCTTCTAAGTCACCTGCACTGGGGGGCGGGGTTCTTTCTAGGATTATTTTCCAAGAAACTCTACCCCTGCTCCAAACGTCCTTTGCAATAATTATGTTTCACAGATTCATCTTTGCTTTATAGCACCTCTTCACAGAAACAATGTACTGTAGATCCTTGGTCTTCCAAATCATGCTCAGCCCAAGGACCACAATCAGGAAAAAAGGGGGCGGAGCAATGAATGTAAATATTACCTTGTGCAGTAGGCTAGCTTCTGTGTACTTTCACATGCCTCTCTTTATTCACATCCAGAAAAGTAAGAGGCATTACCAGAATTGAAGGACACATTCCAGCTAAGCAAAGCCAAGCCACAGAAGCTGTGACCTGGGGAGAATTGCAAGTGCTAGACAGTGGCACCTGGAGGGCCACATTCAAACTCTGGGCCCGAGGTCCCCCACCACTGATCTACACCAGGGATGTCCAATAGGTCGGTTGTGATCTACTGGTCGATCGTGGGGTGTCTCTGGTCGATCACGGGACCCTGCCCCCCAAAAAAGCTCAACAACTCTGGTCAATACAATGGGTAGATCACTGTCAGTGTTTTTAGTGGGAGTAGATCGCGGTCTCTTGGAAGTTGGACATCCCTAATCTACACACTGTGTGCAGCCTAATAAAGCTTTGCTTTGTTTTGGAAACAAAAAAAATGAGCCCCATCTGCATAAACGAGAACACACAAGTCATTTCAACGCTCAACAGGTTTCAGAACATGCTCAGTTGGTTCTAGAACACCAACAGCAAACTCCCTCTCGCAAATAAGAGTTTAAAAGGATCACCAGGATGAATATGCCTTGTCAACCATTCAGTCTACGACTAGCGTCAATACAACTAACAAAACTATGAGACCGTCTTGAGTGTTGGAAGATGCAATTTGTGAAGAAGAAGCAACCATCCTATCCGTGTCAAGCTATACAACCACAGATCTTCAGCCTAACAGAATGACACTAACTGCAAAAACAAGACTAATGTTGGCATTTGATAATGCTGTGCAATCCACACCAAAACATATAGACCAAAATGGGGAATGAAAATGCCTCTCAACATTGCTATCTCTCTCTCTCTCTCTCTCTCTCTCTCAGCATTTATAAACTACTTAGAATTTCAAAAATCTCTAAATGATGCACTGTAATGATAGATATATATTATTAAAACGAAAACAAAAATGCAACCTAAAACAGCAGTAAAAGTATATAAAAACAAACAAAATAGCAATTCAGAGGATTCAAACACATAAAACAGGTTCCAAGCTTATGGATCAGGGAGAATCTGGTCTTCATATTTTTTAGCAGATGGATTGATTCAACATAGGATTTAAAAAGGGTAAAAAACCCCTGGATGGTTAAGTCCAGTCAAAGGCGACTATGGGGTGCACCGCTCATCTTGCTTCAGGACGAGGGAGCCGGCGATTGTCCACAGACAGCTTTCCGAGTCATGTGGCTAGCATGACTAAACCGCTTCTGGCGCAACAGGACACCATGACAAGTGCCAGAGCACATGGAAATGCTGTTTACCTTCCTGCCACAGTGGTACCTATTTATCTACTTGTGCTGGTGTGCTTTCAAGCTGCTAGGTTGGCAAGAGCTGGGACAGAGCAATAGGAGCTCACCTGATCGGCAAGCCCAAGAGGCTCAGTGGTTTAGACCACAGCGCCACCAGCTGCAATACTGCGGACAGGACAATCACTCATGCCCTTTAAATCATATTCCAAAGGAGACTATATTCAGATTGAAAGCCTAAGATAAGGGTGTGTTTTTATTCAGTAATTTTAAGCCCTTGATATTAAAATAAATGAAAATATGAGGAAAGCTATTTAATAGGCATCTATGGTCAAATTAAATTATGTGCATTCCTTACAAACAGTTATGGCTATAGGTGAGCATAGATAACAATATGTAGTATTTAAACCAATACTATTGCATCACCAATGATCATTCTGGCTTTTAAAGCTATTTCAGTTCCTACAACTGGTTATAAAGGTAAAGGTAAAGGGACCCCTGACCATTAGGTCCAGTCGTGGCCAACTCTGGGGTTGTGGCACTCATCTCGCTTTATTGGCCGAGGGAGCCGGCGTACAGCTTCCGGGTCATGTGGCCAGCATGACTAAGCCGCTTCTGGCGAACCAGAGCAGCACATGGAAACGGCGTTTACCTTCCTGCCGGAGCGGTACCTATTTATCTACTTGCACTTTGACATGCTTTCGAACTGCTAGGTGGGCAGGAGCAGGGGCCGAGCAATGGGAGCTCACCCTGTTGCGGGGATTCGAACCGCCGACCTTCTGATTGGCAAGTCCTAGGCTCAGTGGTTTAACCTACAGCGCCACCCGCGTCCCACAACTGGTTATACTCATCTCCAAAATCTGTGGGTTGTATCCAAGTAAAGCGTAACTCAGAATAAAACCACTGGATTGTATTCAACTAAATCTTACTCAGAGTAGAACTACTGAAATTAATGAACCTAAATTAGTCATGCCTGCTTACTTCAATGAGTCCACTCAGAGTCGGACTAGCACTGAGTACCACTTATTGAAATCAATGGTCTAATGTTAATCATACACATTGATTTCAGTTGGTTTACTCTAAGTATGACTTACTGTAGTTGGATTAAATCTTATAGGTTGTTAAACACTCCAAACTGAAATAATCTAAGCATTGTTGAGAGTGCTTATTATCAATGCCTCTAACTATAAAGGACAAATGTAAATATTTTCTCTCCACTGTTAATCTTCAAGACATATATTTCTCCGTTACCCCTGCAAGGTCATTTATTTCCTGCATAAAGCAGAGGGCAATTAAATGGAAGGATAAACCTGGTGCCCTGAAGAGAGAAAACATCCACAGTCAATTGAATATTTTTGATTCCTTCCCTCTCTTTTTCACCAAGCGCTACTTGGGGAGCACATTATGCTGAAATGCAATCTCATAAATATCATTAAAAACCATAACAATATAAATGTGTAATACATAGAACAGAGGGAGTCTTTCCCCACTTGGGCTTCTGATCATTCCCTACTGCTTATATTTCCCCCACAGAATGAAATAACCACATTAAATAAAATAAATAAATAAAGAACACGTATAATTTGCATGGGAGAAAATACAGATGTAAAGGTTAACAAATTAAAGATCTACGTGCAGAAAAAGGTACACACAGTGTATGTTCTATAGCATTACAGCACCACAGTTTTCCACCTATGCGTCTGAGCATAGCTATCTGAAAGAATGATCATTGACTGGTTGCATGGTTAGTCAAACATTTGCAACTTGGCCCTTTGTACAACCAAGTACAGCCTAGATATAGGCTATTTTTAGAACTCCCCACTGCAGTATGAACTCTGCAGTATGCACAGCAGGACCTTTGTTAGTATTCTCCAAACCCTCCAGATTTGCAGCAAGCAGAATAAAGTGTTTGCTACATTACGGAAAGCATGACCTTGTGGCTTCTTTGGTTAAACTGGATATTAAGCCCCCCCCCTCTTATCAGTTGCTAACAAAATGCATCTTTAAAAAAATCTGTCAAAGTTCAGCTTAAAAAGGATCCCTAGCAGTGTCTCAAGGAGGCTGAAGAACGCAGACAATCTTTTTATCAAGTTTATAAATATCACTTTCACTTCATTTAAGCTACTTTCAATAGCCATATAAATGGTTGTCATCTTAACTAGATCCATTTTTACATCTCTCTTTACTTCTGTTTCCAAACATGAATCCTTCTAATCAATAAGAGTATATCTATGCAGGCAATATATAGCAGAGGATTTACTGTAGGGATATAATGCCATCTGCTGCTACAGTTGCTGCTATAGCAGGGGGAGATAAAAAACAAAGACATAACTGGGCCTTTAGTTTAAAAAAAAATGCTTTAGAGATCATATTGTTTCATTTTATCCCAGAAACGTTAAACCCAGATATTCAAAGAAAGGACCAGGGTTCTGTTGTTACTCAATCCCACCATCCCACAACTACACACCTCTATTGCCTGCCAGATCTGAGAAACACTATATTCAGAATAGATTTACAAGACAAGTTCTCTCATCCTTTCACAGGTCCGTGCTGAATTGGATTGTGTAAAGGATCCAATACTGATTCACAGTGTGGTGGTGGTCAAGTTTTATTCTGGTGAACCTGGATCACAAAGCAACTTGATCCTGGCTATATTCAGAAGGAGATTGCGTCTGAATACCAGCTGCTGAAGGGAAATGCAGCTTGTGGACTTCCATTAGGCATCTTCTTCACCACCATCAGAAACAGGATACTGGACTAGATCTGTCTTTGGGCTCCTCTTTCATTATCCGAGGGAAGAATCAGTGAGTAACGATGGACTAGAACCCCTAAAAACTGCTTATCTACCACCACCCACTTTCCCTTGCAATCTGCACCCACAGGGATGTGTTAGGTCTGCCCCCGTCCAGCTAGGGTAATGTTAAGCAAGCAGGGTTATTCCTGCATTGCAGGGGATTGGACTGGATGACCCTTGGGGTCCCTTCCAACTATTCAATTCTATGATTCTAGGCTGATCAGCGCTTGGAAGTTATCCAATATCATCCAATATCATTTATAGTGCATCCTATCTAAAGGGAGGCCACAGCAGGCACAAAGTGTTCCTCTAAGAAATCAACGTAGATCGGGTTCTCTGAAGACATTTTACTCAGAGTACACCCATTGTAATTAATGAACATGACCAACCTGGGTCCATTCATTTCAGTGGATCTACTCTGATTAAATGGGACGTGGGTGGCGCTGTGGGTTAAACCACAGAGCCTAGGACTTGCCGATCAGAAGGTCGGCGGTTCGAATCCCCGCGACGGGGTGAGCTCCCATTGCTCGGTCCCTGCTCCTGCCAACCTAGCAGTTCGAAAGCACATCGAAGTGCAAGTAGATAAATAGGTACTGCTCCGGCGGGAAGGTAAACGGCGTTTCCATGTGCTGCTCTGGTTTGCCAGAAGCGGCTTAGTCATGCTGGCCACATGCTGGCCAATAAAGCGAGATGAGCGCTGCAACCCCAGAGTTGGCCATGACTGGACCTAATGGTCAGGGGTCTCTTTACCCTTTACCTTACTCTGATTAAAACATAACTTTCTACTTATCTTTTTAACTAGGTAAGGTAGACTTGGTTAAACAGGAGCTATGGCAGCAGGGTCAATATGCCCAAACCTAGGAAAGTGAGGGTGCATATGCAACAAACGCAGAGAGGGCAGCCGAGGGCTTCACAGACTTTGCCTCATTACATGATTGTTTCCTTTTAATGAAGCTAATGTGCTCTTCAGCAGTATCAATTCTCAGTTTGATGACATCAGGTGAAAACAAAAATAGCCAAAAAGAAACTACAAAAATTAAACCATTAGAAAAAACGTACTTCCAACTAGACAAGCTTGAAACAGCCTAGACTTCTTCTACAACAGGAAGAGGAATTTTATAGTTGGTCACTATCAAATCAAATCTTTACTGCCACAGTCAAGGACCAGTAAATGTTTGCCACTGTTCACATCTCAAAACAAAAACATGTTCTGTGTTCAGGAATTTGCCTAAACACACAAAATCTCTGAGCGTGGACAGGGGTGCATCTATAAGTCCAGTCCCAAACATCCTTGCCTGCACTGAACACACACGGTCAGTTCTCTGCCTTCTCTTGTGTTGTATAGGAAAAGTCTGCAGGGAGTTTCTGTTCACTTTTGCTTGAATGAGACTAGACTCCTCCATGTGATCAGCAACCCAGCTTCAAGTAAACACAAGCGGAGGCCCCTCGAAGACCATTCCCACACAACAAGGCAAAGGTCGGTGACTATGGAGGACCACCCTGGGGGTGCGGATTGTGTGTGCACCCCTGTCCCCACTTTGAGTGCACACGTACACAATTTAATTAATTTTTTTCTACATGGGACTCAACGTTAAGTATCTCTAAAAAGAGGCGTACACGAAAAGGGGAGAATAAAAATCATGATACTGATCTGGTAATCAGAAAGTCCAGTTGCTGTGTCTAGTCTTTCATCACTGTCTTCCTGCTAAATATTTGCTTTGGATAACAAGCAAAAACTATTTCAATCTTTCTCAACATCAGCTGATCAGCTCTGTATAATATCTGTATTAGGAGTGTCCCCTTAAGTTAGGAGGAATTAACTACCGGTACTTTTTCCTTAAAGAATGTGTCTTACTATTTCTTTCTTCTCTAGTCAAAATGCAGGAAAAGCCAAGTAGTGTGAGAAATTCAGTAGAAACTGAATAAATGAGTAACTGTCAAAAGGACAGAACTATTAAAAGTATAAATCCTGCATACCCAGCTGTGAAATATAATACAATATAGCAAACTCTGTTAAATGCTTGAAATAAAAGACAAAATGCAATGTAATCTCAAACTGTTTAATGAATACAACTGTTGAAAAAGTGAAGTACTTTCATACAGCACCCTGAAATGAACTTGACTACAAATACAGAAAATCTGTCAGAGATAAAAATCACATTCATCTACAGTCTAGTCACACCAGTTCCACACTCTGTTCCACGAACAGCAGCTTCAGCTCCTTTGACCAAACAGCTTCCCAATTTACTTTCAATGAACTAAATAGCAGATAATCTCTCTCTACTAAAATGAGGTGGGCTGCTTATTTAGTGAAAGAACACACGCAAACTCTTTGGTTCAGGATCAATTCTCCTCACAACACACATATCTAACAACAACAGGCTTTTCTGTATAAAATTAAATTGTGTAAGGGAAACACTTACCTTTGAGGTGCGCTGGAGCTGATCCCCTACGTAAGTTTTACGGAACTGATCCAAAAACCAGAGTATGGCAAGTTCCACTTTCTCATTGCTAGAGCGTGGTAACTGGGCATCCATCAAAGAAATTAGCTGAAAGACTCTGAAATCAGTAAAAGAAAGAAAGAAACATGTATAAAGTTGTTGGGTTTTAAACCTGATATTCAAAATGATTCACAGGTGCACCAGCCATTAAAATCTAAACACATCTTCAGTTGAATCAAACTGTGTTCTTTTTGATCAAGCAGACACCTCTGCTAACAGAAGAGGACAGTCATTTTTACCAATTTCCCTGTTCTGAATTTGAGTTTACACAACACAAAGGTAAAGGTAAAGGTACCCCTGCCCGTACGGGCCAGTCTTGCCAGACTCTAGGGTTGTGCGCTCATCTCACTCTAGAGGCCGGGAGCCAGCGCTGTCCGCAGACACTTCCGGGTCACGTGGCCAGCGTGACAAGCTGCATCTGGCGAGCCAGCGCAGCACACGGAAACGGCGTTTACCTTCCCGCTAGTAAGCGGTCCCTATTTATCTACTTGCACCCGGGGGTGCTTTCGAACTGCTAGGTTGGCAGGCGCTGGGACCGAGCAACGGGAGCGCACCCCGTCGTGGGGATTCGAACCGCCGACCTGACGATCGGCAAGTCCTAGGCGCTGAGGTTTTACCCACAGCGCCACCCGCATCCCTAGTTTACACAACACACAAGCAGCCAAAGTGCTGACTAGGATATGAGTATCACTGTAGAGCCAATAGGAACCAACCCTGTCAGTTTGTTGTTTCATGTATCTCTTGTTATGATTTTGTTTTGGAAACTCTTTTCTGCGTGGTATTATTTGTTGCATAGCATTATTTTCAACTCATTGCCCTTTTTAACTGTATGCTATTTAAATGCTCCTGGTTTGTGGTTTTAATTATGTACAGAGTGATTTGATGGAACTGGGGAGATGAATAGAGATGCCCCTATAAGAGCAGTTTCAGGTAGGGAGAGATATGGTGATTGTGCTCAGTTAAGAACTTCTTCTAAAGGACCAGGTTCACAGTTTGGGTGTTTTTTCGGATCCAGCACTGAGTAGCTGCTGTGGCTCAAAGCAGCTTCAGTCAGCTCCAGCTAATACCTATACCTGGATGAGGATAGCTTATCCAATTATCCAGGCTTTGGTAACCTGCCACTTAAGACTATGACAGTGTATTATATATGGGGCTGCCTTTAAAAACAATCCAGAAACTGAAATTGTTTCAAAACAGGGACACAAAACTTTTAACTGGGGTGAGGCACTATGCCAGTACTTTATTAATTGCATTGACTCCCAGTCCGTTTCCAGGCCCAATTTATAATGCTGTTTTTAACCCATAAAGCCTTAAATGGCTTGAGACCATGTTAGCTGAAAGATCACCTCCTCCTGTGCAAGCCTATCCAAATTTTAAGATCCTCTTCAAAGGCTCTGCTCCAGGGGTCCCATCAAGTGAAGTTGGGAGTAGGAGATACCAAGGAAGGGGCCTCAGGACTGCAGCTACAGAATTGCTTCCCTAGAGAAGCTCACATGGGGTCTAGGTAAAGGGGCCCCTGACCATTAGGTCCAGTCGCGAACGACTCTGGGGTTGTGGCGCTCATCTCACTTTATTTGCCGAGGGAGCCGGCGTACAGCTTCCGGGTCATGTGGCCAGCATGACTAAGCCGCTTCTGGCGAACCAGAGCATCGCACGGAAACGCTGTTTACCTTCCCGCCGGAGCAGTACCTATTTGTCTACTTGCACTTTGACGTGCTTTCAAACTGCTAGGTTGGCAGGAGCAGGGACCGAGCAACGGGAGCTCACCCCATCGCGGGGATTCGAACCGCCGACCTTCTGATTGGCAAGCCCTAGGCTCTGTGGTTTAGACCACAGCGCCACCCGCGTTCCTTTTTCACATGGGGTCTACTCTGTGGTATTTTCAGCAACAGGCGAAGACCTATTTATTTCACCCAGGCTTCTTGATTCAGTTTGGACTGTAAAATGTGTTATGCTGTCTGTGCTGCACGTACTTTTTTGCTGTCTTTTATCACTTATTGTTCATTTTAATTATTGTATATTGCATTTTTAATATTGTTTTGTTTGCTAGCCATCTAAAAAAAATGTATTGATTGGTGGGGAAAATATATATATTTATGTGTTGGGGTGTGTGTGTTTATGAAGTTTTGTGTATGTGCAGAAGCTCCCAGTATATATTAGAACACGCTAGAGCAGGCTTCCTCAACCTCGGCCCTCCAGATGTTTTGAGACTACAATTTCCATCATCCCTGACCACTGGTTCTACTAGCTAGGGCTCATGGGAGTTGTAGGCCAAAAACATCTGGAAGGCCGAGGTTGAGGAAGCCTGCGCGAGAGCATTCTAGAGAGCCTGTAACTTTCCATTCTGCTCTGAGCACGCAACAGGTATTTTCAAACTGTGTGTGTCATCTGAAGTGCCAAAGCCACTGAAAAGAGTGTATCTGCTGCCCAGTGAGCAGTCTTTCTCTTTTTCTCTCATTCTTCTACAGACTTCTATTTCCTTGCTTTTATTTTTTCCATTTTATGTACGTGTGGTGTAATTTTTTTATGTTGGAACTGGATTTTGCTCAACAAAGAGCTGAACTGTGCCTTGCCAGGGACCTGGCAAAGAACTGTTTATGCCTTAGTAAATGTTCTACTAATGATTTTTCCTGCATCTGGTGTCTTTTTGGGATGCATGCAATCGCCAAAGTTCCACTACTCTGCTAATCAATCAATGGCTAGGCAGTGTCCCAGGACTTAGGGCGCTGGATCCTGACAATATATAGAATGGTGCCTGTATGTATGTACAGTGGTACCTTGGTTTACACACTTAATCCATTCCGGAAGTCTGTTCTTAAACCAAAGCATTCTTAAACCAAGGCATGCTTTCCCATAGCAGCAGGGGACTCTATTTACAAATGGAACACACGCAACAAGAAGCGAAACATGTTCTTATTCCAAGGCAAAGTTCACAAACCAAAACACCTACTTTTGGGTTTGCAGCATTCTTAATCCAAGTTGTTCATAAACTAAGCTGTTCTTAAACCAAGGTACCACTGTATATGTATGATGATATGTCTGTCTATCACACTGTGAAACACAGTGTGTGTATGAATACCTGTGTCCAAAGGACATAAAGTCAGCAATAGCTAGAGCAGAGGTGGGCAACCAAGGATTTTCTCTACACATGGTCGCAATGCACTTCTTTGAGACCCAGTCAGTTTGTGCTCGACCTATGATCCATATCTTGTCCTGACAATAAGATCCTGTAATCCACGATCTCTAGGCTGAGAAAGTGTTCTGCGTAGGAAAATACACACACAGGGCAAACAAATGGTTGCTTCTCTTGCCAATTAGGAGAACCCTTTTCTCCTTCATCTTGTTTTCCACACAGAGAACGTCCAGAAGGATCAGATTACCTTCCATGAAAGAAGAACCTGCCTGTTTTAGTTTAGCACTGAGGACCTATGCCCACAAACTCAACTCGTTTACTACACTGAAAAGCATGCACTCTGCAGGGACAGTCAGGTGACTGTAAGACAGAGGTGCTATCCAATGCTGTCAAATGCCAATTCAAATTCCAAGCCAATACAGGTGAAACTCAAAAAATTAGAATATTGTGGAAAAGTTCCTTTCTTTCACTAATTCAACTTAAAAGGTGAAACTAATATATGAGATCGACTCATGACATGCAAAGCGAGATCTGCTTCTACTTCTCAGAGGTCCAATCCTGCTCCATTTGCAATCCTTGTGTCAGGGAACTGCCATCAGTGCCGGAGGGAGAGAGCAAAATCCAGAGGGATTCCAGAGAGCGTCCCGGGATTGGGAGAGGCAGCCCATCTTCTGGGGAAGAGAATCAGCGTAGCACCAGTGGAGAAGGGGGGCAGATGGGGGAAGCGGCGAGGCGGTCCCATGACTCCTTGCCGGGGACCAGCGGGGAGAGTAGAGGTCCTCCGCTGCCTATGCCCTCCTTGCGCAGAAGGCTTTCGCGCAGAGAGAGTAGGAGGAGACTAGGCGTCAAAGAGCTTCTTTGCTGGAAGAAGTTTAAGAAACGCCCACTGACGGATTCTGCCAGCGATTGAGACAGCCACGGGTGAGTGGCTGTCCGGACAGAAAAGGTTCACTCAGGCAACCCAGCCAGGTGTTTGCACCGGCTTACGCACGAGCAACCCCTAGAACCACTACACCTTGTTTTGCTGATTTCCTTGAATATTCTAATTTTCTGAGATGGTTAATTTGGGTTTTCATCAGCTGTACGCCATGATCAATGCAAGGCTTGACATATCTCGCTTTGCATGTCACAAGTCTATCTCATATATTAGTTTCCCCTTTCAAGTTGAATTAGTGATAGAAAGGAACTTTTCCACGATATTCTAATTTTTTGAATTTCACCTGTATGCTGTTTTGAAAGTCATTCTATGTTCATCAAATCTGAAAACACAGAGGGGTAAACAGGACTATTGCCCATAGCAATTTTCTTTCACAAAACATGCCTTGTTTTTTTAAAAAAATTGAGGGTAATGATGCACACTTACCGACAAGATAATTCACCATCCATAGCATCATGTTCATCAGTACTGGTATAAGTTAATCTTCCTCCTACAACAGTTCCAACAAGATATACAAGCCATGCCAAGCGTCCTAGCATGTTAGGGATGGGGATAGGGAGGGAGAGAGAGAGAGCATTTACATTACAACTTCATACAGCATCTGATCCAAACATATTGCAGGCTGTTCTAGTAAATGCTAATGTTTATTGATAAATCGTTAAATTTCTGTCTAATTCTTTGAAGCCACTTGATGATTCTTATAATAAACTCATAAATGCTTATATTGTAGGGCATGCTATTGTGGCTCACATTTTACCAGGAAGAGGGAAATGCGGATGAAACTTGGGAGTTTACCAAAACTACTTGGTTAGCCTTGAAATCTATTCTCAAAATCTTCTAAAACGTTAAGAACTGCTAGCAAACATCAACATTCACCAAGTTCCTGATATGTATCGTAACACAGCTGAGGAAGTAATTCTAGAATTAAGACCGAATTTTGCTGATATAAACCATACTTTGATATAGTCATCCCAAGTACTATAATGTCCATTTTTATGACAGCATTCTGACTAATGGTCCAATATAGCAGGTTTAAAAAAACACACTGCAGACCTAGATTCTGTTCAAGTTGGCCCTTGACTATGGGAGGGGAAAGGCCTTCACAGCTCTAGTAAGTGATCTTCACTGCAAATCAACAAAAAGAATATCTCTTTCCTCATCCTGGGTAGACTTCTCTGCAGTTTTTGACACTATTCTTTGGGACCTTCATGAACATCTGGCAAGTAGCCAAGAGGTCATTCCAATGGTCACTTTTTTTGCCTTTGAAATAACAGGGGAACCAGGAATACTCCTAGATGTAAAGGTAAAGGTAAAGGGACCCCTGACCATTAGGTCCAGTCGTGGCTGACTCTGGGGTTGCGGCGCTCATCTCGCTTTATTGGCCGAGGGAGCTGGCGTACAGCTTCCGGGTCATGTGGCCAGCATGACTAAGCCGCTTCTGGCAAACCAGAGCAGCGCACGGAAACACCGTTTAGCTTCCCACTGGAGCGGTACCTATTTATCTACTTGCACTTTGACGTGCTTTCGAACTGCTAGGTTGGCAGGAGCAGGGACCGAGCAACGGGAGCTCACCCCGTTGCAGGGATTCGAACCGCCGACCTTCTGATCGGCAAGTCCTAGGCTCTGTGGTTTAACCCACAGCGCCACCCACGTCCCTACTCCTAGATCTAGCTGTCTTTATTGGCTTAAGAGTCTTCAGTGATGTGGAGTGCCTTTTGCCAGCTTCATCTGATTTGCCAGCTACAGCGATTCTTGGACAGCGACAGCCTGGCCGCAGTAATTCATGCTCTAATAACTCCTCATATAGATTACTACAATGTGCTCTACATAGGCCTGTCTTTCAGAAAGACTCTGAAACAGCAGCTCATGCAGAATGCCGCAGCAAGGTTACTGAGTTGATCAGCCCCCCAGAGCCACATATCACCAGTTCTGAAGGAGTGGCTGCCATCATGTACTCCTGACCACTTATAAGACCCTGAATGATTTGGGACCTAAATACTTGAAAGAGCCTCTTCCTATATCATCCTGCAGTGATGCAAGATAAGGCCTTCTTGGTGGTGACACCCCAGCTGTGAAATGTCCTCGCTGCTGGTACCTACTCTCTTTACATCCTAGTTCCAGCTGAAAACATGTCTGTTTACTCAAGCCATTGGAAATAATTAATGTTCAACTTTGGATTTTGAGGCATGTCTCTGCAATTTTATGACCAACTGAAATTTTATCTGTTCTCATGTTTAGTTACTGGATTGTGGCTTTAAAAAAAGTAAATTTTATTGTTCCCCACTCTAAAATATTAGGATGGAGGGTGGGCTATAAATAGATGAACAGTGATCACTGCAGACACCATCCCTTCTTTATGGGATCTATTGTGAAGAGTGAAAACATGATCATTTTTCTATCCCCCACCCCCCGTTGGTTTGTTTTATTTGTTATAGTCTCAATAGCTTAAAGTGATAACTATTTTAAAATAAACTGACCAAGTTCTGCTCCTCATTTGGTATCTATTTGGTTGCTGCCATTAATTCAGATTCTGTAATCAAATGCTTATTGCAAAAACAAAACCAGTATTTTAAAAGTACTATTTCACAATTTTAAGGCCAGCACCACCATGTCTGAAAGCTGGAATAGTGGCAAGTCTGAAGCACAGAAAACCGTTAAATGGATTGATAGCCTCCTCAACATTTAAGATTAAACTCTAAACTACTCCCATCAGCACATGGAGTATTCTGTTAATGATCCTGAGTTAGTCCCTATGCACAGAAAATAGAATTCATTTTCCATCACAATTCTCTATGCTTACTTCCTCTATTCAAAACATTCAGTATTGCTGCTTTTCCAGCTGCTTAAGGAGAATATTTTTTTCCTTACCAAAATAATTATTGCTGTAATAATCTGTAATTATGTTTTATAACAGCAATAATCCCAAAGAAATCAGTCATTACCATGGATCACAAGTAATCGTTAACTACTGTTAATGACCCATTTCTTGGGGATTATTGTTTTAGTAAACCACGACTGCATCACAATCGATACAGAGACCAAGACAATATAATAAAATGAGGTCTTAATATTATATTAACTTATTTTGTAACATTAAAAACCATTAAACATCTAAATTAAAGTGTGCATAACTAGAGGAGGTAACATTTATTGTTCTGTGCTAACAGAAAATGTTTAGTCCACAGAAAAGATATTGAATATTATATAAAGAGAAATACAAATTTAAAATAATGCCAACGTTTTCTTTGGTGGTGGGTGGATTCAAACGCTTTGACCTACAGAGGTTTTCTGAGAATAGCATCTAACCACTTTCATCATATGTACTGACACACAACTTGGGGTACAAAAATATTAATGGAGTCATTAATTTTCTTACAGCACTGAGTATCATCTTCAAAAGATGCATCTTCCGTTTTAATCCTTAACAACCCCATATTGCTTCATGAGTATTAAAACCTATTTGCAGAAATTATGTCGAGTCCTTACAACAACCCTGTAAAATATGACCTATTTAACAGGGTTGTTGTAATTGTTATTCTCAGTAAAGAGTTGTTATTCTGATATTTCATATGGAGCGGGGAGGTACCAAGGCTGAGATAGTTGGGAATGTAAGGGCCACTTAGTGATTATAATTATGTATGCTTAAACACGGGATGTGGGTGGCGCTGTGGTCTAAACCACAGAGCCTAGGGCTTGCCGATCAGAAGGTCGGCAGTTCAAATCCCCGTGACGAGGTAAGCTCCCGTTGCTCGGCCCCTGCTCCTGCCAACCTAGCAGTTCGAAAGCATGTCACAGTGCAAGCAGATAAATAGGTACCCCTCCAGCGGGAAGGTAAACGGCATTTACAGGCGCTGCTCTGGTTCACCAGAAGCGGCTTAGTCATGCTGGCCTCTGACCCGGAAGCTGTCTGCCGGCTCCCTCGGCCAATAAAGTGAGATGAGTGCCGTAACCCCAGAGTCGTCCACAACTGGAGCTAATGGTCAGGGGTTCCTTACCTATGCTTAAACACAACTGCATAGCGACCAGCTGGAAAGCCAACAATAATAATTTCTAGCCCAGAGACCAAAAGATCTAGCTTCTGAAAACGGTAATTTTCATCCCACCAAACTAAACTTTAATTCTTTGAGTGTCTCAGCAAGCATGCTGATAGCAGCGATCCAGCAGGGTATATACACCTCAAATTTCAAAAATAGTTTTGACAAATTCCCTCACCTAAGACAAGGGAAAAGCAGCGGCAGCAGCAAACATCAAACCCCACTGATCAGGTTCTTCCCTGCCCGCATTCATCTATCACTTGGCAGAAGCCATTTCATCAGGCTCAGCAGAAAAATCGGTAGGAGCACCCAGTCAGCTCTCTTGAAAGGCCAGGTCCAGCTGGCTCCTCTCTTTCTCTGGACTGTTTCCATTCCAGCCATTCATTGCAAGAGCTACAATGCAACTGAACTGGTGTTCAAGTTTTTCCTCTTCCTACACTTTTTAAAAAAACCACTCTTTTGCGTCATGCCTTTTATATTTGTTTGTATTTAACTTTTTTAAACTGCTCAAGAAGTCTTTTTGGCTGAACAGCAGGGTAAAATCTGCTACTCAGGAGCCCTCTGAAAGTTGTGGGACTTCCCCATCATTCCCGATGACTGGCCATGCTGACTGGGGCTACCAAGAGTCCAACAAGGCAGGTTAGCCAGCTCTGCTTTGTGTTTTCTGATAGTATTTTTCCTGTCTGTGCCAGCAAAGTTGTTCAGGAGGTGAAAGCAAATGTACCAGACAGGCAAACTTTCAGACAACGTAAATACTAACCTTCCTGAATTGAGATCGCCAAGGGATTTCTACTAGAAGACTGCAACAGCTTCTGATAGCTTTGTGCATTTTGGTCAAATAGCTGTACAAGAAGAGCGCAAGTCTTTTCATATTCACATCTGCTAACTGTACACAGTTGCTCCAGCTGCTGAAAAACTGTGGCTGTATCATCCAAGGGATCATCCAAGCCATCTCTAGAATACATACAAATAGGAAAGTCATTCTGGGCAATGTAAAATGCATTGTGTAGGAATGTAAGCATTTTGGCTTACATATAAGGTCCTATACCCTGAATACAACAGGTCTTACTTCAGCATAGACATGTATGGATGGCTCTGAATGGCTCTGTATTACTCTGTATTAGCTACAAGCTGGAAAAAGCTTCTCAGGAGAGCTCCTTCAAAACATATGTGCCAAAGCCAAAAAATGAAAGATTATAGAGCTACAATGATCTATTATCTTAGGCATGCAACATAGGAAATAGCCCAATCTTTGACTGGACCCAGTTGAATTCAGGAGCAGCTTTCTCCTCACAATTTTGTATAATCAATCAATACTGTTATCGTAACACAAGAAGAATATACATGACAAAGACAGTACGCTATCAAATTGGAAACAGTACAGCAGTACTCGTGGAGAAGACTACTTCATGTTGTTACCTTATAACCATGGGGACAGACTCCAATCTAGAAGTAATATATGCCTTTGTGATCTCAGGTGCATATGTATCCAAGAGATGGGGTTCTGATGACTTCACAAAAGGCACCGAGGCAACCATTCTCTGCCAAAGGGTTAGCAAATAATGAACGCTGTTTGGTGCGAATTCCCAATGCTACGAAGAAACAAAATGAGATTTTCATTAAAGTAGGTTTTAGCCGAATGTGAGCAATTACAAACATTGTAATCTATACTATCACCGTTATTTACTATTTCTGTTCATGCCTCAATTAGAACCAAAGCCCCAAGATGTTATGTAAAACTGCAAAAACATATGCTCCCCAACGTTGATGATCTCAGAGTAAGGCTACTGGAACATGTAAAAGCATCAGTTTTAATGAGTTGATCATCATGCAAGGTATGCACTTTAAAAAATCCTCCTTCTTATTAAGTAGATCACAGAACAGTTCTACCATTGTCTTACCTGTAAACTAGTAATAGTGAAACTGGCTATCAGTCTAATAACTTCTGGGTAATCTTTCACAACTACTAATTCTCCCAGTTGATAATTAGTCTTCAGTCGAGCCAAAAATCGACAGAATTCATGATAGTTACCAGGATCCGATAAACCCTAAATTGCACACCAACACAGAAGATTGTAATTAGTAAAGCAATCGTCTAATGGCAGAAATGCATGCTTTGAAAACATATTATTATATATATTATATATTATTTTGGACAAGGTGGGCCATTCCAGAATGATCTGCATGTCCTGAAGAGGATCCTGAAAGATTATGAAGGGCACTGAAAGCTGTGTTACAAGTGGCATATTCAGAAAAATGAACATCATTATTATTATAAGAAGAAAAATCAGTAGAGCTGAGGCCCATGCGTTAGGTGACCAGATACGGAGTTACAACAGTGGAGCAGCTGGCTGTCTCTTTGGAATCATTAATATAAAGTTTGTGTGCATGCAAGTGCCAACTGATGTTAAAGCGAAACAAGAATAGATTCTGCCATTCATGTTTCAACTGCTTGGTGTTGTTGTTTAGTCGTTTAGTCGTGTCCAGCTCTTCATGGCCCCATGGACCAGAGCACGCCAGGCACTCCTGTCTTCCACTGCCTCCCACAGTTTGGTCAAACTCATGCTGGTAGCTTAGAGAACACTGTCCAACCATCTTGTCCTCGGTCGTCCCCTTGTCCTTGTGCCCTCAGTCTTTCCCAACATCAGGATCTTTTCCAGGGAGTCTTCTCTTCTCATGAGGTGGCCAAAGTATTAGAGCCTCAGCTTCAGGATCTGTCCTTCCAGTGAGCACTCAGGGCTGATTTCCTTAAAAATGGATAAGTTTGATCTTCTTGAGGTCCATGGGACTCTCAAGAGTCTCCTCCAGCTACTATCGCACAAAATGCTTCAAGTTTAATGTCCTTGGGGGAAAAAGCAATTTTTAAAATATAGTGATGTAAGCAACTTGGCTGTCTCTTATTAATTGTTGCTGAGCACCAGTTGGTTGAGCAGAATGGGGACTTTCTCTCATGTCCTCAGCCAGCTCTATTAGTACCCTGATTCAGGCACACTAGGAGTACAGCGAGATCGCACAACCTGTGGCAGAAGAAAGCCAAGCTTGTTGCGACTCCTTTCTGATTCTTCAGTTATTTATAGGGATTTCTATACTGCTTAACATATAAAATACCAGAGCAATAATACAACTCTCATCATGTGGAGGTCAGACATGGTATTTGCAGATTCACACTTTTTTGCTTGACTGAGATGTGGCTAAAGAGAGCACCCTTGCCTGTTGCTCCTATGCTTTCATTTACCCTACTAGGTTATCATCATCTGAAGCTGCTCTTTGTGTGCTCCCCTTCATGAGAGATCCAGACGGTGGCAACATGAGAATGGGCCTTTTCTACAGTGGTTCTCCACTTGTGGAAAGCTCTCCCCAGGGAGCCTCACCCGACACCTTCATTACAGTATCAGTCTCAAACTTTATTCCGGTCACAGACCAGCATAAGATAAAACATATAGATAAACTGAACTTAAAGACTTAAAACAGGTACAGAATAAAAACTAGTAATTAAAAGGTGATTATACCATACATACTTAGAAAGATAGAAACAGGGACCGTTAAAAGTGACTATAAGGGAAGGGGGTATTGTTTCTGTTTGCGTATTTGTATTTTTATATTGTAAGCCTCCCTGTAGTACTCAGATGAAGGGCAGTATAAGAATTTAATAAATTAAATAAATGAACATTCTACATAGTTATAAGCAGCTATGTTTTTCAAATAAACAACAGTGTATTTTCAAACACAGTTGCTGAAACTAAACAAAATAGCAACATAACACTGCTGGGAAATATTTTTAAAGCTGCCTTTTTCTTCTAGAAAAGACAGCTCAGGTACAAAACTTAAGTCTGGTGAAATAATGAACCATGCAGACTTGGAGCCGATGGGCCACCGTACTCATCCCAACCCTCATGTCTTCCCCAAAAGCTAGCGACACCACAGGAGCTATTTGCTGAGTAATTGGCATGTTTCCCTCACCAATGGTTTGTATGAAGTTGCCATACAGGAAACTCTATAACATTTGTCACTGTTCATCAAGCACAGAACCATTTCCTATTGCTCCTTTTTAACCCAGAAGGTAGAGGATATTTGTATGGCAGCTTATGTGCCACACGTGATGCCCCCTATTTCCCCCTTCCTTCTCCAGTTTATTAGCCCAAACAAACAGGAAGATAACCGCTTCATCCACAATTTAAATTAGCAGCAAGACATATTTTTAAAAGTGGACATCATATACTCAGAACTGAGGAAAAAACTGACAAATGTATACCTGAGGATTTTCAAGTATTCTTTTTACTCCTTTGATCAGGTTACCAAGGTATTTGGCACGTTCTGGGTTGCTAAATAAGGATCTCCTTGTAGAAGCAAACTGAACTAAACAAGAAAGTGCCTAGAAAGAAAACAAGGATTTAATGATTTTATTCATTAACAAGATACAACCATTCCTTTTTGGACTAACAGATACCAGAAGCATCAAACACATTACTGCTTATAGCAGTCAAGTTTCTTCTAGCTTAGAAAAGTCTACACATTCATGTTGGGCCAACAGCTACAGTAGTCAAACACAGTCTATATTTAAAACACAGAAAGCTGACATCAGTGTTCATGCGCCATTAAAAACAATGCTAAATAAACTGATTCGAATACACGTATCTGTATGTACACCATCTCTACAACGGACACAATTCAGGTAGTTACTGGCTTCTGGTATGATCATATCCTAACAGAACACTAGCCAGGCAACATGGTGTTGATACTGTGCTGTGATCGCACAGCTAACCAGAAGAGCCCAATCACTTATGCTGCATTGTGACAATGTAAGAACGTCATAGCAACTCTGGCAATACAAGGCCAAAACTCAATGAAAAAAGGGGCGTGGTGGGGGAAGCATGGAAGAGTGGCCCATTTCGTTAGAATTCTACCCACCATTCCACAATTTGGGGATTATCTCTGGAGCAACTCCTGTATGACAGAAGTTAATATTTGAGGCTATTTATAGAGAGACAACTAAAATTATGCATTATTTGGAGGGAGAGATTTTTCTTCCTCTCTCACAAACTACTAGAATCCGAGGTCACTGAAAGAAGCTGACGGAAACTTCAGGGCAGACACAGGGCACAGTCAACCTATTCACTTCCACAGGATGCAACAACAGCCACGACATCAGCTTTAAAAGGAGGTTGGACGAAATTGTGGCTAATAGTCATTATGGCTATTTAATAACTCCAGCATAATAATAATAATAATTTATTATTTATACCCCGCCCATCTGGCTGAGTCTCCCCAGCCACTCTGGGCGGCTCCCAATCAAGTGTTAAAAACAGTACAGCGTCACATATTAAAAACTTCCCTGAAGAGGGCTGCCTTAAGATGTCTTCTGAATGTCAGGTAGTTGTTTATCTCTTTGACATCTGATGGGAGGGCGTTCCACAGGGCGGGCGCCACTACCAAGAAGGCCCTCTGTCTGGTTCCCTGTAGCCTCACTTCTCGCAATGAGGGGACCGCCAGAAGGCCCTCGGCGCTGGATCTCAGTGTCCGGGCTGAACGATGGGGGTGGAGACGCTCCTTCAGGTATACAGGACCGAGGCCGTTTAGGACTTTAAAGGTCAGCACCAACACTTTGAATCGTGCTTGGAAACATACTGGGAGCCAATGCAGATCTCTCAGAACCGGTGTTATGTGGTCCCGGCGGCCACTCCCAGTCACCAGTCTAGCTGCCGCATTCTGGATTAATTGCAGTTTCCAGGTCACCTTCAAAGGTAGCCCCACGTAGAGCGTGTTGCAGTAGTCCAAGCTACTTGGACAATAGGGCTCTAAATAATAGTTTCTGCAAAGCACATGCAGAAGAGTGAGCCGCCCCGAGATCTTCGGATGAGGGACAGTACACAAATTTAATAAATAAACGAAGAGTGCTACTGCAACATCTAAAGACAGAGAGGCCAGTGGAATTGCACCGGGAAATGCAGGGACAAAATAAACCCACACATTTAAGCAAGGCATGTGCTTTCCGCACATTTTTACTGTCTGTGGGCAAATACATAACTGATGGTGGGCTGAGCATTTGCTGTGGACTGTGGGAGAGGCTGCAGTTGTAGCTACATTTATAAATATACTGTTGATTTGCTGCTGACTGATTAGCAGAAAAGTCCTGTTGCTTCCAATTGCAATTGCTCCCCCTCTTCTGAACTGTACCACAGAAACCCTGTTGGAGCATATAAACAGGAGTGAAATCTAAGGCGATCCAGGGGGCAATTCTGGTATGACATATTCATTAAACATGTACTAATGTCTGAACAGCTTCTCAGAAATCACTTTCTTCTACTATTGGAAAAACATACTTACTAACTGAGACAGCATCGATGGGAGGGAATGATACAGATCAAAAAAGAGATCCAAGGTTTCTGGCTCCAGGAAGACTGAGAAGGGAAAGGTAAAATTATGAAATGGACAAATCCCTGCGTTACGAAGAAAATAACTTTCACAAATTCCACTCCTCTTTTTAAAAATGGTAAGAAATATAACCGTTTAGCATTTGGTCTACACTGGCAAAAGGAAAAAGGAAAAAGCAGGCCATATAAATCATAGCCCAAACTGTTGGGACTCCTGCAGAAAATGAAATCTGCTAAGGTAAGCCCACAATTTATGTGCGTTTAACTTGTGCACATTCAGCTTTATGTCACAAAATAAAAATAAAAAGGAGGGCAGAAAGGAAGCAGGATTACAGGAAAAATGATGTTGACAACCCCACCCACTATTGAACCCAATGGGTTCTGACTACACGTGGTTTTGGGTTTTGGCGTGGTACCTGGAATGTAACCCCCGTGTAAGTTGTGGGCTTACTGTAACTGCACAACCCAGTTTTTCCCCCTCTAAATGCTCTCTACTTCAAGAGTACAATCCAAATTATACTAGTGCTATGTCAACTATTCACCAGTACACATTTTTACATAAAATGGGTGTCTGGGGTAGGGTGGTGATGTTTTCCAAGCTCCCTCCCAATATTTTATACTTGTTCACCGATAATGTTAACGACTGTCAAGTGATGCTCCAATCCATGTTCTGTCCCCTTTAACTGCCTCACCTTGCTGCTGAACTGAGATCCCAGCCAACTGGGGACAATGTGTGGCCATGTTTACATCACAATGCCATGGAGCCAATCAAGATACAGCTGCATGAGAATGTCACAAAGCCAATTAAAGCTGGGGCAAGAAACATTATGCTGAACTCTGAAGGGATTCCAAGTAGGAAACTGTGCTGCAACACCTTTTCACATGTTTGCATACTCTCCTTTGTGTCCCCCCCCCCAAAAAACCCCCCATAAAACCACCACAGAGGAAAGGGGAATAAAAAGGATGTGGACCTGCCACTGCTTAGGATCAGCACTAAATTCTACTCTTGCTATTTCAGTATTCCTTCTTTTGACTCAGCCTCTCCTTGTGACTGTCAAGCACAGGAGAAGCAGGACAATACGGCTTGGCTCCTGAACGCTGCAAACCCGGAAGTAAGTGTTCCAGTTTGCAAATGTTTTTCGCAAGCCAAACATCTGACACGGCTTCAGCTTGAGTGCAGGAAGCTCCTGCAGCCAATCAGAAGCCGCGCCTTGGTTTTCAAAAGGTTTCGGGAGTCGAATGGACTCCCGAAACAGATTAAGTTCGAGAACCAAGGTACCACTGTAAACCAAACCATAGTCCTGTTCCCCGTTTCACTGGTTGTCAGAGTTATGTTTAGGACAGAGCGAATATAAAGTTGTTGTTCACAGCCTATGTCAGGTTTTAGCATACCCCTGAAACCCAACAGTTTTTGTTTCATGACCCGAATAGCTTTCTATTAACACAATGAAACAGTACCGTTTGCCATTTTAACATTATGTATGCTTACTGGTTTTTTAAAAATGTTCCACAAAATACACAAATGTTACAGGTATAAAGAACTTTGCTTTGAGAAGTTCCTTTTAAACTAAAAGCGCTTTTCAAACAGTAGGGAAGGGAAAACATTCAAGGAACAAACTTTTGCAATATATACACAAAATGAGAAGAGGCATCTCAGTCTTTACTACTGCCCCTCCAAAGTGAAAGGCTGACATTTTTAAAAAGCTGTTCAGCATAAAGCACAGCAGCTGGAAGGTAGGGAGACCCACAGAATATAGTTTGCACATGCTTCTTAAGTACATTATCTAACCGAAGCTTTCTAATGGACCAATGAAGCAACCACTGCAGCAACAATGTACGCTATTTAAAAGCTTCCAGAGTAGGCAAAATGGATGTGCTAGAGAGAAAAGAAAGATTGCACTCTGCAGACTGTTGTTGCTGTATACACGTTGCCCATTTTAACTTTCATTAACTTCTCTTCCGCTAGAGAATTATTCACTTAAAGCAGTTTCCACCACTAAGGATGGGTTCAATGAAACATTCTATTTAGATAGGGAAGGACTGGGAACAATATCACTGTTAGTTGGGCATGGATTCACCTGCACTTTTTCAAGAGAATATTTGCAAAATAGCAATTACAGAAGAACAGCTAGATGGACAATGGGAGGGAAGGGTATTAAGGGGAATATTCAGGAGAGAAAGAATAAGAAAAGGTGAAGGAAAAAGGAATGAGGGGATTTTTGTGACTGTTGCCCCTTGGCACTTCCTCAAAATTCCAAATGTGCCCACTGACCAAAATGGTTGGGGATCCCTGTTTTTAGGGTATATTATAGTCCTAGTATCATGGAACTCCATAGTACATCATTGTGCCCCTGTATTATTAATATTAACACTTCAGAGGCTAGCAGGGGAAAAGAAACAAAATTAGTACAACATTATTTCATTGGATACCAACCACCCTGAAGCATCATGTATGACAAATATAAACCATGGTCCCTTACATTACATAATGACTGCATGGCTCACACTTCACATGCAAAGAGTTTAATTCTACCCAGGACTACTGTCCAAGTTCAGGGAATTAAGGTGTGGGACGGCAAATGGTTGTGAGCTGCGAAACATGGGAAGTTTTGTCGTGACAGTTCCTCTCCCAACCCACAGAATTATTTTTTTGCAACTAATATCATGATCAAAAATACCTCCATAAGATGCAATGCCTTTAGATGCAAAACAGATATTCAACTTCAAATGTGTATAGTACAATGTTAGGTTATCACTACTAATTAATTCTCTTACTTGATCTCCAGTTTGTTGGGATCTGCACAGTGCACAGATCATCTGCAGATTCATCTGCTGAACTGCCAATGAAGTCATAGTTAAGACAATTGAGGACAAGCTTCAAAAGGTGCATTGCTAGATTTTGTTGTTGCTGATCCTGAAGATTTAAGGGTTTTGCCAACATCTAAATCCAGACCAAAAAAAGGGGAAAAAAGTGTGTGTCAGTAACTGGCCACATTCACATATCATAGTCGACCTCGCAGATAGCTGCTTCTTCCTTCCTCACCTATTGAGAGCAACAAATCATGATCCCACTCCTAGCAATATGTCCAAACAAGGGGCTGTGGGGGGGGGTTGGGGGCTCATACAAATCATCAGGTCACACCATAAAGATAAGAAGAGCCTTGCTGGATCAGATCAAAGGTCCATCCTGTCCAGCATCCAAAAGCCTACAGAAAGCCCACAAGTGGGATATGAATGTAGCAACGATCTCCCCATCTGTGAACCGCCCTGGGATCTATGAATGAAGGGCAGTATGCAAATTTAAAAAATAAAAACAAATTAATAAATTTGTGCTCCCTAGCAACTGCTATTCAGAGGCACAGAACATAGCAATCATGGCTAGTTACCATTTATATCCTTATCCTCCATCAATTTGTCTAATCTGCTTTAAAAATAACTAAAGTTGGTGGTCATCTTATGGAAAGGAATGCTGCAAAGCAAAAAATGAACTATGATCGCCAGCATAATTTATCATTGCAAGCCAAGGATCCTGGTTTGCTGCTCTCACTGTGGGAAATGCTACATGGGAGCTATCTGAACATTCATGGTAAAATATGAACTATGGGCTGGATTTAACTAAATAGACACACTCGTGGAAGCCAGTGGACTGAGTACTGCTATTGCAATGGGACTTCCCCTCCTGCCTCCCCCAATGGGCTCTGGGGGATCTGGAGAATTCCCAGAACAGTGTGTGGGGTGAAGAGAGGGGAGATCATTCTGTGTGGCAAGCTGAAATTTTTGCACTGGTGGAACAACTGTAGTAGCATAGCGCTGAATTGTACCCTGTGGTTTGCCTTGACAGCCAATGGCAACCAATCCAACGATAACCATTCTGAGACCCCCTAGTATAGTGCAGTATATAAATTCAATTAATAATAATAAGAAGAAGAAGAAGAATCAAAAATCGCTTCTCTTGGTTTATTCAAAAAATAAAGTAGCAATATAAACCACCATCATGCTTCAGAAATTTAAGTGGAGACAACATAGAGATGGACCTGATGGGGGCAAGCAGGGAGAGAAATAAATGATCCGCTGTCCCTCTGTTCTGCACCCATCCATCACCAAGGCTTCTCATGGATCTGCACTGGAATAAGCCTATTCATGTGTTTAAAGTACACCACGTTCAGTGGCTAGTTTAACTTTTCACGACAAATGTTTGCTCAATTACACTGCAGCAAAGAGTATTATTTGTTAAAAACCCAGCATATGTGAGCTTTACTGGCAAGAGTTCTGTTTCATGCTGAATTCATAAGCCATTTAGACTTATCATAGACAGGTACAGATGTATATTCTGCATCTGATTCCAATCATGAATTCATCTCTATTCTACTATGTTCTATTCTGTTTCTTGTTCAACAGAACAGCATGGTGGCATACTAATTTTGCTCAAAAACAAATGCAATTATTAGCCACTCGGGTAAAGCTGGGATGGCTCAGTCGGTCGAGCATGAGACTCTTAATCTCAGGGTAGTGAGTTTGAGCCCCATGGTGGGCAAAAGATTTATCTTTATAATACAGCTTGTGTTTAGGCCTACCTCTTTCAACAGCGAGCATGCCAGCATCAAAATGTCTTTTAAAGTAGTATCACGAAATGAGGTAGCTATTTTACGATGCTTTGATGAAGGTCTAGAATAATCAACCTTAAAATAAAAATTAAAAAACACTTCAGAATCAGTGTGTCTTCATTTTGACTTGGTAAAACATATTACTTGTATGTGAGCTACAAGAAAATTATTACGCAACAGGTCTACATCCTATTATTTAATTCATATGATCCTCCTTACCCACATGTTCTTAGTTTTGTTTCCCTCTATTTGTGTTAAGCCTAATTTGAAACAGATACATAAATATGACTTCTGTCTGGAACTCAGTATCCATGCAAAATACAAGTGGGTCTGAAATTACTGCGGGGCGCGTGCTCTAAAATGAACAGGAACAGAGTTCAAGTGGAGAAAGTCATTCAGAAAAATGGTCCTCCAGACATACAGAATCTGTACCATAACTATACATATCTAATACCAGGACACTTAGTTTAGCATATTCAGTCATTATGGTTGACAGTTCCTTCATAAGTGAAGCCAAGCTACTTTGCAAAGCCAGCAGTGACACCTCAGTGCAAATCTATATGTTAGGGTCAAGTCCCACTGATTCAATTGAACTTGCAAAAGATCATATTGATATGAAACCAGAATAGATGGAACAAAGTATAAAGGACAATCATTCCACATAGGATAAGGATTAAGCAGAACTCCTAAAAATTCTTAGGATGCATTCACAAGACTTAAATCACTTACTAAATTCTTGAATCTCTATAATCACATCACACCAATCCATATTGTGCAAGTTGAAATGCTAAAAAAATTCACATCGCTAAGCATAACTCCCTCACCATTTTAGTGGAGAGATCATCACACACACGAGAAACATCTATCTACTAGGTTTCTCTATAGCAAAAATTACAATCAGCAACAGATGATACATATCTGTTAATAATGTACATCTACCAGATCAATTTGTGTAGCACAACTATTTCTGATGACTATCATCAAACCTAAAATTGGCCACGCTAAACACCACATGCAAGGTTCAAGGGTTAAAATATCCACGGGAGAAGAAAATGCCACTTTAAAGTGTCACCTTGGCTTATACTTCGAAGCAAAGACAAGCTAATGCAAATAAAGAGAAGCAAGAACCCTGCTCTCCTTCCCTTCAATCTTCTCTTTGGTTTCCTCCAAAATGATAAAGACTAATAGTCTTTGCAGCCCTTAGTGGGATGTGGATAGCATTATTAAAAGCTGCAGGACAAGTGAGAGAACATTTCTGCATCTTTCCTCTCTTAACCTATTTCCTATATGCAGGGTGCATTTGCCTGCACTTCTATGTTGCATGGTTGAGGAAAAGTGTGATTACTTGATGGGGCTGGGGGTGGCATTTGGTTTCTTTGTCCTTTTTCAGAGTACAGTGGTGCCCCACAAGACGAACGCCTCGCAAAACGAAAAACTCGCAAGACGAAAGGTTTTTTCGTTTTCGAGTTGCTTCGCAAGACGAATGTCCCTATGGGCTTGCTTCGCAAGACGAAACGTCTTGCAAGTTTGTTTCCTTTTCGTAAAACCGTTAAAACCCAGGGTGCATTGCTTGAAGAGGTGCAGTTGCGACTTGACCTCGAGGAGCAACACATTGCACTGCGGTGTGGTGGCCTTTCTGAGCTTTTTAAAGAGTTTGCTGGATTTTGAAGCTTTTCCAAAACTTCTTCTACAGCTGTTTGGTAAGTTGAACTTTTAAAACTTTTTTTGGGTTTTTGGGATTTTGGGTTGGGGTGTTTAGAATTCAAGGACTTGGTGCTGGGGAGGTGTTTGCAAGAATCTGGGAGCTTGTGTGCTTTTTTTTGAATTTTTATGATTTTTTGTGACCATTGGGCCATGTTGTTTTTTTTTGAAAAAAATCTGGCTTTAATTTTTGAATTTCTGTGTGCTGGGTGGATGGGGGAACAGCTGGGGAGGTGTTTGCAAGAATCTGGGAGCTTGTGTGCTTTTTTTGAATTTTTATGATTTTTGTGCCCATTGGGCCATGTTGGTTTTTTTTGAAAAAAGTTTCTGGGTTTTAATTTCTGAGTGGTGGGTGGTTGGGGGAACAGCTGGGGAGGTGTTTGCAAGAATCTGGGAGCTTGTGTGCTTTTTTGAATTTTTATGATTTTTGTGACCATTGGGCCATGTTGTTTTTTTTGAAAAAAGTTTCTGGGTTTTAAATTTCTGTGTGCTGGGTGGATGGGGAACAGCTGGGGAGGTGTTTGCAAGAATCTGGGAGCTTGTGTGCTTTTTTGTGAATGTTTATGATTTTTTGTGACCATTGGGCCATGTTGTTGTTTTTTTGAAAAAAGTTTCTGGGTTTTAAATTTCTGTGTGCTGGGTGGATGGGGGACAGCTGGGGAGGTGTTTGCAAGAATCTGGGAGCTTGTGTGCTTTTCTTTGAATTTTGATGATTTATTGTGACCATTGGGCCATGTTTTTTTTTGAAAAAAGTTTCTGGGTTTTAAATTTCTGTGTGCTGGGTGGATGGGGGAACAGCTGGGGAGGGGTTTGCAAGAATCTGGGAGCTTGTTTGATAATTTTTGTATTTTTAGGAATGTCTGTCACCATGGGGCGATGTAGTTTTTTTGTAGAAAAAAGTGTCTGGGTTATCAATTTCTGTGTGCTGGGTGGATGGGGAACAGCTGGGGAGGGTTTGCAAGAATCTGGGAGCTTGTGTGCTTTTTTGAATTTTTATGGTTTTCTGTAACCATTGGGCCATGTTGTTTTTTTGAAAAAAGTTTCTGGGTTTTGAATTTCTGTGTGCTGGGTGGCTGGGGAACAGCTGAGGAGGGGTTTGCAAGAATCTGGGAGCTTGTGTGCTTTTTTGTATTTTTATGGTTTTCTGTAACCATTGGGCCATGTTGTTTTTTTTGAAAAAGTTTCTGGGTTTTGAATTTCTGTGTGCTGGGTGGCTGGGGGAACAGTTGAGGAGGGGTGTGCAGGAATCTGGGAGCTTGTGTTTTTTGAATTTTTATGGTTTTCTGTAACCATTGGGCCATGTTGTTTTTTTGAAAAATTTTCTGGGTTTTGAATTTCTGTGTGCTGGGTGGCTGGGGAACAGTTGAGGAGGGGTTTGCAACAGTGGGGGAGGGCTAGCAACAGTTGGGGAGGGGCTGGGGGAACAGTTGAGGTTTTTGAAGACTTTGGTGATTTTTAAAGCTTTCCCAAAAATTTTTTTGCAGCCATTTGAGGATTTTGAAGACTTTGGTGATTTGCAGCCATTTCGTAAGTTAAACTTTTAAAACTTTTTTTGGGGTTTTGGATTTTGGGTTGGGTGTTTGGAATTCAAGGACTTGGTTGTGGGTTTGAATTGCTGATTTTTTTCTTTTTCTGAGTTTTACAAAGGTAACAGCTGTGCTGCCATGGGACCAAGAAGACTGCTGCTGCTGCGGAGGCCGGCGAGAGGAAGAAGGAGAAGGTGACGCTGGAGATGAAGAAGGAGATCATCCGGAAGCACGACGGTGGAATGCGTGTGACGGACCTCGCCAGGGAGTACGGCAGGAACCCATCGACCATCGGGACCATCCTGAAGATGAGGAGAAGATCCTTGCGACTGATGCAGCCAAGGGAGTCACCAGGATCGTGAAGAACCGCCCAGCTGTTCTGGAGGAGGTCGAGAAGTTGCTCCTCATCTGGATAGAAGAGAAGCAGCGTGCAGGGGACACAGTGACTGAGGCCGTGATTTGTGAGAAGGCCAAGGCCTTGCACGCAGACCTCATCCGGGAACAGCCAGGAACCTCGGCCGAGCCAGAAGTCTTCAAGGCAAGCAGAGGCTGGTTTGACCGGTTCAAGGCAAGATCCGGAATCCACAGCGTGGTCAGGCATGGAGAGGCTGCCAGTTCCGATGTTCCTGCGGCTGAAGACTTTGCCTTGGAGTTCCTGGAGGTTGTGAAGACGGAGGGCTACGTTCCACAGCAGGTCTTCAACTGCGACGAGACCGGGCTGTTTTGGAAGAGGATGCCCAAAGGACTTTCATCACTCAGGAGGAGGCCAAGTTGCCTGGCCACAAGCCCATGAAGGACCGTCTGACCCTGCTCTTCTGTGCCAACGCAAGCGGCGACCTGAAGATCAAGCCCCTGCTGGTGTACCACTCGGAGAACCCACGGGCCTTCAAGAAACACAAGGTCGACAAGGAGCGGCTGAGTGTCATGTGGCGATCCAACAGCAAGGCTTGGGTCACACGTGTGCTGTTTGTGGACTGGGTCAATCTTGCCTTTGGCCCTGCTGTCAAACAGTACCTGCTGGACAATGACCTGCCGCTGAAGGCTTTGCTTCTGATGGACAATGCTCCTGCTCATCCTAAAGGCCTTGAGGTGGACTTGTTGGAGGAGTTCAGCTTCATCAACATCATGTTCCTGCCGCCTAACACCACGCCACTGCTCCAGCCGATGGATCAGCAGGTCATCGCCAATTTCAAGAAACTCTACACCAAGGAGCTTTTCAGGCGATGCTTCGAGGTGACTGATTGCACCACCATCACCCTGCGGGAATTCTGGAAGGACCACTTCGACATCGTCACCTGCTTGAAGATGATCACCACGGCCTGGAAGGGGATCAGCCAGAGGAATTTGAATTGCGCTTGGCGCAGCCTGTGGCCGGACTGTGTGGCACCAAGTGACTCTGATGCACCAGAGTCGACAGTGGTGCAGGACATTGTTGCCTTGGGGAGGACCTTGGGCCTGGAGGTCACAGAGGAGGACGTTTGCGAGCTGGTGGAGGAGCACGACGACGAGCTGACCACCCAGGAGCTGGTTGCACTGCAGTCAGAGGTTGCGCAGGAGCAGGCCTCGCTGGAAGAGGAGGAAGCAACTGAGGAACGGCTGTCCTCCAAAGAACTGAGGGACATTTGCCAGAAGTGGAATGAGGTGCAGGCTTTGCAGAGCGGCACCACCCTGACAAGCACGTGGCACATGTCCAAGCGAACATTTTTGATACGACGGTGATGTCGCCTCTCAGGGAGCTGCTGAAGCGGCGGATGAAGCAGCAGACCATGGAATGGTTCCTCAGCGAGTAGCATTGTGTGGAAGAGGAACCTTCTTCGAGTGGTCCCCCAGAGTCTTAGAAAATGTAATGTACCCTTTTTGATTTTTAAATGTTTTTCCTGTCATGTTTAGAAACTTAATTTATTGTTCCTTCAATTTTTGATATGCTCTTTAAAGTATGTGTGACTTTAAAGAGCAGTTAATAAACTCTTGTTGTACCGAATTTGGCTTTGATTGGACTTTTTTTGACCATAGGAACGCATTAATTGATTTTCAATGCATTCCTATGGGAATTCGTGCTTCGCAAGACGAAAAATTCGCTAGACGAAAAAACTCGCGGAACAAATTAATTTCGTCTTGCGAGGCACCACTGTATTATAACTGATTCTAGCAACTGTTGGATGGGCCACATTCCCTGCAACCCATTTCTCTGCTTCATTCCATTAAAAACCTTTCTTAGGCATTTTTTTTACTTTTTACAATGTACAGCAGCTTCCCAATTTTCAGCCCCATAAGACACTCTGACCATTCTCTTGACAGCATAAAAGAATTTCCAGAGGAAAGAAGTGCACTTACAAAATTCATTTCCTGAGTCAGTTCTGAAAGAATCATTACTCCTATTATGCAGTGGTCCACAGTCCCCTACAGCATATAGGAAAAAAAGTGTTAATGTTCCAAAATGAATGTTTTAGGTGGCTTTTAATCTCAGGTAGCTATTCAGCACCGTGCTTTTCTGATCATTCTGTCAGCGGAAGCATTTCTCCCAACCCTGCAGAGCAAATTTGGGGGAAGCAACACGGTACATGGTGGGGAGGAGAAGAGGAAGACCACTGAGCTAGCAAGAGCCCTTACACTAGCTTCTGCTAGAGCAAGGTTTCCCAAACTTGGGTCTCCAGCTGTTTCTGGACTACAACTCCCATCATCCCTAGCAAGCAAGCATCAGTGATGGTGGGAATTATAGTATGAAAACAGCTGGAAACCCAAGTTTGGGAAACACTGAGTTTAGACGAATCTGGCCATTTTTATCCATATTATCTCCATATTATCATAACAAATATGATGGCCAGCACAAACGTCATCAAGGAGGTCGGGCTTCCCCCATACATTCTCGCGGCCCCTTCAGAATTCAGTACCCATAAGTACTAACACCTGAATGCCTATATCAGGGAGGAGGGAGTTTCTCTGCTATCAGAAGCACATGAGGTTGCCTTATATTAGTTCAGACTATTAGTCTTGCTAACCCAGTTAAGTGCCATCTACTCAAATTGGCCTTGGCTCCTCAATGTCTTAGGACTTAGACAATCAGAACAAACCATTCCAAAGCCCTACACAGCCAAACTCCAGGAATGGCTGGCAAACTTACTGCTATGCTAGGAAATTTAAAATACAAATTTAAACTGGACTCCCCGTTTTTCCCTTTTGAATGACAATCCAAACACTTGTGCCCAAGACTTAATATTTATTGCTGATCAACATCTCTATTTTAAATGCTAAGCTCAGCCGGGAATTAGAAATATGGTTTCATTTTGTCTCCCAAAGGAAAATAATTCAGTGGAGGAAGTCTCCTATGAAGCAAAGTTTTGAGTTTGAATCTCTATTATTAATGAATTAACTACAGCAGATTCACATTTCAAACATTTTAATAATAAATGTAAAATCAAATTACATTAATAAAAATAACTGCAAAGCAGCCGCAGTATTCTTCCCATATTTGTTGTTAATGAACACAAGGCCATTTTTATCACACTTTCCTAATGATTTTAAAGTGCATTAACTGTAACATACTATCAGCTTTTCCCCCTCATGCAAAAATAGAAACAGAATATAATGACATTTAACAGCAGATGGTTTCACATTTGTGAAACCAGGATCAGTTTAAATCTCATTTAGCCATTAACATATTGGGTAGCCTAAGACAAACAACTCTTACAGTCAGTCCTTTTCCCATATCCGGATAATACTACTCCCTCATACCACACTCTGGGAAGGATTACTCAGATAAAAGTATATCAAACGCTTTTTGAGCACCAATAAATCTAAGTCTCACAATCATGAGTTTGCTTTGCTAAATAATTCCTTATCTCCTTCACCACTCCCACTCAGTACCAGAGATTTTATCTGACAAAAGGAGTTGTGGTTGGCAAGCATCAAAGATTTACCAGGAGGGAAAACACTCAATCCACCACTTTGGTTTGAATATTCAGTTTGCAGCTACTATTTACTTTCAAATGAATTTGTAAAAATTCCATGACAACTCTACTTCCACCTAGGTTGGGTAGCAAAAACTACCTAATCTAAGCTTTGATGATAAAAATACATTTCTCATTCCAAGTTAAGGGAACTCATTTCCCCACACAGAAAAATAACCCCCTTGAAAACTGCCTTTCTCTATTAACTCCCCTTGCCTTACATAATTTGAAACAAATGAAGTGCCTTTTCTGTTTTAATTTTTAAAACTATTGAACTGAACAGGTGAGAAGACAGGAGCATGACAGCAACAATCTTGGCCATAAGAATCACAAGAAGAGAATCAACACACAGTCCTGGGTATATCAATTAGTTCTCAAGGTAAGCACCACCCATAAGTAGGGAAAACTTTAAACAGGCATTTCCAGGACTTGGGCATTACCTTAACTCTTGTTATTTCTTGAAGGTTCGAGTTTATAGCAGGGGTGGCCCTCCAGATGTTGTTGGACTCCAACTCCCATCAGCCCCAGCCAGCATGGCCAAAGGTCAGGAATGATGGGAGAAGGAGTCGAACAACACAAAATAGAATATTTAATATACAATAAATGGATCCCCTCTTAGGTTAGCATAGCTTCCCAAATCTGGTTGGGGCTTCATATGCATGTGGATTTCCTGTATATACAAAAGCCTTCTCATTCACCAGTCTCTACATATGCTGCCCCTACTATTAACAGGCAAAGGAAACTTTGGTGCAAATTACACATCATTGTTTTTATTCAGTACTAGAAGCTAGATCCATTCAGCAGCAACCCCTGGCACTGCTGGATCGACATGGAGGAAAGTTCCAGTACAGAGCAGAAATTATTGGAAGGAGATGCAACCAACTGTTTCTAGCATCACCTCCCCAGCAGCCCCATACATCTCCTTAGTGCCAATGCAACATTACACTAGCAAGAGGTCTATTTCAATGCTACAATTTTGCATCCATTTTCATCCAGTTGCATCATTTTCTACAGCACAGTTCTCATGACAAAGTCATAAATAGTCTCCGCCTTTAGTCGGCTCTTCTTTTATATTTCAGGCAGTTCTTAATCGTACAATTTGCAGCTGACTGAACTACTTTCTCCATTCTGTGTCTCCTCCTTAGGATCATATGGCATTTAAAATATGCGACTACTATATTTAATACAGAAATGTTTTTAACAAGCAGTCATGTTCACTTTCTCTTACCTGCAAAAACTTTTTAACATCAGCAATAATGTCTCTAAAGATGAGCTGGTCTTTCTGAACATCAAACCAACCCAACTTTGTGATCTTGGCAATTACTTGAACAAGAGCTTGAATCACAAAAAGGGCCAGTTTTGGTCGAGATGCAACATAGTTTAATATGTAGTTTCCTGTACCGAAATACCAAAAATTAAATCAAAATTATTTTATGTTCAATACATCAAGCTATTCTAAGTTATGTTGTTATTGTGAAATACACGGACTGAGTCTCCAGAAGGCCAGATCTTGAAAATTGTATAGTAATATTCCTAATTAAATGCTTCAAAGGCAAGTGCAGGTATTTTAGTGCTATTATTAAAGTACAATAACTCAAGAAATAGTATTTTTGAGAAGGCCGAACATATCAGCTGAATGTACAAGAAAAATGTCCAGTGCTGTTCATAAGCATAGTGCTTCCATGCTGTCCATGCCAAAACCAAAGCTCAGGGATAGCCAAAACAGTGCCTGATTGTCTCTGTTGGGATTACAGATTCCATCACCCCAAATCACTGGCCATATTGGACAGGACCAATGGGTGTTATAGAACAAGCACATTGGCTACTTCTGCTATAGCTCAACAAAACTACCAAGGTTAAGGGAACAGCTTACCAGACTCACTTTTAGTTCTCTAAAGATTCCACAACCGTTTGGTGTTTCCTGGCAGACAAGACCCTGCAGGAAACTTGGGTATGCCATACCTTGTGAGCTTCCAGTTGCCAACTGGAATCAATCACCATGTGTCCTATTATTTTGATTAGCTTGGTTTGATGACTACCTGATTAGCTACATCAGGGTGCTATTTGGCTTTTTAATTTCTTAGAAGGCTTATTTCATATCCTGATGCATTACAACATTCTATAAATAAAACTTTTCTTCCTCCATTACAAGTATTCACTTTCCCCTATTTATTCTAAAGCCTCTTGCCTATCAATGAGCCCTAAACAGCTTGGTGCCAGGTTTACTTGAATATATTATTTCAGAATCTGTGAAGATGAGATTCTGAAAAGTCTATGTATTAAACAAGAAATTAGCTGAGCAACCATATCAGCTCCAGATGTTCTGTTTATTTTAATTCAGCTCTCTACCATCATTGATACAAGTAGGCAACATGCTCATGTCAGCATGCCTCAGAATAAAGATCCAAATATGGCTTTGTCTCCCTTAAATGTTAAGTCCCTGGACTAGAACTACAGGCAAGTACTATTAACGAAACTCTTTATTATTGAAGCCTAAAGAGCTAAGCAAGTATTTGATGTTAACCCCACATACATAGATTCCTTAAACAAGAAGGAAACTTAAGCTTAGACTTAAACAGGAGCCTCAATCACAAAATGGGCTGGTTTTGATGGAGCTGCTGCACAATTCAGTATGTAGCTGACTTCTCCAAAATACCCCAGATAAAACATACTTTTCCTTTGTTATTAACTGATAAACTAACAGTCCATATTTTAGATCATTTCAATAAATACTGAAAGTCATGTCTTACAATACTTTTATACTATGGGACTGATACCCAAGCACGCATGTACCACATTAATTATGAAAGAGTCACAGATATTTGTGAATTTTGTACTCTTATGCCCACACCCAAATAAAACATATATCTTATGCGTAGCAACTGAAGCCAATTTTTGTTAGCACATCTATTCATATTTATTTTTTATTTTTATTATAAAGCAGGTGAGGAAGATGTCTGCTGCTGTATTTGTTTGACACATCAAACCTAGTTAAGGGAGTAGACCTAAAAGTATTTGAGTTCAGTACTACTGAAAGAAATGGGACAGTTTAAAATACCGTATTTTTTGCACCATAACACTCACTTTTTTCCTCCTAGAAAGTAAGGGGAAATGTCTGTGCGTGTTATGGAGGGAATGCCTACGGGTGGCGGGGGGGGGATCTGCTGCAGTCGTGAGCAGAGGATCCATGGTTCCCCTTCCTTACCTCCTCCGTGGCTCGCTTTGAAACAGCAAAGCAGGAGAAGAGCTGCTGAGTGGGGAGGAGAGAGGGACAGAGAGCCTGCTTCTTTAAAGGAGCAAAGTGGGAGAGGAGAGGAGCCACTTACACGAGTGTAAGCGGCTCCTGTCCGGTTGGTTCCTTTAAAGCAAGCAGGCTCTCTGTCCCTCTCTCCTCCCCACTCAGCTCGCTAAATAGCAGCAAAGTTTTTCAGCTCATTAAGCCGGGGATGAGCGGGGAGGAGGGAGAAAAGCAGAGCCTGCTTGCTTTAAAGAAACAAAGCGGGAGAGGAGAGGAGCCTTCTCCCCTTATACCCCTCTTCTTCATTATTAGCAGTATCCTTCTCCACCCACCCCACGCATGTTCCTTGTCCCTTGAGTGCTTTTCCTTCCCTCCCCACTTCAAACGTGGTTACAAAGCACGGATCCACATGGATCCTCAGGATTTTTGCATTGGGCTACTCCAAACTCACTGTCAGATCACATGTCTGTGGCTACAGCATGAACCACAAAAATCATACATCCACTGTTTCGTTTAGAATATTTTTTTTCTTGTTTTCCTCCTCTAAAAACTACGTGCGTGTTATGGTCGGGTGCGTGTTATAGAGCGAAAAATACGGTAAATTCATTTACAACAAGGACATAGAGAGGGCTATATATGTACCTAGGCTCCTGATCAAATTATTAGGCTTTTTAATTCATGCAATACAAACACACCCACATGTTTACACATTTTGTCCCATAAAAAATAAAGGACAACACAAATTCCGGATCACATCTTAATCTGATTTTTCTGGAAGTTAGAAACATCAACAGTTTTTCAAAGAATGATAAAGTATATAGCAGCTATAAATGAAGAACACCTAAAATCATTCTGACTGGCAATCTTAAACTCTTTGACTAACTACTAGGGCAATTTGAAATTTGTATCATTACACACACAAAATACCCTACTGCAATACTGAAAGGAATAAACAATACTTACTGATGTCCATCCTTTGCTGAACAGGTAAAGGAGGTGTTTTGCACACAAGTTTTGAGAGGCATGTCGCTGCTAACAGTTGTGCATAAGAGGTCTAGAGAAAAACGCACACAATTCAGGTGGCAGTAATAACTATTCGTTTTAAAAAATCCTTAAATAGCATCCAAAAATATAATCTTGCACCAAGAAACACATCTCCTAAAACCTTGCTGTCACAAATTTGCTCTACTTACTTGGATGTGTGCATTTTGATACAATTTACAGCTCAGTCCTGAGATTTACTATGTAAACACATGGGATTAAGACACATACTGTATTTATCTAACAGCTATTATAATATTTTCAAGGATATGCCTGTAAAATATACACAGGGTCAGACCTTCATAGACCCTACAGTCCCTCCTTTTAAATCACGGCTCTCTCAGAACAACTAAAGCAACATCAGCGAGGCCGAGAAAGGAGTTTGTCATCTGGGCAGCCCAGGACCTCCACACACATTGCCCAGGCTTGCACCCCAGGGAGGTCACTTCAGTGCTGCTAGCACAGCAATTTGACTTCATCCCTGGAGACGTGCTCCATTGTCTCTCAAGACAAATGGCTGCCAACAACAACCCAGTACCCTCCAGATGGTTTGGGCTACAATTCCCACCATCCCTCATCACTGACCAAGTTGCCTGTGGCTGAAGGACATTGAGTCCAAACTCTCTAGACCCTATTGCAGACTTCATACTGCATAAATGTGGCCCTTTCTGCTTCTGAGCTCTATAAGTTAAGGGGACTCTTTCCCGGTCCGTAAGCAGGAAGAGAGATGCTCAACCTGAATACATAGATTTGATCTGCCAGATCATAGCTTTAGACTGATAAACTTGGAGAGTCTAGAATGATTTCACCATTTTACCCAAGGGAGCTAATATTTCATTCGTGTAAACCAAGCCATTATCATGTGGAATGGTAAGCCTGATTAACTCCTAACTTATGCATAAATATGACATATTTGCTATGTTCTTCTAAATTATTAATGCTTGTACAAACCTTATCCATAACGGGGGGGGGGGGGGTGTCATTTGAAAATCTGATATCAAAACAAGCAAAACAAGCAGAAGAAAAAGCACCTCCAATGATTACGTTGCAGCCAACTTATTTTCATTGGGGTTGGAGGGAATCTCCTTTTAATCTACAAAAGTTCATTATCACTACTTTCAAATCTCACACTACTGTTTATGAAAAGCAGAGAAAGGATGGGCATTTAATGAATGTGTATTTAGATAATAAAGTTTAAAGCACTTACTGTTCCTTGTTCCAGTAAAAGCTGGCACTGGCTAAGACATTCAGGACTATTAATAAGCTCCAGGAGCACCTTTTCTGCTTGTATTCGCTGTGCTAAGTCTGTCCCCTCGTAGAGCTGTTTACAAAGAACTTCTAACTCTGCCAGACTCTGCTGGGGGTAAAAATCAGACATGAATTGCCCTCCATTAATATCCTCACACTACTATTTATTCATGCACATTGATATAGAATATAAAAGTCAGAATGGGCTGTACCCAAGTAAGTCATATTCATAACTACCTTAATACCATTCACCTCAATGGGTCTTTCCTGAGTATCACTACCATATTTACTCGAATCTAACGCTCACCTTTTTTGGCCAAATTACACTGCGAAAATTAAGGTACGTATTAGATTCGATGGCACATTTACATTCACCGTCAAAGACTTTTTTTGGTTTCAAGGTTCTGAAAATTGAGGTGCGTGTTAGATTTGATGGCGCATCAGACTCGAGAAAATATGGTAAAGTCAGATACAGTCAACTCACATCTTTTGTTTGGGTTATGTTCCAGAGACAGCACATAAAACCACAATTGCATGTAGTCAAAAAAACCATTTTAAAACTGGAAAATGGCCTGTAATACTCTCCTAAGGTCACACACACACACTCTAACTGCACCTCCAAATGCAAGTGCAATTGCAGGTGGAATTGCCTATGTTTTCCTCCCAGCCTACTGCCCACCCTCCCACCTTGCCAAGTGCATAAACTTGAAATCACATTGGTTAAATGCACATACATTTCAAGTGCAACCCTGTGTGTTTAAATAATGAAGTATCCCTAAGCCATTGCCAAGGGGTAGGGAGGAAGGACACAGGGGATGCTCATCCAATTCCTCCCACTCACAGCTCAAAAGTAATTTGTTCATTTATCACCCAAGAAAAATATCCTGGCACTGAAGTAGAATATGTGCAAAGGAAAAGGGGATTATCTGTCAGATCCAAAAATGGAAGATCACGCACAAGCAATTAAATTTCCTTGAGCATCTAAATTTTTTCTTGCGCTTAACAAACAAGAAAGCAGGCAAAGTTAACAGTAATAATCAATATTTTCAGTGCTGCTTTTGGTCTTTGCCATTTATTTCCCACTTACCAAGAAAGAATATAAATTTAGTTTCCACCTCACCACTTGTGAGTTGTGGGATATCCTTTCTAATCAAAGGAAGAAGCAAGGTGCATCAATTACTTTTGCTCAAATACACTGTGCTTGATTCCCTCCTCTCTCCAGTATACAGGTTAAATATAAGAACAGTTAGGAAAACACATTGTGTCCACACGGTTAAAACACATTAAGCTTGAATCTCATCACCATAAAACTTAGGAGTATTCACATATTACAGGGGATGCAGGAGTATTAAGGCAAAACTAACAAAGTGGATGCACAGTGGTACCTTGGTTTATGAACTTACATCTGCTCCGGAAGTCCATTCTTAAACCAAACCCTGGCAGTGGGGGATTCTATTTACAAATAGAACACACTCAACAGCAAGCGAAACGTGTTCTTATTCCAAGGCAAAGTTCATAAACCAAAACACCTACTTTCAGGCTTGCAGCTTTCTTAATCCAAGTTGTTCATAAACTAAGCTGTTCTTAAACCAAGGTACCACTGTAATCTGGTTAAACAGATTTCAGACAAAGTGAAATGTTTGTTGAGCTGCTCTTAGTGAAAGATTACGCTGAGCATCTTTAATTACCCTTTGTAAGCAGAGTGCATGTCAAGGTACAGTCATTACCCTAGTAATAGCAACTTCATATGAAGGACGATTATTGGATGATGATTATCAAAGTACAGTGGTACCTCAGGTTAAGTACTTAATTCATTCCAGAGGTCTGTTCTTAACCTGAAACTGTTCTTAACCTGAAGCACCACTTTAGCTAATGGGGCCTCCTGCTGCTTCCGCGCCACCGGAGCACGATTTCTGTTCTCATCCTGAAGCAAAGTTCTTAACCTGAAGCATTATTTCTGGGTTAGCAGAGTCTGGAACCTGAAGCGTATGTAACCTGAGGTACCACTGTACATAAAAATACAAAGTGCTTAGCACTGCCCCTTCTCTACCCTAACAACAGGGAGTTAGACGTCTCCTTCTGGGATGTCTATTAGCATCTACTGGCCAAGATAGCAAAACAGAACCTCCATGCTGAAAGGAATGATACCTTCACCTTCTTACCTACTTGTAAGGTTTAAGAGGTACCTGGCTAGCTAGACTGGCTCATGTTCTGGTCCAGCATGTCCATTTTATGTTCTTAGGGCAGGGATGAGAAAGATGTTACTAGATTCCAGTTCCCATAAACCCCATTCATGATCACAGATAATAGCCGTTGTAAGCCAACAACATCTGAAGGGCAACAGCTTGTCTACCCTTGTCTTACGCAGAAGAGAGTAAATAATTGGGATTTTGTTGAATATGTAAATATGTCCTATAACTGAAATAAACAATTGAATTTTTACCCAATAGATATAAAATATTTTTCTTTTCTGTTCCCAAATGGCAAGGACTGGCGAAGGTATTCTTGGTCATCAGCCAAAAGGTCACCAACTTTTTCTCTACCTTCCGCAAACTCAGATGTGCATCAACTAGAGGCCCCAATATGTCCCCATTGTTTGCATGAGTGTGGTCATGAGGCAAATACAAACTTCAAGTAGTGTTATGTACCTCGTACCTCTAATGGACAGAAAGAAATCATCACGAGTATTTGTAAGCCACCTTTCAATCCAAGGTAGCATAGGGGCAAAATTCAAACAACAGATTCAATAAAAACAATACCAATCAAATGATTAAAGCCAGCCAGGAGATGATATCAGAAGTACAAACCGGAGTTCAAAAGCTCCAGCAAATTGAGCATTAACTACTCTTCTAAGGGCAGCTGATATTGCAGACCTCACTCTTCATGGTGACACATTGAGAGAAGCTTCATATCAACAGGATCTAAAGCCTACCCATTCCCCCAACAAGGGGAGTCTAGGGCAGGCATACCACCACCCAACACATACACACTTCCCTAAAACTGTCAGGGCTCTGGATTTGGCTATTATTTCACTGAGGATTCACCCACCTCCCTCTTGCTTTGCTCAAGAGTCAAGCACATAGATCAGGCAAACTTCCCTTTTCTACAGAAGAGGAGTCACAACCATTATCAGTAGATGCCAATCAAGCCACCCTTGACAATGGAATTCACACTTATCTCACTTGTCAGGGGTGAGATAACGCAGGAAAATACACTCCCTAAAATACTCCAGACCCAGACTTTTTAGAGATTTAAAGGTTAAAAGCTGATGACAAACATGTCAAACTTGGCTTTAATGTTTTAAGCAGATAATCCCAATGTGTGGTGATTCCAGACATGATTTAAAATTGTAAGAGATAATCTGATGGGAGTTTGTTTATTTTTTTCCAATGGATATACAAGAAAAACAGCTGTAACAAAGTATCAGAAACAGAGAAAAGAAAGACCAAACCAAACAAATATCTAGGAGTGTCAAACAAGGACATTTGTCCATGAAGGCAACAATTGTTCTTATGTAACTAAAATACATTGGTGTTATGTGTAATTCGAAATTCAGTTTTGAGAAATAAATGTTTTGTTTGCTGCTTGAAATAGAATATATAAAAAGGTGGGGGTGGACTTGTATATTAAATTTGATCTGGATAAAGAAGATAGCATAACTTTGCAAGTTTGGTGCCACATGCTCTCTGCATGCATGCATACATACACATTTGTGTCTTTCATGACACAAACGAATAGTTATACATGCATACATGTGTGTGGCTTTCAAGGCACAAATAGTTATACACAAACGCACATGTGTCTTTCAGGGCACACACCAGTAAGTTATACACACATTGACATGTGTCTTCAAGACACACACAAAGTGTTATACATGCATACATGGCACAAAGAATTATACACTAATGCACATGTGTCTTTCAGGGCACACACCAGTAAGTTATACACACACGCACATGTGTCTTTCAAGACACACAAAGAGTAATACATGCATACATGGCACAAAGAAACAATTATACACAAATGCACATGTGTCTTTCAAGGCACATACCAGTACGTTATACACAAATGCACATGTGTCTTTCAAGGCGCACACAAATAATGACACATACACGCACCTGTGTCTTTCATGGCACACAGAAATAGCTGTACACAAACGCACATGTAACTTTCCATGACACACAGTTATATATAAAATAAAACAAAAATCCTTCCAGTAGCGCCTTAGAGACCGACTAAGTTTGTTATTGCTCTGAGCTTCCATGTGCATGCACACTTCTTCGGATGCATACAAAAGCCCATACCAATAACAAACTTCGTTGGTCTCTAAGGCGCTACTGGGGGGGATTTTTTTTTATTTTGTTTCAGCTACGGCAGACCAACACGGCTACCTACCTGCAACTACAGTTATATATATACATAGATACATACATATATATGTCTATATATAGATTAGATATAGATATAGTTGACATCCCTCTATTCTTGAAAGGCATGTGTGTGTGTGTGTGTGTGTGTGTGTACACATATATAAATCCTGTCAGGACATCCTTTCCCCCCTTACCTTTCCCCGCCCCACACGATCCCCGCAGCCCTCCCCCCCCAGGCGTCTCTTCCTCGCAGCATCCCCAACGGACGTGCGGCGGTGGGGCAGCCTTCCTCTCCCGCCCGCCCCCCACCCCTTCCCCCCCCCCGGGGGCTGCACTGCCGCCCCGCTCGGCCGGCGGCCTACGCACCCCCCCCCTGCGTCCCACTCCCCACGGGGACGAGCCATCTCCCCGCCACGCAACGGCCAGGCTCCGGGTTCGACGCCGCCGCCGCCCGGGGCGCCCACTGACCTGGCCGCTCAGCGCCATCTTCCAGCGGGGCGGGAGGGCGACGCCGAGAGCAGCCCGGGCCGGTGGAGGAGAGGGCAGGCCCGGCGGGAGGAGGCGGAGCGAGAGGAGGCGGGGAAGGGGTTGAGGGGAGCACCGCGGAGGGAGGAGAGAGACCAGGCCCCTCGCCGCCCTCTGAAGTCTTTCCGCGCGTGTTTGAAATCCCCTCCCCTGATCTGGCCTCGTTTGAACTCGACGCGTGTCAAGGGCGCCGACCTGAACGGAATGACAGGCGGGCAGGTTAAGCCCCGCCCATAGGGTTGGTCACGTGTCACGGCACACGCGCGCCATTTGAATGGCAGTGCCCATCAACCTGGGGGCGGGGTGAGGCAGCCCCTTCAAATATTTATTTTTTTTGGGGGGGAGACCCCCTAGGAGTTGACCCCTATCAGTGTGGATTTACATATAAGCTAAACAAGCTATAGCAGGGCTCCACTCTGTTGGGGGGCCCCAAAAATGTAAAGGTGGGGAAAAAATGGATGTACATTTCCAAAATGTAAGATAAAGAAATAAAATAAAACCAGCAGCAGTGTTTTGTGTTGTGTAGGCTCCTATTTGTTACGTGCAAATGGCTTTAGATGCCTATTAGGTCCATCAATTACCGCATAAGCATATACAGTGGTACCTTGGGTTACAGATGCTTCAGGTTACAGACTCTGCTAACCCAGAAATAGTACCTCAGGTTAAGAACTTTGCTTCAGGATGAGAACAGAAATTGTGCGGCAGTGGCGCAGCGGCAGCGGGAGGCCCCATTAGCTAAAGTGGTGCTTCAGGTTCAGAACAGTTTCAGGTTAAGAACGGACCTCCAGAACGAATTAAGTACTTAACCCAAGGTGTCACTGTATTCAAGAGAAAAAAATAGTGACAATTTGTTGTTGACAAAGGACAGCTGGACATATACCTTCAGTAGCTTCGGGCAGGGGTCAGCAACCTTTGTCCACCGTCTCTCAGACCTTGTGGTTGGCCGGACTATATTTTGTAAAAAAAATATATGAACGAATTCCTATGCCCTGCAAATAACCCAGAGATGCCTTTGAAATAAAAGCACACATTCTACTCATGTAAAAACACGCTGATTCCCGGACCGTCTGCGGGCCGGATTGAGAAGGCAAATGGGCCACATTTGGCCTTAGGTTGGCTACCCCTGGCTTAGGGCCTCATCAAACCTAAATACGGCCCTGACCCCTATGATATGTGTGCAAAAGGCACGCTTTCATAACAGGGTCTCTAGACCCCAGGGAGCTAGGCTTGGGGGTTGCCAAATAGGCAGAGTAGGCGCCGGCCTATGGCCATTTTGGGGGTCAAAATAATATTGATTTGGTTTGGCTGGTAAAATCAAAAACGTATTAGGAGATCATTTGCGAGGGGCCCTCTGAGATTGCGACTGCCTAGGCCCTAAGGGCCGTAGGGTTCAATCTGGCGCTGTTGTCACCTGTCCTGTATAATACAGGATTGTCCCATATTTCAATGTAAACGGCAGATGGATAACAGTTTTGTCCTGTATTTCAGGTCCTTTCTCTTTCTGCCAAGTTAGGGAACCTCTCCAAATACATGTGTGTGGAAGGTTGTGTGGAAGGTCATGTATTTAAGCTCCGGGTAGCCAAGCGCAGACAGAATTTCAAATTCATGCGGATATGCACAGGTGTATCTGAAAAATTCCAGATTCCCGGTCCTAGACTAACCGCAACATCACACGGGCTTAAGTAATGCTCAGTTTGGGAGAATATGGAATATGTGTGAGATAGCCTAGTGTCTTACCTGGGACAGTCAGAACGGAAACTTCAATTTAGTGACACACTTAAATTAAAACGGAACAATCAGTAAACCGGAGCTGTCATGATGTCTTGCAGGACTAAGGCCAGCCTTCTTCAGTCAATATTAACCACTGCCTTTCTTGCAACTATTAGTGGTGGGCTTAGAACATTAATAGTCAAATTGGCACAACCATTCCTTAGGAGGAAGCCAGACTCGAATTCTTCTCCCTGACATTTAGTTGTCTCTGTGCCGGGTTCCCCCCACTATATAGATTTGATTTTTATTTATTTATTTGGCATGAAAGAAGATTCACTCCAAAGTTTTCTTCCACCTGAAGTCTGGAGCGTAACATCCCTGGCAGTGATTTAACCATCACAGCTCATTTATTGTATCTACAGTCAGTGATCCTGGTTGCAGATCCTGAAACTACAGCCAGGCAAACGGCCATTCAATCTCCCTGAGATCTCACTGCTCAAGGCAGGAAGATGTAGAAGGGACAGGCCCCATGGCCTCTCCAGGCTACAATTAACAAATGACCGAACATGGTTAGTGAGAAGGAGATTTGCTGAAACTGAGACCTTTGAGCCTTTGCCTGAGGGCTGCTCTGGAAGCACTGAACAACAATTGCCCAAGAGACTCACACTTGCAGTTTTAGAATCAGATGGGAACATAGAAATGTGGATAACTTTTTGGAGAGATTTGCAAAACTGCTGGGAAAAGTGCATTTGTGAATGTTTTTACCCGCCTGCCTCTTTTTAGTGCTTTCTGTGAGAACTAGGCCTCCAAAGGGCATGTTTTATTCAATGCCAAAACAAGGAAGCAAATGTGCTCTTTTAATCCTGAAAGGAAGGAAGGGAAAAGTGCACTAGAGTTGGGCAGCCAGCTTCTGAGATAAACTGGAGGGGTGAAATTCCTGAGTCAACCTGCTGGCAAACTAGTGATTTCTCTTGCTCCTAGATAGGCTCTGAACAATTGGAGTCGTTTGGAAGGAGGATTTAATTGTGCTAATTGTGATATTTTGTCACCAGCGTTAGTATGACCAGATCCTACTTCCCAGCATTCAAAAGGCTTGTGAGCTAAAACTTCACACCTCCAAAGGAGGTTTACCCTTATAATGGATCTGAGATGTCCATGGAGTATAAAAAGAGGAACTTATTACCAGTATTGCCTTATATATTATGTGCTTATGAATATTTAATTGTTGTCCTTAGACTTAAATACATTTATTTGCAAATAAGCAATCTGTAGTTTGTCAAATGTTTTGTGCTGCAGATTAACCTAAAATGTTAGATTGAATTATTTATGTGAAGCTGACCTTGAAATAAATCCATACTGTGATAGATGAAACACGAATGCTTCAGACATGGGAAATTGTTTGTTGAAACCATAGCAAAATTCACTTGCAACGGGACCACTGTGCTTGATTAACTTCCATGCCACAAAGATGTGGTATTCTAGTTTTAACAATGCCAATTTACAGGCCTTCAGCATATAATGGGAATTCCCAGAATATTTCAGCTTCTCCGACAGAAAAAAAAGCTTGAAGAGTATTGCCTTTCACCCCTGCAGCATGTCACTGCTTTATAAAAATGGCAGCAATTCTGAATCAGCTGGTACCACTGGGTTTGGAAAGGGTTTTCTTCCCTTTGCATGGGGACTAAATAATATGCAACTACCACTGATCAGGGCAATGAAAATAGTCACACCACTGCACTTCCAATCAGTGTAACTTCCTGCTGAAATCCTGTAACTTTTTAACCCACAAATGTTCCAGGTTATTTTTGTCCCACTCTTGTTGCACTCTGGACAGCAATCACGTGGTGGCATCGGTCTTCAACAACTTAGTGTGACTGTGAAGTCCTCATGTGACTTTCCTGCCCTACAGCTGTATGACAGAGAGCTATATCTCACACAAGGAATTGTAGAGGGATCTTGATAAGTGCAACGTTTATATCTTTTGCCACTATGGTTTTTCTCAGTGTGCAGGATTCTGAATATAATAAATTTAATGGAGGCTTAAAATTAGAAAAGTCTGATTGAAATGGTATGTATGGGATAATTTCTAGAATTTGATACACATTTTTGTTGTGATAATATGAGGTTTCAGGACAGTGCAAATCACACAAGCAAAACAGAGGAACTTGAAAGCATCAGCACATAACAACCCCTTACACAATCCAAACTTGCTTCATTTTTCATAGTCTCCAGATTCATATTCTGCCTCCTCCTCGTCTTCAGCAGAATCAAAATCCTCTCCATAATCTGTGCCATCGCTTGTGCTCCAGCTGCCAGGAATATTCTGGAAAGTTAATGATGAACCTGCAGGATAAGGCACATATAGTGTTAACAATTAAGCTGGTGATTGGGGAGTGGCCATAGGTTAGTAGATACTATAGGTTAGTAGATACAGTGGTACCTCGGGTTACATACGCTTCAGGTTACATACGCTTCAGGTTACAGACTCCGCTAACCCAGAAATAGTGCTTCAGGTTAAGAACTTTGCTTCAGGATGAGAACAGAAATCGTGCTCTGACGGCGCGGCGGCAGCAGGAGGCCCCATTAGCTAAAGTGGTGCTTCAGGTTAAGAACAGTTTCAGGTTAAGTACGGACCTCCAGAATGAATTAAGTACTTAATCCGAGGTACCACTGTACATAGGTTTTGCCTGCAGGAGGGCCCAGTTTCATTCCTTGGCAGGTTCAGTTCAGGTAGCAGGACTGGGAAACAGACTGACTGTGCCTCAGACTTTGGAGAGCGGCTGCCAGTCAGAGCAGACACTACTGCATTACACAAGCCAATAGCCTAGGGCAACTTCATATTTAGGGAGAGGGAGAAAATGGGAGAGGGGAAATTGCGCATCAAACAAAAATATTGTGAGTTAATCAGACATTGGAAAGACATCAGCTACATTAAAATATGAGTTCAGTTTTCAAATGTCGCGCTGCCAAATCCTGCAGCGAAGCACCACTTCTTAATTTCATGCCACTGACCAAAGATTACAAAAAGCCATTATGTCCACTGAAACATAGATTCCCTATCTAAAACATACTGGTTTGAAATGAACAATTTGGGTTACTATTAGAATCAGGCAACCACCACCAAAAGCTTGATCTTTTTGTGTCCTTCCGCCAGCAGGCTTTTTGGGAACTGATTGTTTTTAATAAAAGGGCTGGTGCCGTGCTGTTTATATTATTAATAGATATACATTTCTATCAATGTTAATTTTTTTCTTAATTATTTTTTTTTCTATGTTTTTAGGTTTGAAGAAGATCCAACCTATCCATTCTTAAGGAAATCAGCCCTGAGTGCTCACTGGAAGGACAGATCCTGAAGCTGAGACTCCAATACTTTGGCCACCTCATGAGAAGAGAAGACTCCCTGGAAAAGATCCTGATGTTGGGAAAGGTGGAGGGCACAAGGAGAAGGGGACGACAGAGGACAAGATGGTTGGACAGTGTTCTCGAAGCTACCAGCATGAGTTTGACCAAACTGCGGGAGGCAGTGGAAGACAGGAGTGCCTGGCGTGCTCTGGTCCATGGGGTCACGAAGAGTCGGACACGACTAAACGACTAAACAACAACAACAAAGTTTTTCTTATTTTATCTGTAAATCACCCTGAGTCCCCTGTCATGGAAAAAGGACTAATAATAATAATACAGTGATTTACCATCAATAACTTTCAGCCTTGCAGATGAATAGGCAAACCCATATTTGTTTTTTGTTTGGCATATGTAGACACCTTCATCTGATTTCTTGATCCCTTGAATTTGTAACCATCCAGACACACTGTACTTCCGAGGTCCCCCTCTTGCCTGAGAAAATGAAAGCCAAATAGCAAACAAATGAAGGTCTAATAATAAATAGGATGACGTCTTCACCTTGTAAACTCCACTGACGTCAATGAAATCTACATCATTGAGATTTTGATTGCAACGTTATATATGTTCTACTGTCATGTATGGAGCAACTACTTTTGCAGTGTTCCTCAACATAGCAGGAGGACAAGCAAGTTGTTGGTTTGCTTTTTTAAAACCGGCCTGAACAATTTGCTCATCCCAAACTCCAAGTCATTTATGAACAAGTTAAAAATCACTGCTCCCAGACCAATCCTCGGTTGTCTTTTCCCAGCCTTGAAAGGCGAGGAATTCTAGATGTCTTCTTCAGCCACCATTTTGTTGTAGGGAGAGGTCTGTGTCTCCTGCTACGTTTACCACAAAGAAAAGGTAATTATATCGCCTTACCTACTTTAAACTGTATACCTGTATTGAAATATGAGCATCATCTCCTGGCAGAAACATCTTATTTCCTTTCTTCTTCCACTCAAGGTGTGGCATGGGATATGCAGATACCTCACAACCGAAGATGACGTCATTCCCTGTGAAATTCTGGGTGTCTCGAGGTGGCAAAGAAATAACAGGAGCTGGAAGAGACACGAGTGAGAGGATCATCATGCTCAAGAGTCACATTAAACAGCTTTCACAACACAGACTAATTCTACTCATTTGTTTATTTTATTTACTTGTTTCATAAAATTTTTACACTGCTTGATTGTAACAAACAAACAACTCAAAGAGGTTTTCTTACGACAAGCATTGTGTGTTACGCCACCGTCCTACAGCAGCCAATTTGTGACTGGCACCCACAGCACTCACTCAATGCACCCAATAGCCCCCAGAGGTTGGCAACTCCTGACAACTCATTAGTGAAGTCACAAAGCTTTGCTGTTTTTCATAAAGGGTTAGATAAATCTCCATGTGAGCATGTCCCAAGAGTGAAAGGAAGGTGGGGAGAAAGTGTCATCAGCCATAAAATTGCCTGTGTGCATGTTTTGGGATGCTTTTGAATTATGGTGCTGGAGGAGATTCTTGAGAGTCCCATGGACTGCAAGAAGATCAAACCTATCCATTCTGAAAGAAATCAGTCCTGAGTGCTCACTGGAAGGACAGATCCTGAAGCTGAGACTCCAATACTTTGGCCACCTCATGAGAAGAGAAGACTCCCTGGAAAGGACCCTGATGCTGGGAAAGATGGAGGGCACAAGGAGAAGGGGACGACAGAGGACGAGATGGTTGGACAGTGTTCTCGAAGCTACTAACATGAGTTTGACCAAACTGCGGGAGGCAGTGGGAGAGAGGAGTGCCTGGCGTGCTCTGGTCCATGGGGTCACGAAGAGTCGGACACTACTAAACGACTAAACAACAACAATGTTTTGGGAATTGTATCAGTGTTTTGTTTTTTCAGACCAGCGTTTGCAGCTGTGTTGTTTGTAGACTGTGTCATCTCTGACCATGAGAATTAGGAGTACACATGTGACGGATGGAACTGTGGTAACCGAGAATGGCATCATGTTTGCACTTCCGCTAAACCAAGGCAGGGTCAAACTGCTGATCTATTAGGCCTAATAAGAGCAAGTGTTAGCCACTAACAGATTTTAATCCCAAAGGAGTTGGAGAAATAACTTTCCCTTTGAATGGCTAAATGAAAACTGCTTAATATTTCAAAAAATATACGGTGTAAAGACTAAAAACAAGCAATATGTCAACAAAATCTTTAAACAAGTACAAAAACATAACCAAAAACCAATCAAACACCAATATAACAAAGCACATAAAAGCATTAAACAGAAAACCAGAGGATTCAAACATGTCAGACTGGGTCCTAGTTTATAGGTCAGCAAACGTCTGGTCATCTCAAGGTGTCTGAAGCAACTGGTGGTTGCTGATTCATATTTGACACAGGTAAAACCCTTCCACCATGCAGGGGCAACAGCTGGAAATGACCATTTTCTGGGGACTGCATCCTATGATATTATGAAGGGTGTGGTGCCAGGAGTATAATTTGCCCAGATGATGTTATAGGGGGGAGCAGTCATTCAAGGGACGCAGGTGGCGCTGTGGGTTAAACCGCAGAGCCAAGGACTTGCCGATTAGAAGGTCGGCGGTTTGAATCCCCGCGATAGGGTGAGCTCCCATTGCTCGGTCCCTGCTCCTGCCAACCTAGCAGTTCGAAAGCACGTCAAAGTGCAAGCAGATAAATAGGTACTGCTCCGGCGGGAAGGTAAACGGTGTTTCCGTGCGCTGCTCTGGTTCGCCAGAAGTGGCTTAGTCATGCTGGCCACATGACCCGGAAGCTGTATGCCGGCTCCCTTGGCCAGTAAAACGAGATGAGCGCCTCAACCCCAGAGTCGGTCACGACTGGACCTAATGGTGAGGGGTCCCTTTACCTTTAGTCATTCAAGTAACCTGGTCCCAAGCTGTTCAGGGCTTTTTAATGTTAACAAACAGACCTTGAGCAGGGCACTATAGCCAATCTGCAGCAAGTGCAGTTCCCACAGCATGGGGAATGAACAATAAATAATTGTCCTTTTTTAAGCAATTCCTACAAGCATTTCATCCTCACAATAACCTCTTGAAGAGGGAGAGTGACTTTCCCAAGTACTGAACCCGGAATTTTCCCTCCCACCTGTGGCCAAGAAGACTGCAATCCTGAGTAGATTTAGGCAGTTCAAATCCCATAGACTTCCACAAGGTTAAAACAGGTTGCTGCGGCGTGCAGGATTGCAGCTCAGCAGCTAGCCACTGCTACACTGGCATTTAAAAAAAGCATTTTTAAACATTGTTTGTGTTCTTGTTACCACTGTTGCACACAGTGAAGCCGAACACCCCATCTGCTTACAAGAATGCTTCGATTTCCCCCACCGCCACCACCACCACCTCTTTTATTCTGAATGGTAGCTGTTAATTTTGAACCCAGCATGAAGGACAGTTATAACTGTGAACCATGTGAGTTGCTGCCAGTTCATTTGGGCACTAAATTCTGTTTTATAACTTTCATTTTGATCAAGCTATTAAAGTCATTATGCTTTTTTGCTGGGGGCGGGGGGGGGAGAGCACCTTTTAAAAATGTAATTACAATGCAGTTTTCCATTTCACATTCAGATTAAATTTGTGAAATACTAGACCACGTAGAATTTTTGTCATTTGTCTGAAGGACGACGATGTGGTTTTCAATTGTGTGTTTTCAAAAATAAATAAATAAACAGTATGTCATAAAGGTAAAGGGACCCTGTCATATATATATCTATATACACATATACATACAGCCACTAGAGGGAGTGGATTTAATGTCTTCCTTTGAACACATTAAATGAGCAACCACTGTAATAAATATTGGGGCTTTTGAAGATGCCCCAAATTCTTCAATTTGAAGAATTGAAAAAGCATATCTGTTGTTGAAATCCTGTATTTCTCTACTCAGAAGTCCGATTGTTGAATGGGGTTTCTGTCAAGTAAGAGGGCATAGGATAATCACCATCAACAACAACGATAACTACTACTACTACTACTACTACTACTACTACTACTATTACTACCCCACCTATCTGACTGGGTTGCTAATTTCTTGGCTGAGAGGGGAGAATGCACTTAAACACATCATCAAATAAGAAGAAGCACATCCCCCCAAATTGAGAACAAAGTAGGGAACAGATTTGACTTTTGAGAAAGAGCTAAAAGTGCTATTCTCTTCATCTGGGCAATGAAGTGGTGCCTCTGTCTCTAGATATCTTAAGTGGGTGCAGCGGATGCGATATTTGCTGAACTGCCGTGCCATTTGCTTCCACCCGTGCTCTCAATGGAGCTCTCATTTCAGAGGAAATTGAGGCTAAGCCACGGAACCACCGCCCCAGGAATTCCTCACTAGTGGGGAGAGCAGAACAACAATTATGTCACCTGACTTCTAGGAATGTCAAACTGACTGCCTCTTAAAATCTTCAATAGCAATAGCCCTTTCCTTGCATTAGATGCATGAAGCAGGTTTGCACGATTAAAGGGAAGAGGGGGAATCCATTGCTGCCCCCCCCCCGCAGATGTCCATGCATTGCGTATAAACATCAGAAGAGGGACAGTCCACATCTGTATAGCTCTGCACACACACAGGCTTTGTCACAAAGGGGAACCCCAGGGCGGCACAAGTTAGGCAATGAGTAGCCTGTGTAGCTTCCTCCAGTTGTTTGGGACTACAACTCCCATCAGGCCCAGCCTGCATGGCCAATCTTCAAGGATGATGGGAGTTGTATTCCACAACACCTAGAAGGTACCACATCAGTTACTTCCAAACTAGGCCATATCAATCAGCAGTGATCCTAGGAAGTAAGACCTATTGCAGATACTGTATTAATATTTGCACAGATTGAAGAGACGGGAAGCATGAGGACTTTGGTCCCAATTACCAACTGTAACTGTTTTAACTACAGATGATGGTTTTTTCATACATTCATTGCCCGCTGCCCTCGTCTACCACCCATTTCCCCTACTGTCTGTTACCTATGGACTTGTTCATAAATTACACACAACACAAGTACAAGTAATTGTGTGACTGTGCACTTGTTGATTTGCACACACAGGCGCACAAACTCCACGCTCGTTGAATGTCAGTAAATGTAAAGGGACCCCTGACCATTAGGTCCAGTCGTGACCGACTCTGGGGTTGCGGCGCTCATCTCGCTTTATTGGCCAAGGGAGCCGGCGTACAGCTTCCGGGTCATGTGGCCAGCATGACTAAGCCGCTTCTGGCGAACCAGAGCAGTGCACGGAAACGCCGTTTACCTTCCCGCCGGAGCGGTACCTATTTATCTACTTGCACTTTGACGTGCTTTCGAACTGCTAGGTTGGCAGGAGCAGGGACCAAGCAATGGGAGCTCACACTGTCGTGGGGATTCGAACTGCCGACCTTCTGATCGGCAAGCCCTAGGTTCTGTGGTTTAACCCACAGCGCCACCCACGTCCCCGTTGAATGTTACATGTGAATACTTATGAGAGCATGTTGCTTAATTATTTGTGTGCACAGGTTCACAGATTGCAAACTAGTTGAATGTGACCATCCCTTATTTTAGATCGGAAGCTCCTCGAGGACAGGGATCCAGGGGAGGAGGAAGGGGGGCGCAGGGCGGTCTGCCCCGGGTGTCACCACTAAGGGGGGGTGACAAAATGCCAGGCGGCACTCACCGTGGGGCCTGCAGCGCACCCGAGCCACGCGTCTCTCCTGAAAGTGACGCAGTGGCTTGGGCACCCGCAGGCTCCATGCTGCCCCAAACTGTCTGCCCACCGCCTCTCCCTCAGCTGTAGGGCGGCTGAGTGGGAGGAGGCAGCCAGACTCCTCAGAGGCCCCGTAGAGTGTCCTGGCCAGGCTCACCCCACCCCATGGGTGGCTGGACCCACCGCTGGGTGCAGGGCACGTGCGCCACCCCAGGCGTTCCACCCAAGTGTTCTGCCACTGCAGGGATCCATCTATTTTCCCTTTGAAACTCTCACATTACATAAACTGACGACATTCCTCTGTGCATGCGCATGCCCACGCTCAAACACACACATGTACATACTTCAGATATTATCCCTACATTTCTCTGGTTTTTTTTGGCCCATGGAATCCTAAAAGCATTTTCCGATATACATACAACGTTGTCCGACACAGATCAAGGAACAGGAGAAGATCAGTTCAACTCAGCAAGAGCCTGTAAAATTATACGAAGTGTTGCCAATTGCTGTCAAAATTCACTGCATGTGCAATACTACCATTCTACATGCGCACTTTATGTCACCTCTAGCCTGGCCTGAGATCCCTGTGCTTTTCGTATGGAGAGCTCAGACCACTGCGCTTGCAGAATGGCACAGACGATGCCAGCTTTGCCGAAACATTTCACTGACATTGCCAGTCAATACGCCCAGGTGCCTTTGTATGAACAGGGTGCCTGGGAGTTATCACTGTGCGCATAGTGTCACATGCGACTGCTATAGATCACTGGCATGCTTTGAAGAATGCAGAAAATCACATATGGGAAAATCTTACATAAATTCGTCTTGGCTCCGTTTCGGAACTGCGTGCCATTTGGACCTCACTCCAAAGGCTGTGCTAAATCTCTTGGAATCCTGTAAAGCGATGATGCTAATTGCAGAAGAATGAATCATTTACACATCAGGCTATAAAGCTGCCAGGAGGCTAAGAACTAATCTCTCCATTTGGTTATCTTTTCCGTTGGGCTTTTTCACATGCAGTGAAGCTGCATGCAAAGGTTTGTTCTTCGGTATAAAAAGAAACATGACCTTGCATGTGATTTATTTAAATCTGCATAAGACTGTAAGGGATTTGGGGGGTCTGAGACTTTAAACATTATATATTGTTTCAGCTTGAACCTTCCTACTTTGACATACAGTGGCCGTTTAGATCTTTCATATCACTGTTGCTGTCTTGTTAATTTCAACTTTATATACTAAGATTGGACTTAGCTGCTTTATGTTGATTTTTTTTTAGCTATTAAATAAAGAGCATCTTTTTCCATACTTTTACTATTCCTATAGTAAGACTATTCCTATAGTCTTCAATCCTGCCTTTCATTCATGGATAGTGGTTAAATGACTCTGTTATGGCCCACCCACAAATCTGCAGGCAATTTGTGTTCACATTTCACATTTTCACACTCCCCTCTGATCAACAGGTTGTCAGTTCCCATGTGAATTCTACAATGTTAATCTCACAGGATACGTTGGCAATTCCAGAGCACGTTCCCATGCTTTAACAAAAACTTAGTGGACTCTGCATCCAATGTTTTGTAGCCTCAGAAGACATACTTTGAACAGCGCTCCTCGTTGTTACTGTTTGTTACCTTAAGAGGAACTTTATCTAATGAAATGTCAATAAGGGGGGAAACTGGATGCAAGGGGGAGTATATTTCCTCATTCCAGGATCACATAATATCACACTTGTGCCTATGTCCTTAGGGAACCCAAATCTACAATTAAGTCCCCATAAAGTCAATAAGTTTTACTTCTTGCATTGTCAGGCTGCAATCCCATATATCCTTACCTGGACGTAAACACCACCGAACACAGTGGGACTCACTTTAGCATAAACACACATAGGATTTCTCATCTAAACTCCAAAAAGATAACAAATTGCTCCAAAAGAGTGATTTCCGAGCCCCTCTGTTGCATCCCTAGACTATGCTGCCAAATGTCACCATTAGTAAATCTCAGCTTCCCTCAGGTACGTACTTTAGACTCTGCTTTGCCTTTCCTTACCCGATTTGCATGGTCCTTTGTGCTTTATGCTCGCATTTATCCCCTTTCCTGCATAAGCCTCATGGAACTGGCAGATGTTCTCATAGGTCTTCCCTTCAGGTCCACATACAGTCTCCTGCAGCTTGCAGACACATTGTGGCTCGGGGATTTCTCCAGACTTGATGTCACGGACATCCAAATGGCACTCCAGGTTGTCCCCGCATTGCCCGTAAAAATGGCTGCCTTCGTCCAAGTCACAGATCTGCCCCTCCACATTCCCGCATTCGGGACAGCAGCCGCATGAGTCCAACACGGTCCCTGCTTGGCAGGCTGTAGGCACAGGGCAGAGTTCCAGGTTGCATATTCCACAGCTGTCCCCTTCCCTCAGCAATCTCAGCCATCCTCTGTGGTACCAGGCGGGGAAGGACTGAGAAAGTTGCATCAGGACTACCAGGAAAACTGTAGCCACCAGGGGTTTCATCTTGAGAATGTAATCAACAAGAAGCAAAGACCTTTTGGAGGCAAGCCAGAAGAAAGGGGGAGAAGAGGAGGAGAGCGAGCAAAAGAAAGCATGTCACAGTCACATTCCACTTTTCGGTTTGAAATATGAATCTGGAACAAACGCTAGAGGCTTTAAAAGAGAAATTAGCCCCAGATCACAGCTTCCCCCAAGAGTAAATGTCAAGTTTCTTTAGCACAGTTTTGGAACGCAGCTACTGCTACCCCACATGGAAAAAAACAACAACCCTCTTCTCCTTTACTTGTGAACCTGACATGTGTTTTTCACATTGTCGCTGTGTGCATTTCTTCTTGCATGTCTCAATCCCCCAGCAAAAGGTGACATAAATTAGTAACTGCATTGCAAACACGTTAAGTTATAGAAACCAAACAAGGATATGCACAGCACTTGTTTGTTTCTATAACTTCAGCCAAAAAGAAGGAGAATTCTGCCCTCGCTGGCAGGTTTTGATCAAATCTGTTGCTCCACAATAACAAAAAATAAATCGGAAGTATTTATAAAAGCGTTCCTCCTTTCTTCACCTCCCTTAAATTTTATCATACAAGTGACACTCACTACCACTGTATTTTCCTTATAATCATCTTAGCCAATCTTCAGTGTATACATTTGCCGCTTGGAGCAGCTGCAGGAATTTGCCGCAGCTACCAATCGCCTGCCCAATTGCCACAGCCACAGCCAATCGCCAGTTGCTGCAGCCACCAATCACCCGCCCAATCACCACTGCCAATCTCTTGCTTGCTGCTGCCATTAATTGCACGTCCCCCCCTCCTCATTCACTATCCATGTATAAGACGACACTCAATTTTTGCCATTTTTTAAAGCAAAAAGCATCGTCTTATACACTGAAAAATACGGTATTCCGTGGATTGACGTTTGCTCTGATTCAGCAGTAAAGAGCGGGTTTTCCTGGAGAAAGGAGTGGAACAAATGAAAAAATAATGTAAGTGGAAAACCTCTCAGACACTTGCTTCCAACAAGTAAAGTGTGGACAAGCCCTTTGTTGAGCATTCATCTTGATTTGTTTACAAAACATGTAAATTGTTCATTCTTTCATTCCACAATCTACAATGTTTTTCCTATTTTTTTGCAGTGCTCATTGTACACACTGCAAAAGTCTGTTTCCTATTTTTAAAAAGTGGATTTGTTGTGTTAGGGTAACAGGGCACAAACCTAAACTGCTAGTATGCACTTGAATCCCTCGTGCAAAATATTGGCAGTCTGGAAGCGCTTTCTTGATCCTTTGTTGCTCTAGATCAGGAGTTGATCACGTAGCTCTCTAGTTTTGTCTCAGGGCCAATTACAGAACCCCCCTCTAGTTGATTGACAGCTCTCCGTTTGAACGGTTAGATATCAATTGTTGTTGAACACTTTTGAAATGTTTCCATTTGTCTGGAAGGTGGAAGAACAGAATTATAGTTCTCTCTTTTTAATATTATGTGGAAAACAATTAAAATATATAGGATGGATTATTAAAATATGTAAAATTTATAATTTAATTATAAGATTGCAGAGCTTTATAGTCTAATAGCTCTGGTGTATTTTGCATAACAGTGAACAATTGCTTCCTTAAAGCACACAGTAGAATCATTTACTTGATGCTGGAGAATAAGTTAATTATGGATCCCTTGGCTTTGACTAATGGTTTTAATAATCACATTACTGTAGAATTAACTTATACTTTACCATGCTTATAGCACTAATGATGAGAATTATAAAATTTGTGTATCTTCAAAGTAAAATTGGCATGAAAAAGCTGCCTGAAAATACAGCAGCTCCTCAGAGAACGTTTAATGGGTATCCAATCACTTCTGATTCTTCTCCCATTTATCCTCACTACTCATTTACAATTTTCTTCTGCTTCCAAGACTGCTCAGCAATTACCATTTTATGAGCTGAAGTGTGGATGGTCTTCCTGGGCAGAGTGTATTAAAAAACAACAACCCTGGCCTAGAACCAAAGCAAACAATCCCAGCAATGCCACAGATTTGCAACATGCACATTGGACGTGACGCTGACCTTTCTTACGACAAATTCTGGAAAGAAAGGAGAGAGCCCTGATCTCTGTTGTTCAGGGGTGTTGACTGTATCAGCTTTCCACATCATTTTCTGGATAAACTCGATCTATTGTATGCCTGACTGCAGATGATGGTGCTACGGGTAGGGATGGTTAAGAAATTCTATTCCATTTGTATTGAAAGCTGAATCTGTCAAACTCCTGCTTTCTGAAAGAGTACGCAAACTGCCCTTTGAAATTCATGCTGATGTGAGTTTTGCAATGCAGTCCTCCAAGCAACGTTTAAAAAAAGAGAGAAGAGCACGTATTAGGGGAAAGTGCAAATAACACACGCATCAAGAACATGGTGCAGAATACACGGGAAATACAACAACACCAGTGTGGAAGGGGTGTCTGGTCAGATCCTGCTTTCATCAAGCCCAGTGTTACCAACCCTGTGGCAGTGGTTCTCCAGTAGTTTCTGGCAGAGAGAGGGAGTTTCTCTTTCCCATCACTTTCTATTATTATTATTATTATTATTATTATTATTATTATTATATTTCTATACCGCCCTATACCCACAGGTCTCAAGGCGGTTCACAATATAACTTCACAATATAAAAACACAAAATACATAACCACTCTACTCGGCCCCGGGTGCTGACAACCCATGCTACGCCACTGCTGCTAGAATGCCTGCCTCTTGTTGTTGTTGTTTAGTCGTTTAGTCGTGTCCGACTCTTCGTGACCCCATGGACCAGAGCACGCCAGGCACTCCTGTCTTCCACTGCCTCCCGCAGTTTGGTCAAACTCATGTTAGTAGCTTCGAGAACACTGTCCAACCATCTTGTGCTCTGTCGTCCCCTTCTCCTTGTGCCCTCAATCTTTCCCAACATCAGGGTCTTTTCCAGGGAGTCTTCTCTTCTCATTAGGTGGCCAAAGTATTGGAGCCTCAGCTTCACGATCTGTCCTTCCAGTGAGCACTCAGGGTTGATTTCCTTCAGAATGGATAGGTTTGATCTTCTTGCAGCCCATGGGACTCTCAAGAGTCTCCTCCAGCACCATAATTCAAAAGCATCAATTCTTCGGTGATCAGCCTTCTTTATGGTCCAGCTCTCACTTCCATACATCACTACTGGGAAAACCATAGCTTTAACTATACGGACCTTCACGGATCACTGCCTTGCCGTGTCGAAGGGGCTTGAATAACTCAGAGAAGCTATGAGCTATGCCGCGCAGGGCCACCCAAGACAGACAGGTCATAGTGGAGAGTTTTGACCAAACGTGATCCACCTGGAGGAGGAACCGGCAAGCCACTCCAGTATCCCTGCCAAGAAAACTCCATGGACAAAGACAACAGGCCTGCCTCTTGAGAGGGGGGAAATTCTGGTGGCAGTGGGGCAGGAAGGGCACCGCCACTTCTTCTTTTGCTGCCTGAGGCGGGTGCTTCCCCTAGTCTCATCAGTGGGCCAGCTCTGTGGCCAGTTATTGAAGCTGCATATCTCGTCCTAACTTTCGTTTTGGTACAGTGGTACCTCAGGTTAAGTACTTAATTCGTTCCGGAGGTCCGTACTTAACCTGAAACTGTTCTTAACCTGAAGCACCACTTTAGCTAATGGGGCCTCCTGCTGCCGCCGCGCCACCGGAGCACGATATCTGTTCTCATCCTGAAGCAAAGTTCTTAACCCGAGGTAGTATTTCTGGGTTATCAGAGTCTGTAACCTAAAGCGTATGTAACCTGAAGCGTATGTAACCTGAGGTACCACTGTACTTCTTTTGTTTACTGTTTAATCCCTACTCCCATTTGACATGAACTCAGGAAGTGCTTCAGTGCAAGGTTTCTCTTTTCCTCCCCCTCCCCCCCCCCCGGTCTGCGATCAACAACACCTGACACCAATTTGTACTTCAAAGACTCCCCCCTCCCCCCCATCAGAATACAATTTCATTAGTCATATGCCAAGCATTACCATGCCATGGAGAATAATGCAACAGAACTCAGCACTTAACATGATACTGTCACATGACCCAAAGGCAGGAAATTAATAAAAATACAATTTCCTAAAAATAAACTTAAAGCCACCACCGCTCTAGAGGAACAGGGCTTCACAAATGGTCTGGTGGGGACGCATCACTCGTTATTGGTAGCAACATGAAGTGACTTTTATTGGAGATATATGTTGTTTCCCCCTCTAAAGAGAGTTGTCACAAGAAATTCCAGTTATGTGGCAATTCCTGTCCAGGAAACTAGAGAACTAGACTGTCAAGTCCAGAGTAATATAACTATCCAATTACACTCTGGGGCACTGGAGACCAGGGTGGTTTGTTTGTTTCTTGCTTAAATACTAAAACACTACAAGTGACAGAAGCATAATAGAATGAAAAGGACCAGTCAGTCAAAATCACTTCCCCAAAGACTGATGGAACAGAGAGGAACAGTCTATTCCTGGTATTTAAAGAAAATTAAAAATCAGAAAGGTGCTTCCAGATTGTTACTAGATTTGGGTAGGATACAGTTGCATGCTGACAAATTCAAGTTTTGTAGTTATGGTTGGTTGGAAGTCTTGTGCAATAGACCTGCTCCCCGCAAAATTAACTGGAAACTGTTCAATGTCACCTAGCGTCCCCACCAAGAAACCAGGTTGAATGACCAATAAATGCAGACCAATCAACTGCCCTGGAAAAATGGGGCACCCCGCTTTTACTCAGGAGAGGACAGTGGCCAGAATTGCTGCTGCAATCTTTTGTGATTTCAGGCTGCACTTTTTTTGGGGGGGTGGCACTTTTTGGGGGGCGGCTGCGATCTCAGCCAGTGTTAACAGGAAAGGAGCTGGGAAACCAACAGTCTCTCATCAAATAAAGGTTTTTGAGAGAATGTTTACTGAGACCTTTTGTGGCCACCATGCAAAGTACTGGTGGGCACACTGGCACCTGTGGAAATCACATTGGTGACCTCTTAACTTTAAATATCCAGTACAGC